GGCAGAGACGACCGCTCCTTGTTCCTAGACTATCGAGAATGTTGAACATTCTACGACAAGAGGTTATCCTCGGTTCTGCTGAGACCGTCCAAATATCTTGACAGCAATATGTCTAACTTTTGTATAGTTTTCGCGGTACCTCAGTATTTAGGTCTTTTTTTCCGGCTGATCTAGTATAAAAAAACGTGTCGTATTGAAAAGTTCAAAACCTGCAATGAAGATCAAACAATCAACAATTTTTTACGGTGCAAGTCTCTGAATAGCTGTTTAGTAAATATACATGTAGGATTTGAATATCATAGGATTCATTTAAAAGCGTAAGGTCAATCGATGATATATTAGCATAATAATGTTTTCAATGCTACAAAAATTCCATTTGGTGGAATTATAAATAAGTAATGCAGTCATTTGCAATGGGAATTAACTATGCATATACATACATTTCATTTATATTATAGATTCTCCACAATCAGGAAATTCATTTGATAATTGGTCTCACTTCACCTGCCGTTTGGCAACCCTATAAGCTAAACATGTTTAAAAATTAAATCAATATTGTGTCATAGCAGCGTGAAGAAAGTAATACAGTATCAAAATTAATTTTAGTGCATTTCAAAATTACTCTGCGTACATCAGGGTACAAAGCAACAGTCCAAAGTTTAGATGTTCAGTGGTCTAGGTGTTTCCGCATGTCATGATCAGATCCACTCCTCCTTTCTTTTCTCTTCGTCTTCCACCCTTTCTGTCCTCCTCTTTTTCCTTTGCACTGACTACTTTCTGTGTAAATAGGATTGGCAGATTTTTGGTACACTTCAATCAGGCATTAGAGGAATTATTATTATATAAATCCTCAGATATTACCATTAAAATGTTAAAGCATAGAAATAAAACGACAAAGATGAACATTTTCGAGTTTCTATAATTGATGGTAGCGTCCTTGTTACAATATATCGAAGCGAAATATTTGCAGCACATTTTTTATGCAAGGTAGTTATTAGTTTCATTGCTCTAATTTGTTAACATCATTATTTAGTTTAATTAGAAATTATTACTATATCTACTTTTTGAAGGCTTAAATAAAATTTCTGATGAAAGTACATTGTATCATATCGAAAAAAACGCATGCTATTTACCTGTCTTGCGGTGAGAATGTCAGACATTTAGAATATTTTTATAGATTCGCAGGTGATAACACTTTACATGCAAGCATTCAGAGTACCAGATATATATTTGTGGTTAAGATGGAGACAGGAAGACGGGTAGTGGTTTTCTTTCTGGCGAATGACGTAGAGCTTAGATAGCAGTATTTTGATGCAGTTTAATCTTCTTAAGACACAGTACTACACCTTAACTAACAACATGTTTTTAATCGGTTTTAGTGGTTCGTCGACCTTTGCTAGAAAAACATTCGTTTCGACTTATCGCAGATGACTCAGGTCATGCTTTAACACAAACACATCTCGTCAATCACTGTAAGTGCTGAGAATACGTTGGGCTATGCGCTCAGCTTAGTCGCTAAACTTCTCTCCACCTATCCTGATAACATCCAGACACTGTTGATATTCCTAGAGCGCTGCTGCTTCGCTACGCCTTCCATATTTGATGCGGTTCTGAAAAGGATTGTCCGATTGATCTGTGACTTCCTTAATAATCTCTCGTACGTCGATGTTCGGCTCTTAACACATCCTTCGTTCGAAGTCGAATGTTTAACATAGTTAGTAGAAAATGTTTGTTGTGTTAGACGAGTAAAGTGGGAGAATAACAACGTTTGTCATGGACCAGTTGTGACCTTGGTTCTAATGCAATATTGTCTTGAAACTTGTAAAAATTAGATAAAATGTGATATTTCGATGATTATGAATACGTCAATGAATTCGTTGCCAATTAATGTGAAAAGTTGACACAGAGTTAGTTAAATTGGAGCGACAAAATGGCATGTACAAAATTTTGGAATCCAAAATATTTTCGGGAATAAACTGAAAATTCCTGAAATTATCATGTTTTCCCGATTCGTGCATGGTTCTCGTAATAAAAAATCAAATCCTTATCGACTTTGTTAAAGAAGATATTTGCAACATAAAGAGGATAAATGTGATTGTTAAAATAAATCGATCATTTGAATCATTTTGTTATTGATATAGAATAAGTTAAATAACTAAAGTCGATTTCAATTACAATTATGAATATTTGACGAAAACTGGTACTAATTCGTGGCTTAAATATATTTCGGGTTACCTAATCGGTTTCAGCCAACGAATTTGAATAGATTAGGAGCCAAGCCTCTATGCATAGTTTCGAGTCATTTGACTACCATTGCCTACTTCAGTGAAGTTCTATCAACATAATAATAATATGTAATACCAAAGGGAAGATCTACCTTCAGTAGGGTTGTGCCGCGCTTTGCAATTTATTCAAGAATTATCATATGCTGAAATCGTCTAATACCACAATATCTGCAAACACTCACACTCTCAAAATACTACACACCACTAAAAATACGAATTTAATGTCCGAACTGTTAAAAAATTAACTTATATCAAGTCCACTTGTAGTATGCATATATATTATAATAATAATAATAATAACGCCTTTATTTGTTGTACAGGTGAGGGACAAAGATAGCGAAGTTTAGCCTAGGCTACTCTTACCCTTAACTATCTCTGTCAGTACATTTAGAGCACGATGTAATGTGCGTTGCCTAAAAAAAAATTATAGTTATAACTAAACTATACTATACTATGGATACATATACACACATATATATATATATATACACCCATACACACCTATAATATTTAGATACATATATACATAAGAAAAGATACTGCATCAATAGTAGGTAAGGGTAAATACAAATTGTTTTATTTGTTTACGGAAATTGGCAGGAGACATTTCCTTGTATTTACCTGGCATTGTAAAGTATGGCAGCATTATATAAAAAACAACGCTTGAAAAGTGTCATAGAGTGAGGCGGTATTCTGATTATTTTACTCTTATGCTCCTGCTATGAACTTCATGACTAAATATAATCTTACTTCTCAAATAAGCGGGCCTCGACGTAGCTATCAACTTGTGCAAAAATATTAAGTACTTGTACTCAACTAGCTTGCCAATTTTTAGCCATTTCATACGATGGTACTTATCGCTAACATGGTCAAATTTTCTCAGCCCATGGATAAAGCGGATGCAATTATTTTGAATAATTTGCAGCCGGTTCTTCATGAACTGGTCGAGACATGGATACAACAGAATATCGCAATAATTTAAGATTGACATAACAAGAGACTCACACAATTGTTTCCTTAATTTATAATTTAGAAGATGGCGATTGACAAACAATGCTCTCATTCTGGCATATGTCTTTTTAGTTAAATCTTAGCTGAATGTGTTAGTTCTAACAGTGAACCATTTAGATGCACTTTGAATGAAATTTCCAAATTTCTTCTCCTTGCTTCTTAGCAAAATAGTAATATTTGTGTTTTATCTCGATTTATTGTTAGATTGTGGTCCCTTGAATATTTTTGCACTTTGCTCAGATCCTGCTCTAATAGAACAGCAGCATCTTGCAAAATAGTGTATAAGTCGAGTATCATCAGCAAAAGTTTGTACATCATCATATTTATTTTTTATCAACCAAAAATTCTGTCGTTATATATCTACTCCCTACTGTTGGAGATTCAGAAAAACAACGGCAAATGAAAATTTGATTCGACATTTCATTCGTATAAGACCCGATCAGCTGGAATGATAAAGAGCTCCTAAATTTCGACTAGAGAGGTCCTCAAAAAACTCTCAAGACAGAACTATACAATCTGTTATCAACTACAGTGTGAAACCTCCACTTTAATGTTCATAAACCAACTGTAAAATATTTTCTACAGAATAATGCATTCTACTCTGTCCGTGAGTACACCGATACCCTTAAATCTACTCATGATGGTAACTTGTGATTTAATTGTTTGTACCTATCCTGTACGTTTGTTATATGCCTCCACATGTAAATTCTTGCACGTAAGGTGTTTCAGTTTATTGTTGCATAACATTAAGATTCGATAGAACTTTTAAAATTAATGCATAAAGTCTATATAAACATGGGTCGAAAAATGCGTGGCTTCCGAAATACAGGGTGTTTAAATTTACTTTCTAAAATAGTTTTTTTTAATATTTCGAACAATATTTGATGTATTACAGTGAAAATTGGTATACAAGGGTTTTTTGGTACGACAAAACGAACCATGGACATAGTTTTACTGTAGCCGCTAGAGGGCGCTCTCTACTGTACTCTCGCACTTTTCAACATAAAAAAGCTCTCTTGTGAATTTTCGTTATAGTTAGAAGTTTTTGAGATATTTCGATTTTTAAGGTTCGATGCATTTTTAATTATTTATGGGAAAATAACGTTAAAAAGTCAGTATCTCGATAAAAAAAATTGCACTATGAAAAAATTTTCAGTCATTTTAATACACTACAGGTACAGTAGAGAGCGCCCTCTAGCGGCTACAGTAAAACTATGCCCATGGTTCGTTTTGTCGTACCAAAAAAACCTTGTATACCAATTTTCACTGTTATACATCAAATATTGTTCGAAATATTTAAAAAAAACTATTTTAAAAAGTAAATTTAAACACCCTGTAATTCGGAAACCACGCATTTTTCGACCCATGTTTATATAGACTTTATGCATTAACTTTAAAAGTTCTATCGAATCTTAAAGTTATGCAACAATAAACTGAAATACCCTGTATATTTATCTACGATGTTTTTGCAAAACTTCTCGTAAGTTGAGATTTTCCTAAACGATCAGCTTTCCTCGAAACCGGCCGAATGTGTGGCCGAAGGTGAATATTTTAGCCGAATATGACCGTAGCCGTTGCCCACCAAACTTTGGTCGGACCCTGGCGATTTGCCTCTTTCTAATGATCTGCCAGCGAACTTTGCTTGTCTGAACTGGCATCTCAGTGCCCAATAAAGCCAATCAATCATAAAAATATTGTTTGCAGTTCAATCATCTCTATGGACAAACAACTGTTCAAGAAGAGACTGCTGAACTTCCTGTTAGCCATCCCCGTGATATCGGTGGTCAACAACGTTCTGAAATACTCGATCGGCGCACTGAAGATCCAACTAAGAACCAACATGACCAGGAAACTGTACGACGAGTACCTGAAGAACTTCACTTATTACAGAATGTCCAACTTGGACAACCGGATACAGAACGCCGATCAGTTGTTGACCACGGACATCGATAAGTTCTGCGAAGGTGTGACAGATCTGTATTGTAACACTGCCAAGCCAATGCTGGATATTGGTATTTACGTGTACAAATTGTCGACGAGTATGGGGGGAGGAACTCCATTATTGATGTTAGGTTATATGGTAAGCTGAGTTTTAATACTTACGACGTCTGTAAATTGAGTGATAAGACTGATTTTTTTAACCAAATATAATCACAATTTTATATTGTCACCCTCAAAAAAACTAGTTTATTGACATTGCTGTGTGACAAGGAGCATTACAGTGATGCAACACCCAGTTGTTGATCTGATGAACGGTGTTGTAAGTCAAATTTAACTCTTCCCCGATCATTCTGGCTGTCAACCGACGATCTGAATGCACGCGATCCCGGATTCTGTCGATATCTTAATCGGTTCTTGAAGATGATGTAATAATAAAGGGTCTTTATTGCACTAAACATTTAGTACATTACGAGGGGCGAGGTTTAGCGTGAGCTGTTCTTCCACCTAACCCCGGTATGCTGGGTTGCCGAATGATCAGTGGATCAGGGTCAAGAAAGTAGTGAGGTATGTCCTATTTCACGAGTATCCATCACGCTTTGACGTCTACTGAGGTAAGCAGCTGACCAGCAAGTGACATTTTTGTGTTAGTCTACAACGTTGGGAATAATGGAACGGGTATAAATCTAGTAAAGCTCGTTTGTGACGTTTGGTTTTTTGTATGCAAATGAACTTTTCTAAATAAAAGAGCTGTTAGCAAGTACAAAAAAACAAAATCCGGCTCTGTCTACCTGGCGTTCACGGATCCGTCAGAACTATGTGTCCTGTGCCGTTATGAGGAATTTTGGGATATTACTAGGTAATGAGTTGTCATTTGACCGTGATGGATACTCATGGAACAGGGTATGGATATGACGACTTTAGTTGCTTTTTCTTATAACTTCAATTACTTTTGCCAGGTTATCAGTTACTGAACAAGCTACTCATGCCAAATTGCATATATGTCTTTGTACTTCTGTTTTATTAAAAGTGGACTTTCCTCGTTCTACTGACCTTGAATAATTTTAAAATCCATAATGGACAATATTTCTTTATCGCAGTAACGATAATATTCTATTTAGGCTTTGCCTCCACTGCTGCTTCATCATAAAAAAATAAGCATCGAGAATTACTTTTATCGCATTTTCAACATTATTTTTATTAACTCGGCTTCAGCAGAAATTGGTATCTAATGAGGACTTCATAAATTAAACGGAAGAATTGCTGTCTTTACTCCAGTCAGTCAGCTATTTAAAATATATAGGAATATCAGTTTTGTGAAGCATTTACAATATGTTCGCATTATGTACCTTAACAATCATTTTCAGGTAGTATCTGGGATCATATTGACAAATCTTCGAAAGCCCACAGCCCGGCTTACCGCAGAAGAACAAAAATTAGAAGGTGAATTCCGACACATAAACTCTAGACTAATTACACATTCGGAAGAAGTGGCATTCTACAACGGAAACACGAGAGAAAAAGCTACTTTGTTGGCCAGTTATAACAAACTTCTGAACCATTTGAAGAAGTTCCTGAGATTCAGGGTTTTCATGGGTATAATAGATAACTTAGTGACCAAATACTTTGCTAGTGTTGTAGGTTTTTGGGCTGTCTCTTTGCCGTTCCTGTCTGAAAATCATGGATTCTCCAAGTAAGTGTTGTTTACTGCGTAGTTTATTATAGTTTTAATGTTTTACTTCCTACACTGTAATCGTGAAAAATTTCGAAAATGAGGTGTGGATGTTTGTGTGGATGAAATTTTCACTTAAGGTCTTTTTTATATTGTTTCTGCGGTCGGTTTTGCATTTTCGCAAATATTAAATCGCTTATAAACACTGACCAGCGCCCATATTACGTAACTTGAACATTGACATAGTAACCGCGCATAAAGCTAGGAGGAAAATGGAGACGTGGGTTGCAAGACAACACTCTCAGAAATGGAGAAGTATCTCTAGACATCTCCGCCAGGCACGAGAGCTCATTGAAGGGCCCAGTGCTAAGGATGGACGCTTCTGCCTATCTCTGGGTAGAGCCAACCTAAGGTTGCTGGTGGGACGGTTGTCTGGCCATAACACGTTAAGGCGGCACCTGCACGTGATGGGGGTGGCTGAGGATCCCTTATGCGAACGCTGCGGAGTAGACGAAGAGACCTCGGCGCACGTTTTGTGTCGCTGTGAAGCTCTGAGCTACTATAGGCAGACTATACTGGGGTCCATTACTTTGGACCCTCAGGACGTAAAGGAGCTTGGACTCAAGGCGATTCTCAACTTCGCTAAAAGGGCGAGGCTTGTGATTTAAGTATTGTAGAGGTGCATAAGGGCCCGCTTAAGCGGCCTATGCACTGGCTCCTTATGGTGGCCGGGATGCCTCTAAAATTCAAGATTCATTCATTCATGAACATTGACATTATATTGATTTTTAATGACATGTAGGTTTTTACAAAACAATGTCACTTTGGAACTAACTGTCATTTACTTTATGTTCATTTGTACTAACTATGCGTATTGCCTAAAAGTCGTGACACTTGTGCTTTATGGCTTGGCTCTAATGCGATGTAACATCTGCTACAGAGATGGTACTAACGAATGCCATTTATAGCTTGTATGACTCTCAATTCTATACTATAGGTCGTTGTTGCATTCCTCGATAGGTGGCGTTCACAGCAAGTACGTGTGGCGTGGACTAGCAATTAGTACACAAGTTAACACTATACCGATTTTTAATGACATATCGATTTTTTACGTAATACCCCTGCGGAGAGTTTAAAAAATTGAAATTTGTCAAAAAAATGTTTTATCATTATTTGACTGTATTTTGGGCTTGGCAACTTACAGATTTTTTGGAAAAGGTCTATTTTCGAATAAAAATACGAATCATGATATTTTCCGCGGGGATTTTTCGTAAAAAACCCTATACAGTGTCAAAAAAACCTACATAATATCATAAAAAAAGTCGATATAATGTCACTTTTTAGGCAATACGGAGATGCAAAGATACTACCTGCATTAATGTAAAAGACATTCTGACATTTCTGCAACATTTTGCGGCCATGCCAAGTCAGGTGTTTCCATTTTAACAAGTTGCCGGCACATGTTCCGCATCATGCGACGGCACATTTGCATGCAACTTATTCTATAGAATACGTACTCATATACACGGTGCAGTTCAAATATCAAATTGAATGAAAGTAGATGAAAAACAATCTACTTAATTTGCAGGAGTTCGAATAACGAACGATCCCGTCTGTACTACACATACGGCAGAATGCTGATAAAACTGGCGGAAGCCATTGGTAGAGTGGTCCTCGCAGGTCGAGACCTATCCAAGCTGGCAGGATTCACCGCCAGAGTAACTCAATTACGGACAGTTCTAGCCGAGCTGAACGAAGGCAAATACCAAAGGACCATGGTCGCTGGAGCTGAAGACTTGAGGTCTAACGGAGGAAAACTAATCTTCAAGAACAATGTGATCAAGTTTGATAATGTACCGTTGATCACTCCGAATGGTGATGTACTCATACCTGAACTGACATTTGAAATAAAATCAGGGATGAATGTGTTGGTATGTGGGCCAAATGGAGCTGGAAAGTCATCCTTGTTTAGGATATTGGGAGAGTTGTGGCCCCTGTTTGGAGGGGAATTGACCAAACCGCCGAGGGGGAAACTGTTTTATATACCACAGAGACCTTACATGACGCTAGGTAGGTTGTTTTAATTCCACAGATACTACGACTTTTGAAAGTAATCTATAAAGTATTAAAAATCACATTTTCTACCAGCAAACTGAAAGTGCCACTTCCGCACGCATTTCAGTTCGGAAAGTGTCCCTTTTTACAATATGTCATTGACAACATAAATCTAATGGAGCTGTCATATTCTGATATTTGGTTAAATTGTTACAATATATTGTTTTTCTTGTTACGCGCTGGTAGAAAAAATGTCTTCTTCACAACTTGTTATAAAATAAATAAATAACTACATTAATTCTTATATTTAGAAATTCAAGCTTTGCAGAGCTTTTCAAAACGTCTAGGTACTTATTTTTGAACGGGTCAAGTGAACACGCTGAAATTCGTGATGCAATTGATACATGAATACTATATTTTGGCGTAAAAATAGCAATTGGAAATTTCAAGATGGTGTGGCGGCTGGGTGCCATCTTGAAACATTTTCTTAAATGGAATGAGGGATAATGCGATATCTCTTTTTGAAGTTCGTTTTGCCTACTTTATAATTCAAGAATATAAATTTGCCATCTTTCAAAATGGGGAACTGAAAGACTGTTAAAGTTGAGCGTTTTTACTTCCCACGCCTACTGACGAGGAAGTATTATAATCACGAAAAAATAACATATGATATTATACGACATTGTACACCATGAAAAACCGTGCCACTCATTTCCCTCAGTGTGTCTGTCTGTCCACGAATTATAACTTGGAAAATACCGATCGGATTTTGAGGAAATTTTCATACATAAGTTATTACTATGCCAAAGGCGAATAATTGTACTTTTTGAAAATCGGTCTAGTGGCCCCGGTGAAAAAGGTCAAAGATGAAAGATAAACACCGCCCAAACTTCTTTTTAGACGTTTTAGAGGATCCTGATAATTTTTTTTAAATTTAACTGCTTGGAAATTTGGGGATGGAGGAGTGTTATTTTGTTTGATTTTTGTATGTTTATACGCTCCCAATCGCGTTAGTTTTGATCTTAAAACAGAATGATAGAGAAACAATTTTGATACGCGTGAGCTTCCGCGTTTGACGCGTTGTGCCGTCAAGTATCGGGGAAGTGTGACGTTGCCAGATGGACTACCGGTATTATAGGGAAAGAATGTGTGCGGACCAATTATGTGGGCCCGTTTGACTGACTTGATCTGCTTAATTTATGTGTTACATGTACTTGACGCCATTTTTATTCATTGAATCACTTGAATACCATAACCAATAATTAAAACATACGTTATATGGATCCTCTTCTTTTGGAAGACGGCGCACATATTAGCATGACGAAAAGTATCTTGAACCACTAACTAATCATGATAGTTTTTTCTACGGCTGTATTTCCACAAAGTTGTAAAACATGCAAAACATTTTAATACAACTGTAATCGATAATTAACAAGCTTGATATTACAATTTGTTTGTGATATAATTATTACTTAATTCAAAATAAACGTGACAGCAAATTAGTTCCATAAACATGCGAATGGTGATAATTGCGAGGAGTGCAACATTATGATGACGAATTATCCCTTCCCAGACAATTTTTTTCAAAGAAATTATTGTGAAAGGATAACTTTAATTGTCATTCGGAGTTTCAATGTTTTCTGTGGCCAGTGCCTCAGCTAAAATGTATGTTATTTACGTTCAATGTGATGTGTTTCTGGGAAATGCAGTCGACCCAATGCAGTACTGGGGAAGATAATAAACTATAATCTTCATCTACTTTTTTGTTCGTTAATTCAACTCGCCTTGTTAATTTTCAGGCAGCCTTCGCGATCAACTAACTTACCCCCACTCCGGCTCAGAAGCGACGCGTCGTGGCGCCACCGACGACAAACTTAAAGAATACCTGCGTCGCGTTCAGCTGGAGTACATCCTAGACAGGGAAGGTGGCCTAGACGCCATCGCCGATTGGCTAGACGTACTGAGTGGTGGGGAGAAACAGCGAATAGCGATGGCCAGGCTGTTCTACCATCAGCCCCAGTTTGCAATTTTGGATGAGTGCACCAGTGCTGTTTCGGTGGATGTTGAGGGCAGCATGTACAGGTTAGTCTTTAGCCGTTTCGATAGTCACTCAAAAAGTACGAAATACACAAATTTTGTCGTGTCACAGTAAAACTGCCGGTAACCTTCCATATTAGTCCAGTTAAATAGCCAAAACTGAGACATAAGTGATAACATTGCCACAAAGTTATTTCCGCTGGCGTAATGGTGTAATAAAGGATTGCGAATATTGTATGAATTTGGTTTTCCGGAAACCAGCCGTTTTTTGTAAAACAGCGAAAAACTGAAGAAACCTCTTTTTCGCTGAAACGGCTGAGGATATCTAGGATTTTTTTACACGAAAATTTTTCTAATTTTTGGGCCATCAAAAAAGGACTTTAAAATATTTTGCTAAAATGGCTAGTTTTTGCGCTACAGCTTGCTGATGGTTTGATGGTGAGGGGCTTGAGGGCGAAAGGTCGGATTCCTGCATACCACCAAACTGCAGCCGCACCGTCCACCAGGGTTGCCAGGTTTTCAGTCACGTTGGTCGCAAAGTTTTGATGAGAAAATCGCTAGTAATCCCCAATCTTTGACATAAGTGTGAGTCAACCATAAAGCGCCAGGTTAGACATTGGAATTAATTTGTGGGAGGGGGGGGAGGGTTTGTAGTAGCCTGCCTGTTAACTGAAGAGCGGAGGTGAGGGAGGTTAGACATAATAGTAGTATTATATGATAATAAACAATTCCTTGAAAAGGGAGAGGGGGAGGATGGGGGGGGGGTTGTTAGACACGTGTAATCTGAACGAAACTATAAGTTCATTCACATGGGGCGGATCCATTGTGCTTAGAGCACAGAACTTCCGCTGGTCCTCGTTTCATGTTCCATTAATCTATGCAATTATTTTTTACAATGCTATACCTCGATTCACAAAATTGCTATCATATGATGAATTTAAAAGACATATGAAGAAATTTATTTTAAATACATAGAAGTATATAAATTAGTTGATAATGTTTATCTGTCGCCTCACACAAAAATATTTCCAAAATAGCATTCCTTTGTTTGTATAACTTTCAACTCATAAAATATTAATTATCCTTCACTTATATATGTTATATACATCATATTTTTTATGCACCTACATTTGCTTTTTTTGGGGTGGCAGAGTAGCATTATGCTAAACTTCGCCCCATAAAGAAGATTTATTATTATTATATCGGCAAACATAGATTACAAATTAAGTGGCGTCAGGAATGCTAAAAATCGCCAGATATCACCAATTTGCTGGATACTGGGCGCCACTAAAGTAGCCAATCGCCATGCTGTCAATTTTAGTCGCCATTTGAAGTTGTCAAATCGCTACTTTGGCGAAAAATCGCCGCACCTGACAGCCCTGCCGTCCATGCGTTGACGACACAGACAGAGGATCTCTTACTACATGGTGGGGGTTATTCAGTAATAGTCCAGTTGAATTTTGAACCCTGAGCCCGCTTGTCAGTTTGGCGTTCACCGACTTTTCCAAATGAACTGCGTTTAAGTAAATGGAGTAATTTCTCTTCAGTTGCTTGTCGATTGACGGGATAAGTGAGGTAAGAGTGTGTACATCTCAGAATTGATGTTAAATATTTTTTCCGTATATTTCATTGGAGACAAGAAATTATGGACAAACCATTTATCGGAAGATGCATCAATTCTATGTATTTTCGATTTTGATAGGATGACAATTTTTTAATTATTATGTTTCTGTTCAATTAACTCAACTCTGAAATGTACACACACATACTTATAGTCCTTCCATTATCAATAATTGGAAAAAATCCCTGTTCTGCACAAAAAAGGTGTGAAGTCCTATAAGTTGTACAGCAGAGTATACTGCCGTGTGTCTACACGTCAAGCTAACGTACACCGATACATTGAGACTAGGACTAGACCAATGAGCATTATTATTGGTAGACACAGCGAGTGTGCAGAGAAGACATCGTCAAATGCTCATCATAATCGGCCATTGTCTATTCTTTACATATTTGCGTTGTCCTATGTTAGCCCAAGACGCGGCTCAAGAACTGCTAAATCTCTTATCATGGTCGTAGATCAAGAACTACCGGTGATCAAACTGATTTGCGAGGATGATTTTGAGAACAACCTGGAGCCTCGAAAACGAGTCTTTTGATGACTCATTGGGCTTCTACATGCTGTGATGTATTCTTATCATTGCCACTCATTTATATACACGTTCACACCTTTTCTGCAGCTCTAAGTTTTTTGTCGTGGTTCCAATTCTAAATAAAAATACTATACTTCACTTATCCTGTCAATCGGTAAGCGGCTGAAGAGAAATTACTTCATCTTGTACCTCTACTTAAACGCATAAATTTCAAAAATTCATTAATATGCATACGTCGGTGAACGCCAGAACTACAAACGAGCTTATTATTCGAAATCGACTGGCCTATCACTGAGAGTGAGACACTGAGGACGTCGAAATATTAAACGAGGATCGTCCGCGTCAACACGGTGCGGCGGCTGGTGAATATATACGTCCTTGACCCCGCAACCCACGAGCCCCTCGCTAAAGCAATCAGCAAGCTGTAGCGCGAAAACTAAGAAATTTAGCAAAAAAATTGCAAAAACCTATTTTGATGGCCCAAAAATTAGAAAAATTTATGTGTAAAGAAAACCCAGATATCATCAGCCGTTTCAGCGGGTTTTTTACTGTTTTACAAAAAACGGCTGGTTTCAGGAAAACGAAACTCTTACGACAATATTCGCAAGCCTTAATTCCATCATTACACCAGTGGACATACCTTGTATGTATAATGTTATCACTTTTGCGGCAGTTTCGACTATTTAACTGGACTATATCTCCATTTCCCTCTCATATCCGCATAAAATTGTGTAAGCCTATATGCCAGGAGAAACTATGGCAATGCTGGTCGTGCTATTAATACAACCCCTGACTTGACGCTTGGATTACCAGTGGTAGTTTGACAGGGTTGACATGTTGGGGGATTTTTACTTGGGGAATTTTTTGGGGATATAATGTTCTGGGGAAAATCACAGGTTTCGCGGATAGAAAACATTCCACGGTCTTGGAACCAAACCCACCCCTTTCCATTAATTAACTGTGATTTGACTTTTTGTTAAAAAAGTAGCAATTCTGAGGGATTTTTTGTGCCTGTTCTGGGGAGTCTGTCCGACCCATCTGGCAACCCTATGCTTTAACATATCTGCCATATGACCATTTTCCAAATAATCTAAGATCCGGCAGCTTGATTCTGCGGGTATCTGTTTTCTTTAAATTAATTTTTATGAATGATAAAGTAGAATAGATTACAGCATTTCTGCCTTTATATGCGCCCTGTAACACCTATATCTTCCTAGTCTATAGAAATATAGCGATATTATTCGGTATGTTTAACAATCATTTTATCCAGAGGTATTTTTATAGGTACTGTAGAGACGTTGGCATTACTCTACTGACAGTATCCCATAGGAAATCCTTGTGGCAACATCACGAGTATGTGCTTCATCTAGATGGCAGGGGAGATTACACCTTCAAACCAATGGAAGAATGCACAGAGCAATTTGGATCGTGATTTCGTCCTAAGTGCAAAATAGGTTATTTGATTTTTCCTTTTCCTTCTATTGTGGTTACCGCTTTTATCATGCTGAATCGTCGTGTAGGATCTTTAGGTCATATCCCAAGCAATGCCAGTCATGGATTGGGTTAACGATAAGTCATTGCTTCATCACTTCGTACAATAAATTCACTTTTGGCAATTTAAAAAACAGTACAGTGTTTTGATACAGTCGTTGCGCGAACAAGAATCTCATAAAATTTACTACATATTATGAAGATCATGAATATACATGGCGTCCGAATTTAATCTCTGTCCGTAGATATTTCGAAAACCACGCATTCTAGAAAAAACGTTTCAAACAAAAGCTGTAGGGTTTTGATGGGGCAAAATGATGGCGCCTCTTGCAACAACCTTGATTAGACACTCAAGGTCCTTTCAACATCGGGTGAATTTTCTCAAACATAACCCTTTTTCACATGGGAATTGAAAAGAAGAGCAAATTTTACGTCCGACCATCGCCTTGACCTTGACATCGCCTTTAAGGTCAAAACAAGACATCGAAAACAATTTGCCGTAGAAAAAATGTTGGACAGCACGGTTAAATGGTTAGTGCGGGTCACCTAAATGTGACCTTAACCACAAGCTCCAGGTCAAAATTTCCTCTCATTTTTACACTAGAAATGAAGAAAGCAGTAAATATTTTACGTCCGAATGAAACCTTGGCCTCAAATACATTTAACCTTGACACGACCAATGCTTTTTCCATTTCCAGTGTAAACATCTTTGATTTGAATTTGAAGGTCATGTTCAGGGTCATGGTCGAGGCGACCTTTGGATGATATCCACAAAGCTCACAACCGTGCTGTCAAACATCTTTGCTAGAACAAACTGTTTTCAATGTCTTGATTGGTCTATTCTGATGTGAACAATGGGGGTTATATTTAAAAATATACGCTTGACCTTGGAATTACCTTGAAGGTCGTAGTAAAGGTCATTGTCAAGGTCACCACTATGTTGCCCTTTTGAAACCCTACAACTTGATTGATTTTTTTAATGCGCGGTTTCCGTGATATTAATGTGGGAATATTAAAATGGGACACCAGGTATAACATGAAATTACCTCAGTTCTGTTCACTATAAAACTATTTGCTACTCGTCTGCTTGATTTTAACCGGTCTCGAAAAAATAAGGGATTTCATTCATAGTTTTTGCATTGCAATTCTGTTAACAAAAACCCATTGTTACTTACAAATGGGAAGATCATCCGTGGCCCATATAATCTAAAATAAAATAAATAGAAAATGACATTTTTGTGCAATAAAATCTCGAAACACAATGTCTCGTCCAAAATAAGAGAACCAGAAATAGCTTCAATTACTAGTAACAAAAAGAAAATACATTTTGGGCGAACATATCAAATGGATTGAGAATTTCTTACAACCCTTAACTAGCAATGTATTATAGCGGACTTAACAAACATTTTTAGCAGTTTTTTACTTCCTCGCCCCGTCTTCCACCACGTATTGAGATATAATTGAAACTTGTCCACAGAATGATGATCGGACTGAATCTTCCTTAAAACCATTTTTCGCTTATTAGTTTATTATTATTTTCATATTTATAATGTAGAACTGTTTTATTTGTGAAAAAAATTTGACTATATTCGTATGTTGGATAATGATTCGTGGTCTTCCTACTTTACTATTTTGTGATACTGCATTCGTTGCTTCTTGTTTATTTATTTAAGTATCGGAGGTCATACAGCGAGCGATAATTGTTTTTTAGGTGGTGCTTAGCCTTGTATATTTTTACTAATATGTAACTGGCTAGCACTCTATTACGAAAGAATAATGTAAAAAATATATTTTTTTGAGATGTATGTATATGTAATTAAGAAATTGTTTTTATCTACTAGAAGGTAGGCGATGATTATAATTATATCTGTATATGTACCATAATAGATCAATGTGATGGTTTTTTAAAATATATTGAGAAGATAATGATTCTTTTATTCCACCAATAAACAATATGTGATTGGGCCATGAACAAAAAAACAGTTGTATCACTTAGTTTTTTAGTTCACACTAAACTAAACAAAAATAATTTTAATAATGTTTGTAAGGAAGTCCAACAAGAATTGAAGTACGAAAATAATGGTATTAATAAACAGTATCTTGAGAATTTGACAGCTACAGAAGCTACAAATTACTCTGGAAGGCCACAAAAAAATTCATAAGGCAATCCTCTACCCAACCCTTCAATAAAGGATCATTCAAATATCTGGGCAAAAGAAGATTCAGAAGAGGCGAGCATTTTTGCTGAACACTTGCAGAACGTATTCACTCCCTATCCTGCACAATGCACTGAAGAAGAGGAAAATCCTAGACGCGCCGTATCAAAATTGAACAGGGCGAAGTGCTGAGGATAAACTTACAACATATACTAAGTGACATATAAATCCGAACACCCAGTTTAAATGGTTTTATTTTAATAAAAGTTGGTGAATGTATCTTACTGTAAATAACAAGTGAAAAAATTTTCAGCCTTATCAGTTGGACATTCCGGTTTTTATACTGCTTTTTTTTAATTCACTAACGCTCTAAAAATGAATATTTCAGCCGCAGTAAAGAATCAACGTTGGCGGATTCTGGTTCTTGACATCCTTTACGATCGGTTACGATGCCTAGAGTACGGAAACCTGTACGATTTCGTCAACTTAGTGAGTTTGATAGGATCCGTATAGTGGGACTTCGGGAAGCTGGACTTTCTTTTCGGGCAATTGCAGTTAGAGTGCAAAGAAGTGTAGACACTGTGGTTAGGTGTTGTCAGGCATGGCTTCGAGAAAGCCGTACGCAAAGAGCAAGGGGCACTGGACGCCGCCGTAGAACAACAGACCGTGAAGATCGCCGCCTAAGGTTATTGGCCTTAAGGGACCGTTTCTCCACTACCAGGTCCATTGCAAATGAATGGTTTGCAGAACACGGAAGACCTATTGGCATGCGAAGTGTTTACCGACGAATGAGAAGTTTTGGCTTGTTTTCATACCGGCCACACTGGGTCCTCCCTTTAACTCGAGAACACCGACGTAATCGCCTTGAGTGGTGCAGACAACGGTCACTCTGGGATCAGGAATGGAACAGTATTGTCTTTAGTGACGACTCTCGATTTTGTTTAGGCATGCACGATGGTCGTGCCAGGGTTAGAAGGCGACGTGGTGAAAGGAGGAATCCACAGTTTTTTGTTGAAAGACATGTTCATCACACTGTTGGAGTTATGGTTTGGGGTGCTATAGCTTATGGTTCCAGGTCACCTTTAATCTTCATCAGAGGTAACATGAACGCGCAGCGTTATATCCACGAAGTTCTAGAACCCCATCTTTTACCCTATCTTGACACCCTGGCAGATCCAACTTTCCAACAAGATAATGCCCGACCACATGTTGCAAGAGTCACAATAGACTTCTTTCAACATAATGATGTCACATTGTTACCATGGCCACCAAGATCTCCCGGCTTATCCCCAATTGAGCACGTGTGGGATATGATGGGTAGGAGATTGCTCAATTTGCAACGTCCTCCTCAGACTCTAGAAGCACTTGGAGAGGAGTTGGTGGTTGCCTGGAATGAGATACCACAGGAGGACATTGACCACCTGATCAGAAGCATGCCTAGGCGCGTTGGAGAATGCGTAGCACATCAGGGTGCATCCACACATTATTAAAGGACAAAGGGCTTTGAAGCAGTGCAATCATTTTGAAATTTTTATCATTTACTTATGCTTCATTAAGTACTTATACAAAATTTTATTAAAATAAGACCATTTAAACTGGGTGTTCGGATTTATATGTCACTTAGTATATATATTTGACACTATATTTCGAATCAATTACTATCCTAGCAGTTGGAAGGTTGCCCAGATAAAATTGTTCCTGAAACCTCTAAAGAACCCTAATAAAGTTGCCTTATAGACCCATAAACCTACTACTGGTGCTCACAAAACTTTTTGAAAAGTGTACACAAAAAGGTTGCTTGAAATTGTTGACGAAACTAAATTAATACCATACGATAAATTTGGTTTCTGGGTAAAACATGGTGGTATTGAGAATGTAAATAAAATTAATGCGGATTTTGACAACAAAACAAACTATTCAGCTGCATTTCTCGATGTATCCCAAGCATTCGACAAAGTTTGGCATAAAGGCCTGTGCTTTATATTAAAACAACATATCCCTTATCCTCATTACTTGCTTGTGAAATGCTACCTGATTTAGATTAGTCCAAAAACATGCTTATTGCCCATACGGGCAGAGTGCTGCTTTCTCTTAGGGTTTACATAAAAAAAGTTCAATAGCAAGGTCTATACTTTTGTTCCCAAATCGGCGTATTTGCAAAAGTGAATCTTGTGATCGCATTGAGCTTATTTCAATGCTCAGGGGCAGCTTCAGTTTTATGAACCATGAGGCAAATAATAAAATATGCGCCCCCACACAAAAAAAGGTTGTACTAAAAAAAAAGTATAGTAATTGAGAACTTTGCGCCCCCATGGCTCAGCGCTCTGAGGTGGGTGTCTCACTTGCTTAGCTCCTGTAGCTGGCCCTGCCAATGCCCGACAAAGGGTTGAATTCGCAGAACCTTTGTTTTTGTCGTTCAACAATCGGATCGGTTTTTTAGTCTGGTTGTCCATATGCTGACTAAACAATGATACAGAAGAAAATAAATAGAGCAAGGAGACTTAAATCGATTGGCATTGTCAAGTAGAATATTGAAGATGTTGGACCAAATACTGATCGACTGAACTGGATATGTTTGCTTTTCGTCTCTGTAACCATGACCAACCATAGACGTGCTCTTATCAGTGTTCTATAGGTCTAGCTTTGAACACAGACAAGTGGGTATGGTCTTTTGAAAAACTGAAATTGTGAGAGAGTTTCTCACCTACTTGCAGACAACAAAAGACGGATCACAAGAGCAACAAAAGCAGCGTGAATCTAGTCACACTAGGAATTTCACATTTTGCGATTTAGTACACTATTATAGAACATATTTTGCTACATTGGTGATGCTGATCATCTAAACAACGTATTCGTAAGGTTAGTGGCACGCATTGTTTTGTACATTTACGGTTAATCCTTAAATAGCGCGCCTGACAGTGAGATGTAATTAATGATTATACATTCGCATAAGATGAGACACCCATTCATCAAGTTAAATGAATCAGTGATGTCTCAATTATAACATCTGCAAAGGGAATGTATGCCAGAATTCAAGAGGTTGCACTTAGAATTCTTCGACTGAACTGAATGTTTGCTTTTCCACTCTGTAGCTATGACCAACAGAAGACTGCACTGTTCCGTGCTCTTTAGTAACTTATCAGTACCGTATATGTCTAGTCTTGAGCAAAGACAACTGGAAAGCAAACAAGTGAGTATGGTCTTTTGGAAAATTAAACTTGTAGATGGCGTTTCACATCTACTTACACACATCACTGATTCCAAGAGCGGTGTGAATCATCAGGTATTTAACATTTTGCGATTTAGTTCTCCATTATAGAAAATATTTTGCTACATCATTGACGCTGATCTACGTGTGATCATCTAAACAACATATTTGTAAGGTTTAATGACACGCACTGTTTTGTAAATTTACAGAACGCGCTGTTGACAGTGAGATATAAATAATGATTTTACACTCGCGTAACATGCGATACCCATTCATCAAGTTGAATGAATGAAGGATGTCTCATTTATAACATCTGCAAAGGGAAATGTTGTTACCAATTAGGTGTATATCGTTTCATCGACTTTCAAACTTATGCCCCAAGTTACACATGAGAGAGTACGTATATTTTGTTGCTTGATGATTTTTCAAAATCTATTTCAAATATGTATTTCGTAGAACTTCTAAATAAAAAATGTCGGGAGTGAGTATAAATATATTTTTTTATTTCACATCGGGAAAAAAAGATATTTTGCAATCCGGAATCGTATCTGGAATATTTCCAATAGAACATAAAGGTGTTTATAAATAAAATCATGTATAGAATTAATATCGAAAACAAGTAACAATTGAAGTATCTTAACCTTCCATTCTAAATGGGTAACAAAGGGGAAGGATTAATTTCAAGGAAAATAAAACAGGAATGGTATAAATGTTTCATTTATATATTAAAGCAAAACAATATTAGAAACTGTTAAAAAGTGTGTAGTTTGACCTACATTTCACAGCTTGTAAAACACTGTTATTTCAAATTTTTTGCATCACGCCATTTTTCACAATACTCGGATTTTGCTGATTTGTATAAAAATGTACAAAAGGTATATATAGATACACGTCAGTGTACATATTACTATAAAAATACATCATTTCGTAACAAAACATAGAGGACTGGTCAATTCTGTGTTTTGGATTAAAATTTATGAACATATATAATCCTAGAAATTCATATCAAATTATGCTATTTTAGACAATGTATCATCTTCTTGAAATATTCTATGATTTGTTTACTTTATTCTGTCAATCAAAGAAGTTACATGAACATACGACACGGAGGTTTTTGTCCGTATTTTCCAGAAGATATAACTTACGATTACGACTTCTCGTCCAAGCAAAAGAGATGGTTAAACCGACGTTTCATTGTATGATTAAGATATAGTCGGTTGGACAACGGTTGGACCCACTAAATACCTGTGCATTGACCATGTATTTATCATGCCCTAAATTCCAACTGGCATTTCAAACTGGCTTACCATGCACTGAAGGCAGCGGGTATTAAAAATAGACAACTTAGAGACAAGAATAGTCTGCTTTCAGCTAATGTAAAAGGGGTTACAAAACTGAGTTTTTTTTTACTTCCTGGTTTGACACTGACAACCGTCCGACTGCCAATTGTGGGGATGTGTTTAAAGTGTTTTTAATCGGGCATTATTTGGGTATTAGGAATTGGTATCACTTCAGCGTGTATAACACGGAAAGTACCCCTTTGATGAGATTTTGACTCAAGATGCATACTATCCTAAAAACCAAAAGGCTTTGTAGGTATTGAAAATTGATTATGTGTATTTTAGAGATCCCTGAAATTTTATGGAGTCGTTGAAAATTGCGGGCTTGGAAATGTAAAGGGTGAACAGTTGTAAATGTTGCATTTTTGGTATCAATGAAAGCGGTTTTGTTATTAAGAAGCCGTCAATAGCACACATATTTTCCATACATCTACCATTGTAGCAGAAATGTGATAGACTTATTTTCTTCGAGTATAGTTTGATATGTAGAGGTTTACGGTATATCGTAATAAAGTACACATATTTTATCAAGCTTTGCTTTGGATTTTGCGAATTTGAACGGAAGCGTAGGAATAAGTATAGAGTCAGTCTGCTTGACGCCATTTACTTAACAGATGATACAGACTTTAACGAACAATAATCAGAAACGCTCTTTTAAGTCTTTTAGCTGAACATTCAAGGACATAATTCTATCAATTACAGATTTAAAAGGTGTTTCAAGAGTATCCAAATATCTCAGCTCTGAAAGCTGGAGCCAAGACTGAAATTTATCCACTCAATTGACCAGAACTCCTTTGTATGCATATACTTTGACAACAGAACAACAAATTATAAACTAATAAAATATATTCGCTACTGAATAAGATAAAACAAAGGAAGGTGTAATTCTTTTATATACAAAGACCAGAGTATTTGGAAAACAAAAAAAAACAGTATATATAAAAACGCTAAAAGCAACATATTTCTGTTACGTGGTATCTATTCCACATTACAGACAGTTGTAGTAAATCATAAACAAATAATGAGAACCTAAATATTAAAGCTAAGAAGCCATAAGGAAAGCTAATATCACTATTACCGACATATACTGTGCGCAAAAATCAAGTAGCCTGAGTTGCTGCCTGCGCAATAAGTCACTTAGGTGAAAAATATGCTACTGAACACAATAAGAATTCACATTTACTTATAAACACAGCAAACTAGATGTGGAATTGATTCTATCTTTAGCAAAATAATACTCATAGGACTCAAATTGCATGATAACTGCTCTTAGCTGTCTGTATAAGGATTTTCTAGAGCTTTGAAAATATATTTTGTTGATGTAATGTATATAACTTGTCCAACATCCCCGTTTTGCTGATGCCTATATAATGTATAAAAATATGCATTTAAAACTACTATTTTTCGCCCAGTATATAGCTGGCCAACTATCCTGGAGAACCTATATTAAAAAATTAAATATCTCTTTGAGAGTCTAAAATAAATGAAACCAAAACAAACCTTTATACCGGACGCCAAAGATCAACAAACGCCAAAGAAGAACCTCCCCTAAGAAGTGGTTGCTTCCAGTCCGATGAACAAATTCATTTGTCTCCACATAAGGTCTACGTTCTGTCTGAATAAATTACGTTTCGTCTGGAACAAAACGATTGAAAAGGTGCTAAAATGTATTTAATTTATAATTTATTTATAGTGTGGGATCCCACGTACTACGTAGTAAATATCCATCATGTATTAAGAGACAGACACTCATTGAGCAGGATCTATTCTATTCGTCATTGTCTGTCAGAGCGGTCCGTAGGACCTTTGCTCTTGGTTAAAGTCTTGTAAGTCAGGAAGTCTGTCAGGTATGGTTGCCCAGATACCAAACAAAGTCAGGGAGAAAGAAGGGAAGAAGAAAGGAAGGAAGGAGGGAGAGCAAAGAAAAAAGAAGTGCGTCAATTTGAGGGGTGCCTTGGCATTGCTAATTAGTATACAGCAATTTTAAATAGATCCTAAAATTAAGTTTGAGATTATTGTTGAAGAAAAATTATAATTTTGGTTGGACCTAAAGTCGCACGATTTAATTTTGTTCACAGTGCGAGTCACGGCCTTGTGTGCTTGCGAACTTTATCGACTATGTCGTCTACTGACTCGCGCAACAAAGGGTTGCTATGCGATTCCGCTTAACTATAAGGTAGCTACGCTTGTTGTTTGATGTAGTCCCTTAGGTAAGTGATGTCAAGGTATCTGTGAAGGATCTCGTTGGAGACATACCATGGGGCGTTAGTGATTGTACGCACGGTTCTGTTCTGCAAAACCTGCAGGCTACGCAAATGCGTTTTGCAGAGAAAACACCAAGTCGCACTTGCGTAAGTGATCGCTGGTCTAATAACCATCTTATATAGCCGAACTTTGTTGATCAAACTTAATTTTGATGTTGAACATAGCATAGGGTACAGTTGCCGAAACGAGATTTGGAATTTAGTTTTTAACGCTTCAGTGTGCTTCTGCCAGGTCATCCCCTTGTTAAGAGTGACACCGAGATACTTAGCAGAGCTTTCCCATGGTACCCGAGCTGCATTCACTGAAACCTCGGACGGGGCGCCGCCACGTTTTTTAGTAGAATAGATTGCCTGCGTTTTCGAATGATTAATTTTGATCAGCCACCGATTCGCCCATACCAATACCTCGTCCACTGCACTTTGCAGCCTGTCGTGAACTAGATCCCCAGAACACGACTGGGCCACCATGTATCAGCATAGAGCTGGATTTCATAGTTGCTGGGGCAAGGGACGTCATGAATAAAAAGTGAATAAAGGACCGAACCCTGAGGGACACCGCCTTTGATGGACCGTGTTGTCGACAGACCGTTATTAATTTTTATCCGAAATTTTCTACCCTCCAGGAAGGATTTCAAAAGTTTTAGGAGCCAGAAGGGGAAGCCCTTAAGGATCAATTTGTGGAGAAAGCCCTTGTGCCACACCTTGTCAAATGCCTTTGAGACATCCAGAAGCAAGATGCCAGTTCTTTCGTTACGGGTGAACCTCCTGGTTACACGTTCAACAAGCCTAATGGCCTGTTGCTCCGTACTATGCTCAGACCAAAGCCAAATGGCACGTCAGGAATCACATTGTGGTTTGACGAGAAATGTTCAAGGTGACGTAGGATCACCTTTTCAGCGAGCTTAGAAAGAGCTGATAGTAGACTAATGGGGCGGTAATCCTGAGGGAATATCGAACCCACCTTCTTTGGAATCATTATGACATTAGCAGTCTTCCACACCGCTGGGATGTGCTGGGTCCTTAGCATGGCATTGATTATTGCCACGACATAAGTTAAAGACTACCGCGAAAGTAGCTTCAGCGCCTTATTAGTGATTCGATCCCCTCCAGGTGCCTTACGCACCTTGGTCTTTAATATGACCTTTAAGCTCTGCTGGTGTGCAATGCGGAGTCTCAGGAGATTCCGCTGATGTGCCATGCAGCTCTTCAGTTGAGGAATCTTCTGAAGATTTCTCTGAGGAAAAAACACTTAGGGAGACACTACTACCACTGACGCCGTTGACCCTAAAATATCTGACGGATCTTACAATATGTTGCTCCTCGTCGAGGTCATTATCAAGTTCATAGTTGGAAGACAACTGACTTTCCATTGCATCAGCGAAAACCTCGAACTTTTCCTCTGTCCTACAGACTATGCCCCCAGAACCGTGGATGTGCGGAAGTTGTTCTCGCTTTCCGTTTCTGAGCGACTTTGCAACTTGAGTCAAGCATTTCCCTCCATTGCTCATTACGGAATTCATGAAGAGCATTTCTCACTTCATGAACAAGATTCGTTGCTCTGCGAATATCATCTGGGTGACAAGACCCCTTCGCTTGCTTAATTGCAGCTCATTGAGCTATATATATATATACATTGGACTAGGTCATTCTATCAAATCTGACAATGAAGTGATAACTCTGTCAAATTGACAAAGTAATCCCATGCTACTGCTATTCAGCATAAAAGCACTGGCACTGGACCACTGAATAATCCAAATATTCCAACACATTTCGTTTCATTATGCAGTGTTGCGTTTAATCGCCCATAACGGATTTTCTGTGCTATTACAAATCAATTTTATTAATTTTACGGGAATTAGCCTGATACGGGTAACAGCAAGTTTCAGCACTAAAAATCAGTTCTAGACTACACCTAATACTTTGATAAAATGTACTGTAAGAAGTTTACGTAATACACTGCATATTATACTTTCGTATTCGTTTGGTCTCAACTTGGGTCAGTACCCGCCCCATTAATAAAAGTAAGTATCCCTCCACGTATAGATCTTGGTATGGTCTGCCCATGGTAGCCTCTAGAACCTTAGAAAGCCAATAAAATCCCGTAAAGCAAAAAGAACACGTTAAGATACGTAACTGTTACACTAGGGCTGGGTATTCCGCACGGTAGTCAAGTAAATTGATTGCTTACTTGATGTTTGTTAAAGAATAAGCATTCTATGATTTTATTGATGTTTTCAAAGAATTTTTCAACCAGAATTTTGTATAGCAACAGTGAGACACTTATTTTCAATAAAATGCTCAGTAATGTCAATCTATTGTAGCAGGTTTGATCCATGTGTATAGTAGGCCTCAAATCCTTCTTTTTGATTCGTGGATTTTGCGACTATACGCAAATTATTCTTTTTGATCGGTGGAATTTGCAACAACATTTGCGTACGAACACAAATGAAAAATAGTTTTTGGAGCAGAATCATATGATATATAACGTATTTTTTTGATTTAGTATGAGAATTACACAAATCGTATAATTTTTATCTAAATTCAGCGGCATTTAACAATAAATCGACCAAATTCATTATACCCATGCCTTCATGACTATGTTGAATTTTAATTTTAAATGAAGATGACTGCCTTAAGTATTACCTTAAATTATAATCGGCTGCAGAATACCATGGCGTCGGGTTCAAGCATCAATGTCCCCATCCTTTAGTCAACCGTTTCCATAAGCTAGGCTTATCGATATTCGCGGGCGGAGGTTGGTCATTCTTGATCTGCTCCAGGAATCCTGCAGTCTCACTTTGCGCATTCGCTTCAGTCGCGTCGCCGATTTCTCTCAAGTCCCTCATCATCTTCCGCCGAATGGTCTTTTTCATGCTCAGATGTCTCTCTAAAGTCTTATACTTGTGCTTGGATCTGGTGTCGATCCCATTGCCTTCAGGAATCTTTGGGTTCTCCTTGTTGCTTTCCGAATCTCTGCTAACATTCCAGATATCCCTCACATCCTTTATTTTTCGTTCGTTCATTGAAGACATTTTTCATTATAAACTCTGGAATAAAAACACGATAAGTGTAACACATAACAAGTTGTGAAACGGCATCTTTTAGACACACGGGGCTTGGAGAAGACAAAACCGAATAGATTACTGGAAATACCTAGTATAGCAACACGTTTTAACATATATTAAAGGCTTTTTCAAGTGATATGACTTATAGTGCAAACCGGACGAAAGAATAATATATCTATTTGTATATTATACGTATATATATATATATATATATATATTTCTAAAAATAGAAACCTGAATTTTGTTACTTTATGTAGGATATCAATTATTGATGTCTGACTGGAATCTTTTGATGCGCAAAAATGTTTACCATACGATGCTACTGCCTGCTTGGCAGACCTTTCCACATTTTTGATACCCTTGGATAAGGCGGTAATACCGTTCAATTCTCGATATATTATGATACCCAGTTTTAATAAGGTAAAAGTGAGTCGTATCACCTACCCCCTGACGATGTAAGAGAGCCTTTGGGGCTGTTTCCCATGGAAATTTCACCTATAGTTTGGATAACCCTTTATCTGAACCACATCAAATAAGTATGGACAACATACTGAGTTTTTCATATTCAACTTATATTTTTTGGTGAAAATCATTTATGGAAAAACCGTATATATTCCTATTGTACATGCTGCGAGGAACTATGATATGGATAAAATGATAATGCTACATTTGTTTCCACACCACATTTCCCGAAATTTGTCATTCTATATGTTGGAATGTCTGTCAGTTTGCTCTTTGGTGATTTTACTACCGTGTGGTCTCAGTAATCGCTATACTGATCTTGATGAAACAACACGTGTGGGATGAAAGGAATGGGGTCATATAAGTAAGTAATGTTGCTACATTTTTAAACTAGGCTGAGCAATTATGGAAGCAAGACAAAAAAACTGTTAAAATCAATGGGCAAAACATTTTCAAACTTTGTTGACATACATCTAAGACATCTTACACATATATATATACAAATGAAGACGTTTTTTAATGTTTTAGTACGAACATAGCAGTAAGTGTATGGGACTACATTTCTTTACTCAAACAGGTATAATAATTAAGAAAAATAAACGATTTTTAAATATTACGAACTTAAAAACACCTTTTATTGAAATGTTTATATGCTTATAGTAGGTACATTCAAGAGCTCCACTTACAGTTTATTGTAACACCTAGCATTTATATTGATATACATTACATAATAATAATAATATCATTATTGAATGTTGGTTTTCCGAAACATGCAACGTATAACGAGAATTTCAAAAATTGTTCCTATCACCACTTGACCAATATTGCTTAAATTTTCGTGAAAGTACACAAAAGCCAATAAAACATACTGTATGAATGTATGCATCAGCGTGTTCTTTTGTCCATAATAAGAGGAAATTCGAACACAAATTAACATCCTTTTCACTAAATCCATGCATAATTTAGAAAGCTACTTTACTGTTCCTGTACAATGCTCCTTTTTTGTTGTTATCTAAGAAGGTTGCACTAATACACTACAACTGGACCAAACTCGAAATAATAAAAAACAATGTTACCTCGACACTTTCATAATTGCATAAAAATGTACCGCTAGTAGTACACAGTACACTCACTCAAAATAAACTGAATTTGTGGATATTGCACTGGCCTCTTACCTCATGTCTATAACACAATTATTACTAAAACTAGTTGGTGAATAACACCTCAGACCTAACAGTATAAATAAGTCATTTCACGAGATGTGTCTCTAGAGTCAAGGATAACAACTCTCGTGAACTTTTTTCTTATTTTCTATCTCCTCCGTCGGACGGTAAACCGTTCTTCGGCGCTCTAATAAAAGCCATATCTCGCAGACAAAAGAATAACGAAAAGGTAGTACTTACGAGGAGATATAAACGAGGCGATGCTTGGCTCGGCAACAACACTTACAAAGCGGTACTTGCGGTTCGAATTCAGCAGTTCTGCTCCTCTGAACAAAATTTACTTTTACTTTCAAATATAGCCGGAGTCGAACGCAAGCAGTACTTGACGAGTTCGGGCGCTGTTTTGTATTGTTGCTTGGGCTTTTTTACTTTCCTTGGATTTGAACGGATCCGGCCTTTTCGGTTGTGTGAGTCAGCCACCCTCTTCTGTGCATTCAGCATTTTCATCCTTGAGGCCGCGCTCATCCAATAATCAATTTCACTTCCCTTTGGCTGTAGGGCATGGTCCTTCATCCTGCATAGCGTTATTATAGTGTAGTTATCGTTGTACATAACAATGGGAAAAAAGACTTTTCTGGGATTCAACCATCAAATTCAGACTAGGTAGAAGGACCAAGCCTATGATTTGTTTGTCTCCAAAATCTCATAGTCTCTAGTAAGAATAAAAGTGCATGCCACAAGTCGAGCAGGTTGATATTTCACGTTAAATTCGTATTTTCCACAATTTTCGAAAATGGTTAAAGTTTCTGTGGAATGTATAAAGACATTTAAACGTTTTAATCGATCGATAAGTGTTAATATATTATATATAGCCATCGGCGTTGCGAAAGGGCTTTTACCTAGACAGTTGTGATGTAATTTTGATTTATTTCAGTCCACTTTTTGTTTCTGTGAGTGCTCAGTCCGAATTTAGGGTTTGTTAACATGATTCTATACGTAACAACAGTAAAAAATGAAAAGTATTGGAGACATTTTTTTATGGATACTGAAATGGTCCAATTGAAACTAACTTTGAGTCCTATCCAAATACTTCAACATTGGATATAAAACTTCTTAGGAAACATTTTACTTTCATGTTACAAATAGCAATCTTACGTTCCCCTTTTATTGCTACGAGATTCTGCTTTTAGTCAAGTATCCGCTCGGATCACAACAGCTATTTAACAAAAATCGAGTAGAATTCAAGCAAGGTGTCATACTATTTCCAGTATCAAGTGTGTTAATTGTTGTACATGACAATGTGGATAATGATTTGTCTTTCATTTTGTGAAAATCAAGCAATGAAGAGGTGCTATCAATTGTAGATGTTATGACTATTGGCGGTGTTAGACGAGTGCCACACGACCAGTATTTACTGTGATTCGTCAGTATTTATCATGGAATGTGATAGTTATATTGACCGCCAGGACTTCAGTAATTATTGATGTATAGGATTACGTAGAAATCCACTGACACTCACGGAATGATTAGTAAATACTGATAGTACGGACCACAGTAGAGGTATAGCTTATTGCGTCATCACCTACAAGAATCGGCCGACATTAGGAGCTTTCGAGAAGTGTTGATTGACATCGTCTAGAACTCCGTTAAAGCCCTGGAAGGTTCTGGATTGTCCAGGGTTTGAACATAAATAGGGGCTAGGACGGCAGAATGGAGTAGTGCGCGGAATCAGTCGACATAGTCATAAATTTGTATTAATTAATTACAAGCGGTGTTTTAAATTAGTGTGAAGGTAATAAATTAGACTTTAAGCAGTATTGAAAAGGGGTTTTGTTATAATATAATTAGTTACAAGCGGTGTTTTAAATTAGTGTGAAGGTAATAAATTAGACTTTAAGCAGTATTGAAAAGGGGGTTTTGTTATAATATATGTATATACCATCGCATTTCCCTTCTCTATGCTCATTCAATAACCAATTATTATTATATATTATACTTTTCTTTGGCTTATGGCATGGTCGCATGGTTCTTTATCGCCGCATAATGTTCTTATAGTCTAGTCAATATGGAAAATGGATTTTTTCATGCATTCGGTGAAATTCAATAATAGGCTTAGAAATACACATGAAGCTAATCTCGATTAAAGATGATATCATGATTATTATAGATTGTTGTGGTATTGTTGGTTGTGCTTTTTCACATTTCATTGAGTTTGGAGCTGTCCAGCATTTTTTCAGTCAAGTATGAGACAGTTTCCTCTTCTGTGGCCATTCAGCATTTCAATCCTTGGTGCCGCACTCATCCAATAATCAATTTTACTTCTCTTTGGCTGTACGGCATGATCCTTCATCACCGCATAACGTTTTATTATACTGTGGTCGGCACCGCAACAACGTGAACAATATATATATATATATATATATATATATATATATATATATATATATACAGGGTGACTTTGAAGTTGAGTCATTAATTTTCAGATAATGATTGTAGAAGGAAGATAAACCAAAATATGTGTGTAAAAGTAAAAAAAAATTTACCTTGTTTTATAAAGTATCCTCCCGACAAGTATTTCAGTGCGGACCTGTATTTGATCGTGAGGTCTTGGAGCACCGGCATGCCGTCCCCTGTGAGGTCTTAAGTCACCTGATTCACGAGCCCGTTGTACTACATTAACAAAGGCACGAGGGTTTGGTTGCACTTGATTGGGAAACCGATCCGCATAAACATGTGCCATTTTTTATTTCGTTTGAGCCACGCAACAAACACCACTATTCACTCACGCGTTACTGACTGAATAAAAACATCGTTATCAGCGTTTCAAATTCTTTCGCTTTTTTGTTTCCGATGAAATAGCCCTTTGGAAGTTCGTGTACCGCCCTGTCTCAATAATAATATTATGTGCTCGTGTTTGGCGACAACGGATATAATCCGCCTTATCGGTTCATCGCATCGGAAACAAAAAAGCGAAAGAATTTGGAACGATGTTTTTACAATTATTTGTATACAGTCAGTGTCAGTCGGTAACGCGTGAGTGAATAGTGGTGTCTGTTGCGTGGCTCTAACGAAATCAAAAATGGCACATGTTTACGAAAATGCTGAACTTGTGGACATGCGGCATCACGGATTTATGCGGATCGGTTTCCCAATCGAGTGCAACCAACCCCTCGTGCCTTTGTTAATGTAGTACAACGGGCTCGTGAATCAGGTGACTTAAGACCTCACAGTGGACGGCATGCCGGTGCTCCAAGACCTCACGATCAAATACAGGTCCGCACTGAAATAATTGTCGGGAGGATACTTTATAAAACAAGGTAAATTTTTTTTTAATTTTTTTTTTTATTTTTACACACATATTTTGGTTTATCTTCCTTCTACAATCATTATCTGAAAATTAATGACTCAACTTCAAAGTCACCCTGTATATATATATATATATATATATATTCTTATTCGGTAATCTAGGTATACACGAAACTGTTGTGCTTAATAATTAGATGATATTATCAGAAATATTAGCACATTATATAGATGTACAACAGCTGCTTGAAATTTTATGACAATGTTGATAATTGAGATGCTTCTCGGACTTCCATTGTTTATAAGGTTTTTACCGTTTATACCACCGGCCACGTCATCAAATCTAATAAGTAGACAAGAAAGGAGCATGTTCTCCAGTTCACCTGATGGCGATTGAAGATCACATCAAAACTGTCCTCAGGAGAAACGTCGTGACTCAAGAAAACTTTATAGACAATAAAAGTCCGAGAAAAAGCATCTCAGACGTATAACAGCTTCATTGAAACTTTGGTATTTCTAGTTAAATTATGAAGCTTATCTCTCAGGGAAAACATTTAAAACTTTTGACTAGGTATGAACCCCACGTTACCATACTATTTAAAACGGTATCATTTTAAAACAATCAATAACATGTAATAACTGCTACGCACACAGAGTAGGTAATTTTATTTGCATGGTTATCATATGTATTAGTGATAAAATTGATACACTTGAAGCAAATATTCTAAATGTAAGATTATCATATTTGAATGCCCGCTTTGAAAATCCACTTCAGTCTCGACCAATAGGAATTCTCCAGCTGTACACACCGGTATCTGTAGCGGTGTCATTCACGTCGGCGACCTTGTTGCCATATTTAATTCATGTCATTATCCGTAGTTCTCACTTTGAAAATTCAGATAAACATTAATCAAATCCAAGCGAATAACCAAAATTTCTGTGTTATGTACCGCGGTTATAATATGGTTCAAGATGACACACCTGTTGATGACGTCAGTTACTCGAGTGGCTTGAACGCGATGGTTTTATCCGCGGTTTTGTTGCAAGTTATTTTAGAAAAGTGCGTATATAATTTCTGATTAATTGTATTATCACTTAATAATCGGTGTTTTTTCGTCTTCTACGGAGTATGGAAAGTTTAAAAAAGATACGTTCTATAATATTAATGGAAGAAATGTTTTTTCAGATTTTTTTTAATGGGGAACCATGGCTTTGTAGCTATGATAACTTTCAATTCTCTAAACTTTTCCGCATGTCAAAGAAAATATTTATTGATTTAGCAGAAATGATAGGAAAAAGCGATGAAAAAAAGATATTAGCATATCCGTATACAGGTGGACATCATCAAGTGAGTTCATATGGTCATATTTTAATATTCTTGTGATATATGGCTACACAGCATACCTTGTTTAGCATAGGAACTAGATTTAAAGTGTCCCCAACAACAGTAATGATTATAACTACTAAGGTGCTCTACTTTATGCTAAAACTGAGGTCAGTCTGTATCCCAAAAATGAATATGAAGTACAATAAAGATATCCAATACCCGGCAAAATTCTAACTTGTCACATTTCAGATAATAACCAGAAATATAAAACTACTCCTGAGTTGGGTAAATACCACAATTTTGCGGTGATAACTATGACATAAAACAGCTGATTCACGACGTCACGGATCTTATAACCAAACTGATAACCACCTTCGGAACGGATAGGTAAATATCAATCCAACATGGTAAATACCATTTTTATTTGGTTATTCACTTGAATTTGATTATTATTATGTGATGGCCCATGGTGTAAAATTATAGCACTGGGGGCTGTATAATGCCATGGGGGAGATATACGCTTATATCGCTCAAGATACAAAATTTTATTTTAGCTAATAACAAACAGAATCTAGATTGGCTTTTAAGATAAATTAAAAATAAATAAATGACCGTCTGTTGTATCATCGGTAGTTGCACCGTTGCCTAGAAACGAATAACTCAGGACAACTCCTGAGTCAAGTGTTCAGCATCACTTGAAGTGGAGTCGATGTAGACCGAAAAGTGAGATCTAGCTGCCGTAAAATATCTTCATAAAGTATACTTTCCGCCCGAGCAAGATAAAGTTTAAACTTCCTACCTTTCCGTATTTTTTAATGTCTCCAGTGGAAATTTAGTCGAAAATATGTATGTATTAAGAGCTCAAAGTGCTACTTCACCTCTCGGGAAATAAGAAGATGTGAAGCGGAGCGAGGCGATATGTTTTACGAGAGCGGCGTTAATAATTTGTGTTCGAATTGTAAATAATGTTTCGCTACAATCAGAGTTTAACTTTTACTTATCTAATCATTGTAAAATTGGTTCGAATTCATGGATACAAATCAAATCACACGATGACACTTGGAATTCTTACCCAAGTAGTGACCATTTTTTCTACGTTGTCGATCTAGACCGGAAAAGCTGTTATTGGCTATTGATCCCTGGAGAACATTACTCTGCCTTTCAAACTTCAAGCTTAGCGGTTTCAGAAAAATTAATTTTTTTTCTACGCATATCGAATGAAGGAACGACGATATGGCAATAACGATTTTAGAGAAAAACAACTATTTTTGACTCATTGTTAAGATGAACGCAACTATACAAGTGATGGGGGGCAAAAACAAATGTTATTACAAGAATGAAATATTTTATATGGAACAATGTCGCCTATAAATATAACTTTTATGACGCTAAATAATAGTGAGAATGTTTAATATGCTAAAAATGGCAGATCTTACTTTTACAAAGATTTTTACGAGGTTTGAGCTCCGTTCTGAATACCTAGGAGAAATCTAGAGATCCTCTTGAAAATTTCTTAGCATGGCAACGCCGCTAATTCGGCGGGCACTTCACCAGACAGAGGCCGAATCAGCCACGTAAATAGTTCCTTTACTACTCTCCACCAATCACCGCCTTCCATCTGTCTGGATAATGCGACAGTCAAGACATACGGACCTTTGCTTAGCGCTTATGACTTGTATAAAACAGTGAGCTCAATAGAGGAAAGCGAGTCTGTGATAGTTGCTGTAATTCAGATTAGACACACACCTCTGAATATTTTTTTGGCATTCAGCGGATAAACGTGTGGCTTGTTTGACGTGTTGGAGAGTGGATTTTAAGAATTTAGCGTAAAATATGAAGTATTCTTTGGTATTAGTGATACTTGCGTATATTTACGCAGCCCAGGCCAAAGTGTACTTTGAAGAAAAATTCAATGATGGTAAGTTTTCAATTTCCATCTATTATGAACTTGCTCACCGGCTCGGTGGCCTATACATTCTAGAAGAAATCATGCTTGGTAGGAAGTTAATAGGACTTCTTTTGCTTTCAGATTCATGGGAGAAACGCTGGATATACAGTAAACACCCCGGAAAAGAGTTCGGAAAGTTTGTAAGGACTGCTGGGAAGTTCTTCAACAATGAAGAGAAGGATAAAGGTAAATTTCCTGATTGCTCAATAGTTTTCAGTTTTCGTTGCCAAAAATACTACAGTAATTCAAAATACTGGAAGTTGTATTATTTTGATTATTGGCATAGTTTCATTAATAAGTAATCAAGGGAAAAATGATTAATATGCAGACTTAAAACCTTGCAATGTTAGGAATGTTTAGACGCTCTGATAATAAGTCTGAGTCTGTGTAGACCACTTTTATTATGGAGTTAAGTTCAGAGTATTTTGGATATCTGAAAATGATATGTAGTTTTATCTCAGTGGTCAGATGTTAAGGCAAAGTCAGGATTTGATCTATTATTATTTTCATGTTGGCACTACCAGGGCCTCAATGTAGGGCTGCAATTGACTAATTTTGTGTAATTTATGGAGAGAAAAATGTAAATACCCCATTATGGAAAATATCAATGTTTATGCCTATAACTGTAAATTGCATTATTAGAAAATCTAGCACTGACTATTCTGTTGAATTTAATTGATCTATAATTTTTCTCTCAAGCTACCTAGGTCACCCTAGCTGAAGATCTGAATTATAACTGGTAGGGTACTTGAGAAAACATCTACTGTTTCTCCTCTAAACAAAAGATGATATCGGGAAGCTACATAAAGACAAAGAATCAAAAATGCCAGAAACATATACAGTGAAAACTTCAGAGATAAGTAAAAAACCACAAATCAAAGTTATTGGATTTTGTCAAGAATATGTAGAAGATGAGCTAATAAATACTATAGAATCACAAAATGAATCTTTTCAAGAAAATTTACATATGAGAGTAATTACAGTCAAGAAAATGAAAGCTAAATATCAAGCAATTTTAGAAGTGGATGCTGTGACCTTTAAGTGTGTTATGAACGAGGGTGTTATTTTTACTGTCATGTCTGTTTGCTCTGTTTTCGAGTACAACCATTTGTTTTGCGATGCTATAAATATACCGGGTTTAACTACACAGCTAGATTCTGCACAAAATCAGGAAGATGAATTACTTGTGGATTAGAAGGACATTCAACAGAAAACTGTAGTACCTAGGATTACCTATTAATCATAGACCATTTGACAAAATTTGTGAAGTATATGAAAGGAAAATTGAGCGTGAGAGGGAAAAAATTAGCAAATGAATAGCAACTACTAATCCCAGATTTGCAAGATGTGGCTAAATCTGTAAGTGATGAATATAACTCAATATACCAATTAAACATACAAGGTGTCCTAAATAATATAGATGAAGCTCAACAGTTTTTAAGATGGAGAAAACCACTTGTACTATGTCTTACTGAAACACATGCTACAGAATACATCACGGATGGTGAATTACAAATTATTAATTATAATATCTACAGATGCAACTCCAACTCCAGACATACTAGAGGTGTAGTGATTTATGTTAACGACAAAACACAGATCAAATTATTCGATTGTACCACTTTAGACTATGCGTACTGGTATGCACATATACAGTTCAAATTATTAGGGAAACGTTATGATCTTTGTACTTTTTACCATTCACCAAACAGTGATGCGGATACATTTTTAATGTTTTTTGAAGAGAAATGCGAAGAAATGTGAAATTTTAGAAACAATATAATACTTTTAGGTGATTTTAATTTAAATTATTATAGCAAAAGCATGAGAACAAGAAAATTTAACAAAACCATAAATAACTATGGGTTCAAGCAAAAAATTGAAGAATACCAGAATAACATCATTATCAGAGACTTTGTTAGATCTTGTTATTGTAAATTTCGATTGTGAAGGGATTAAAGCTGTACATACACCTAAAGCTGGTGATCACAGTGGACAATGCTGCCCTTGCTAGGACTTTTTTCTGATACAAAAATTGAAAAAATCGTTAATACTATTAAGTACGAAAAACTTAAACGAGAAATTGCTGGCTGCTATTGGAATTTTGGTGAAAACATGTAAAAAATATATGACAACATAATAAGAAATATAAAAACTTGTTTAGATCTTGCAACTGATAAAACAGTGATTTGCCCGACAAAAAATGCAGCCTGGTATAACAAAAATATTAAGGCAGCTCAAAATTTGAGAGACAAACAATACAATAAATGTATATTCGCAAAACTCTTAGGAATAAATGTGTGTATGTGATTAGAGAAGAAAAAAGGAAATTCTACGATAAACAAATCGATAATAACAAGTGCGACAGTGTAAAGATGTGGAAGACTTTAAAAAGCTGCATGACTGTGTAAATCAAGTTCAATTCGAAGACAGTACCGAAACAAATTCTTTGGTGATTGCAAACAAACTAAATGAATATTTTGTGGAAAGTATTGTTGATATTGTGGGTACTGCCAATGCTGTACCTCACTATATGAAAATCAGTTCCCAAAATAAAAAATTCTAAAAGATGCAGCGATATGAGACCAGTAAATGTGTTACCAGACATTGAAAAATTATGAGAGTCCATAGTGCATGACCAGTTAATGCAGTTTATAGAAAAAAAACAAATTTTAGTCGAGGCGCAAGCAGGCTTATGAAAAAAATATTCCACAGAAACGGCTTTCCAGTTTGTAACTGAGAATTCGAGAAGAGCCATAGACTCAGAAGAAGTTGTCATAGCAGTATTTTTTGATTTGAAGAGGGCATTTGAAACGATTGGTAGAGATATTTTGTTAGGTAAATTGAAGGCATATATGGTATATCAGGAAGTATTTTATATTGGTTTAGAAATTATTTGTCTAAAATGATGCAAATTACAAAAGTTAATGACACTAGTTCGTCAAAAATTAAAATTCCACAGGGCAGTATCCAACTTCTTTTTATTTTATACATAAATGATTTACCTGTCTTGGTCAAAAAATGCAAAATTCAGATTTTCGCCGATGACACTATGATTTATATAAGTACTAAAAATATTCAGACTGGCATAAGTGAAGACTTCAAACTTTTCTCAAAATGGTTAGCATCTAACAGACTAAAATTAAATACAAGAAAAACGAAAGCTATGTTAATCGGAAAAACAATGTACAAATGTTCAACTGAATATTGATGGTAAAGATATTGAATTTATAGAAAATTTTAAATACCTGGGGTTTTTTGTTGACCCTCGATTAGTTTTTGATATTCATTATGAAAAAGTTATAAATAGGATTAGTATTAAAGTGGGATATTTATCGAGAGTTTCTGGATGACTGAGTTCATATAGCAGAAAAATTATCTATCATACCATCATTCTTCCAAATTTCTTGTACTGTTCGACTATTCTATATTTAGCAAATAATTCCATTTTTGAAAGACTGCAAATTTTACAAAATAAGTGTATGAGAATAATACTGAATAAAGATAAATATACTCCAATTAGACAAATGCTTAGCAATTTAAAATGGCTCAATGTAAAAAAATTTATCAAATATCTTGTAATGATATTCATTTATAAAGTAAAAAATAATATATTCCCATCAAGTCTAACTAATTTAACATCATCAAATGTCGACCATCATTTACATAATACCAGATGACTTCCATTTAATGACCAAAAAGTATAACATATGCTACAAATCTGTATTCCATCAAGGGTTGATTGAATATAATAAATTATACACAGAGATAAAAGACCAGAAAACTTTGACAAAATTTAAAGTTAAATTGAGAAATCACTTGTTAAATTACAATTATAGGTTGCCCAGCATTTACATCAAACATCATATAGCTTGAATTTACTAAGTTGTTTACAATTATTCTGTTTATGTAGCCAAATGTGCTAAATAAATCTTTCTACTGCTACTACATTTGTTTCCTTTGAAACTTGATTAAACAACCAGGTGGATATGGTGTCTACTTATGTATATCAAGAGAAAAGGGTATTAGGACATTTTATTTGTAATTCACTCTTCAAATTCTGATATCCCAGTTTTTTCATCCAATTTATAGGGACAGGTGTTCACTATTTGGTCAATAGATCATATGCTATATGAACAAAAGAAACATCCTACTTACTTGCATTGTCACTCTATGGTCAACACAATTTAAGATTTACTTGCCTAGCAAGGTAATTTAAGCTGTGAGTGTTTTACCCTTTAATATTTTATATGTATCCTGATTTAACTTGTTTTAGGTTTTTAAAAGAGAATATTTTGATAACATACTTTGTGGTTTAAACATTCTGGTCCAATGCCTATATAATTTTGTCCATATTGTTAAGTCAATTTATTCAATATCTTTTACTTGCTACTGGCTAAGTTGTTTTTTTATGAGTCGAATTAATAAAGTATCACTGCATCAGTTCTCAGGATATATTTAACAGAAATACCCAAAATTTGGTTCTTGGACCTTGACCTGAACTTGGCAGGTTTACTCTATTTCTAAATATTCTCAGTTCATATAAAAATAACCAAGTTGTTGATATATATTAAGAATATATCCAGTAAAAAACACTGAATCAAGCAAACAGAGGCATATAAAGTTCAGTGACAGTTGATTAAACAGATTTTAATGGCTGGAAGCTAGATTCACTTAAATAATTGGGACCTTGCAAAGTATGCATTACAAATTTGTTTGGATTATTAATTAACTCATACATGCAAAGAAAATCCTGTTATAAGGTCATTTTATTTAATGGGTAAAATCATCAACGTCAGAGCCAGCCAGCCTTACAATTTTGTCAGTACTGCTTGATAAAAACAAACAATCATAATAGTTAATTACATAGGTACCTAGTTAGTAGGTTAAAGTATAGGTCAAGAGAATTATTGTGGATAAAGAAATGCAATATCAAAAATTATGCAATATTTACTGTGGGAATTAAAATTTTTTATCCATCATTTTATTGCAACAATAAATTTATTTCATTCAATGTTTCGCTTTTTCATATCCTCGACAAAAAGTTAGGGGTTTACTTGAAAATTTGTCTGATATTAAAATGACCTTGATGGTCATGGTCAGGTTCATTGGCAAGGGTATTCATGAACTTGAAATTATTGTCCACAATTGTTTCCCATTAAAAATGTATTTCAAATTCAAATTCATGAACATACTTGAACATAAAGTTTCTTACTCTTTTCATTCCACTATCAAAGCTAGGCGCCAAATCACTCTGGTTTTAAGCTATCCTTGATTTGCTATGCATTGATCAGGAATAAATTGTCATATTGACATGAATGTATGCAATATGAATTGTGCCTGGTGAGAGTGACACAAGTCTAAATCCTTATGGTCCCAAATAAAGCACGCTATTTAACACTATTTGGATAGTTTATTTCCACAACTTGTCGATTTGCTCAAAATTTTCTAGCTGCTTAAGTGTACCTCAGAGGGAAACTAGGCGTTGAACAAACTATTGTTCTCTTCTCTTTAGTGATTGACATGTGAAAAACTGTAATATGTTCTACTATCAAATAGATTCGTTTAATTTTAGTATTTAGTAGGAATATTGCACTCTTGAATAGATAATTGGATTGACGTACTATTTGGAGGAGATCTCCATCTATACATTACTAAATAAACAAATACATTTTCTTGGTGAGACATTGAAATTTCAAATACCAAAATTATGTTCACCCTTATACAATAAATTCCCAGCAAGTGTGGAGACACAAGAAGAGTTAAGCAACTCATTATTTATAGCAACTTTTAAATAAGTTCAAAATGTCTTTTTTCTAATGTGTATCAGGCTGTTCATATATATCTTGTATCTTGTGAAAAATGTAACATATTTCTCATTTGTCTTATACCTAGTATTTCTTTCATTGTATCATTTGTTCAGTGAGTGCCTTGTTAGTGTGTGTTCATTATAATTTCTTTTTAATCTTCTGACAGATTCAGTATTATTATATTGCAATTCATAACAAAGGCAGTCAAGTAACCAAAAATGTATGTAGTTTAGTAGTTAGTCTCTTTTTGACAATTCAATAAACAATAAACGTTTTCAAAAAAGATTTGAAAGTTATTTCTAAATAATGATATCTAACAAAAGCCATGCAAAAACTAAAGTTGAATCCATGCACTTTTTAGAATAAACCGAATAACTCAGGTAGTAGATTTTTGACTAGTCTGTTGATTATTAGTATCTCATTAATTACTCATCTTCCCTTCACTGATGTAACTTCCTTGAAAATAAATTTTCAATGCAAGTTTGGAATTGTCTATGTGTATTCATTCATTTGTTCATAATTGATTTAATGTGAGGTTAATTGAAATCTAATATCTTTTCCAGGTATCCAAACGTCACAAGATGCACGATTTTACGCCTTGAGTACAAAGTTTGAGCCTTTTGCGACTGATGGCAAAGACTTGGTCATCCAGTTTACAGTCAAACATGAACAGAACATTGATTGTGGAGGAGGGTAAGCCTAGGGATACAATTCTCAATTTGGACCAATAAGCCATCATTATTTCCACATTATTACAATACCAATCAGTTAATCATTCATATGTTAACTGTAAATTACAGTACATATGGTAATAAACAAAAAATGACTACATTTTTTTTAATGTATGAAAATGTGCTCTGATGTGAATTCTAGATCCCTACATGAATCTCCTGCTGAAAATGATGGTGGCTATTTGAATTTATAAGCTTGACCCTCAAGGGACTTCAAAGATCAATATCTAGGTCACATTTGACGTTATAGATAAGCGACTGAAACCTCTGTAGGGCCCTTTTTTTTGAAAAAAGGTGTGGGACCAAGTTTTTAGTTTGTTCATGTACTCATACTGATTGAACCACTTATGCCCATGTGATCTCATGTATGAAGATTTAGTCTGAATCTCAAGATCTACATGCTTCCCCTGCCAGCTAGTTACGACCTGAATGTTCAAACTTGGTAACTAAAGTCATTTTTGCAGTTATCGTAAAATTGCTTTTTTGATATCCTAAACTTTTTGTTACCTTTGCGGTACTTGGATATTTAATATGCAGATGTACATATATGAATTTACTAATAAAATTTGTTTCCTAAACAGGTACCTCAAGATCTTCGACTGCAGTCTCGAACCGGCCGATATGCACGGAGATTCTCCTTACAGGATCATGTTTGGTCCTGATATCTGTGGACCAGGCACCAAAAAAGTCCATGTCATCCTTAACAAGGATGGAAAGAATGTCTTGATTAACAAGGATATCAGGTGCAAGGTACGCATAATCTTCTGTCCCTTAACATCTACTGCATTTCTTTTGAGAGAACGACAAGCCCAACGAGGCTGAACACTTTAAACCTGCTACTTTTCCCATTGCTCAATCTTGGTCTTCATGCAAGGATCTAGGTAGAGATGATGCTTTATGCAGCAATGGGCTAATTTTAATGTAGAAATGTATTCCTGATTTCAAGAAATCAATCAATGTAATAACTTAGAATAAAACATCTTTTTTTCTTCTTTAAATACAGGATGACGTTTACACCCACGCATACACGCTCATCATTCACCCAGACAACACCTACGAAGTACTGATTGATGGAGAGAAAGTTGAAGGAGGAGAACTGGAAAGTGATTGGGAACTATTGCCACCTAGGAAGATCAAAGATCCGGAAGCTAAGAAGCCCGAGGATTGGGATGACCGCGCAACGATTCCTGGTTAGTAACAGCCTTTAACTTTAAAATGGATAACAGTCAAAAAATTGACAGATGAATATTAAAATAGCCTATATCATTAGAATAAACTAGTGATAAACAGGGTGCAACAACAAACTTCCTTTTTTCAAAACTTAATAAAACTCATTCTATGCATCAGAACATTTTTATTTGCTTTTTTTTATAATGTAGGCGCTTGCCTAAAGTTTTGTGTTACATAGTTTTGAATATCAAATCAGATAGGTGACATCCCACATACACTCAGTAAACCAATTTCTGGTGTTTGTCATGACTCTTGCCAGCATAGCAGGTGTTATGTTGGCAATTTCTTTCTGGAAGTTGGCCTTCAAATGTTGAAGAGTCCTTGGACGGAAAACACGTGATTTCAAAAAAACCCATAAAAAATCAGGAGAGCGGACTGGCCACGCCAAATCATTCCTAATTGAGATGAGGTGCTCTATGAACAGCTATCGATGCTGTTTAAATGATTGCCTTTGTACTGTCTTGTTGGAGCCAAATGTCCCCTAAGCCAAACTCATCTAACCATGTAAAAAATCCTGTAGCATGTTTACATACTGGTCCGAATCCATTGTCACTTCAACTTCATTTTCCTCAAAGAACCAGTGACTAATACTTCCAGCTGAGCAGATTGTACACCACAATGTGACTTTAGGTGAATGCAAAGGCCTTTGCATGTTTGCAATCAACTGCTGACAGTGTTGCTTGGAAAGTGCAGGATCAACCTACTTGACGAAATTTTTCGGTTAGTTAATCTGATCTAGTAGTTTTATCCTTAGCCCACAGCCTCAACCTTTTTATTTTCTTGTATTATCAACATCAACAATTGAGAAATTACCCGTAATGGCTGATTTTCCAAAGGTTCTGAACATTTTTTATAAGATTTATTTTTGCTTCAGACCCAGATGACAAGAAACCAGAAGACTGGGATAAACCAGAACACATCCCAGACCCAGAAGCCACCAAACCTGATGATTGGGATGATGAGATGGACGGCGAATGGGAACCTCCAATGATAGATAATCCTGAATACAAAGGTGAATGGGCTCCTAAACAGATCGACAATCCTGCATACAAGGGTAAGCATATTTTTTAGCACTTCTATTTTTGTGTGTTGGACTGTTGGACCAGATGCTGGATGGAATTGAGTTTACAAAATGGGAGGACGGCACTTTATGAACAGATATCAACTGAGAAGAGGTCAAAGAATGATAATCTGGATCTTGCCGGACTACTTTATGGTAGATTTTTTTATCCCACCCGTCTTAAGTGATTATAAAAAAAGTCGCACCAACCATTTATTTACTTCTTGAATCATTGTAACAAGAATGGCCCTCAGTAACATTTCTGTAAAGTTTTTGCGTACTTTTGAATCTCGCAGACTGTACGTACCACCTTTATTCAATTGAAGCCGAAATCAATATTCTCAGCAGACGGATCGCGTAACTACTGGCCGCGGCTGCTGCTCCCGGCGGCGTCCAGCCGGCCTTGGTGAGTGTTCTTTGTTCTGCTATGGTATTACACGTATTTCTCCCGCGCTACAGCATAGTGTTTCCTATGATTTGGCGGCGCTGCTACATCTGACCGGGTTAAGTATCGGGGAGAAGCGACGTTATGTATAATGTATGTCAATTTTTTTGTGCTAGCAATTCATATGTTTCAAACCGAGGTAATTCTGCGCACTTATTAGACATATTCCATAAGTCAAAGATTTCCCGTGCATTTGCTCTTAAAAATTGAATTATAAGTACAGTGAAAGTTCCCATAAGCGGACACTCACAGTTCCGTAACTTTTGTCCGCTTATGGGAGGTGTCCGTTTAAAAGAGAGTATGTAAGTATACAGTATAAATAACGGGGTATATAATCATGAGGAAATGAGGTATTATAATCATGAGAAAAATGAAACAGAAACTCGCCACATTTTTAAAGTATGTATTTATGCTATATCTATATAATATATGTACATATACGCATACAAAAACATAAATGCTTCAATACATGGTACGAGAATTAAAAAAAAAACATTATTCTTTAGCTTGTTGAAAAAAGTTTGAAATGTTTGTCTGACGAAATTTCACCATCTTTTGCTGAAGGAGACAATTTTCGTAATAACTTTCTAAATTTTTCAAATGTTGAAATGCAGTGAAATCATCTTTAGCAAATTTTTTCAATATAAAAATATGATTTAGAGCTTCCCCATATGAATTTATCGTTTTTGAACCGCTTAGTGAGTCCACCAGTTCCACTTCTTCTTCTGAGTCGTTTGGACTACCATATTCAAGTTGGCCTGGGCTTTCTACATATACATCCAAGTTCGAAAAGTTGCCAATGGCATTTTCTTCTGTTGTTATGTTATTGTCTATGGCCAGGAAATCATCTACTTTCTGGGGATCTGCTACTCCTAAATGTTTGGCATGTCGCAGTAACTGAGCAAGTGTCGCTAAGGGCAGATCGTCTTCAGCATCGCAATAATTTTGCTCAGCAAATTCTGAGCTACATTCACTTTTTCTGAATCCAGCTTTGCCAAAACAGTTTTTAATTGTAGAGGAATTTACTTTATTCCATGCTGTTTTTATAAAATACAAAGCTTCTAACACATTGATAGACTTTGTAAGCTCAGATAAGCTTTGACCATCGTCAATTTTTGTTAAAATATGTTTTAAAATCAAGTGCCGATAATAAAATTTAAAGTTCTGTATGACACCTTGATCCATGGGCTGACAAACAGAAGTTGTGTTTGGCGGTAAAAATATAATTTTCACATTTTTCATTTTCATATCACGAGGATGAGAGCATGCATTGTCTAAAAATAAAAGAACTTGCCTTTTTTGGATTCTCATTTTCCGGTCGAATTCGGCTAACCACTCAGACATGATTTCTCGGGTCATCCATGCCTTTTTGTTGGATTTCCAAGTCGCTGGTAGATCCTTAATAGCAACGTTTTTTAAAGCACGGGGACGAGCCGCTTTCCCGATCACAATCAAATCGCATTTTTCACCGGCCATATTTGCACAGAATAAAATGGTTAGTCTATCTTTAGACAACTTTCGACCCACACATGTTTCTCCTTTAAAGGACAGAGTTTTGTCGGGCAATACGCGAAAAAAAAGTCCACTCTCATCTGCGTTGTACACATCTTCTGGTTTGTAGCCAAGCAACATGGACGGAAGTTTCTCCAAAAATTGTGACACATCAACTTGATCTACTGCAGCAGCTTCGCCAGATATGCATTTGAAACTCACACTATGTCTCTTGCGCCACTTTTGCAGCCACCCGTCGGACGCACTGAAATTATTATAGCCCAAAGTAGTGGCGATTTCTTTAGCTTTCATTTTCACTAACGGCCCTGAGATTGGAATGTTCTGACTTCTAGCTTTCACAAACCACTCAAAACATGTTTTGTCTATAGCAAAACCTTCTTTTTTTAAAAAATCCTTCTTTTGATTTATATTAGTTCCTGATTGCCATTTACTCCTGATATCTTCCTTATTTTTGGCAATTTCAGCTGCTTGCGTTTTCCCAATATTAAACCTCTTTGCCAGATGACGAACTGAAACACTTTCTCTGTCTAATACGTTAACAACTTCCATCTTTTCCTTTAACGAGAGCATCCTGAACTGAAGACAAGCCACAAGATTACATACAGGCTACCCAACGAAATGCGTAAATGGGGAATCACCTAATATAAATCGGGGAATTACCGAATTTTATGTATGTAGATATGTGCATTGCAATAAGCGTAACTAAAAAATCGTCCGGGTATTAGAGTTCGCGTCCGCTTATGGGAGATTTTTTGATCACATACAGGAAAATCTAGTGTCCGCGTCCGTTTATAAGAGCGTCCGTTTATCGGAATGCATTTAACATTGAAAATTGATGCCTGAAATTCGGTTCCAGGAACTTTGTCCGGTTAAAAGAGATGTCCACTTATAGGAGCTGTCCGCAAGGAGAGCTTTCACTGTATATATATCTTGATGTATGCGTGGCGGACAACTCAACGAGCATACGCCTCTCTACTTTGGTCGGGCGGTAGGCTAGATCGCATTGGTGGACTTATTGTATGACCAATTTAATTCCTTTGTTATACATGGTCGTAGCCAATGTTTTTCTTAAAGGGATTAACGTGTCTGAACATAATCCTTTATGAACTGATAACGGTGTTGCGTGGGAAGTGCAGAGTCAACCTATTTGACGCCATTTTTTTACAGGACCATGGGTACATCCAGAAATCGACAACCCTGAATACAATCCAGTACCCGATTTGTACGCCCAAAAGGAAATCTGCGGAGTTGGTCTGGACTTGTGGCAAGTCAAATCAGGTACCATCTTTGATAACATCCTCGTCACTGATGACGTAGAGTATGCTAAGCAGGCCATCGCTGATCTCAAAGAAACACAGGTAAGCTTTAATACAAACTTCAAGATCAGTTTTCAGTTTGATCAATGGCGACTTATCATTTGGTTGAGACAGGTGTTTATTTCAAAAATCTTATCTTCGAGGTTTGATGAAAAGCACGGTTTTGGAGGTTATGTTACAATGTCATACAAAATAAGTAAACAGAGCTGTAGTATGTGTTGAGCTTAAATTTCATAAAGGAAATTCCATAATGCACAAGTCAGTCTTTAACATAGCTGCTATCGGGTTTTCCAACAGGGGCTTGACAACTTTGAACTTTCACTGTGAACGCACCTTTAAATCAAGTACCGAACTGTCATTGTCAAAACATTCAGTAAAGAAAAAATTTTCATCATGGTGAAGTACACGAACGAACAACGCTGACAAATAATTAAAATTGACTACCGAAATTCCGTGTCGGTGACTGCAAGTTTAAGAGCTTTAACTCCGATTTTTGGTCGTAATTCTCATCCCAGTAGACAAGCAATTCATGGTCTAGTAAAAAAATTGAGTCCACATATTCGCTGCTGGATATTCCCGTGCCAGTGAGACAACGGCGTTCTCAAGAATTGGGCTTCGCTCAGATCACACTATGGCGAATTTTGCGAAGAGATCTTGGCCTGCACCCTTATAAGATCAAGTTAACTCAAGAACTAAAGTCGTTCGATCATATGAACCGACGTACGTAAATGTAAATGTTGCCAGAAAATGACCAATTTCATCGCAAAATCATCTTCAGTGATGAGGCGCATTTTTGGCTCAACGGCTTCGTCAACAAACAGAAAGGTGAAAACCCTCATGCGCTTCAAGAAACACCACTTCATCCACAAAAATAAGTGTATGGTGTGGTTTTCATGCCAGTGGCATCATTGGGCTTTTTTTTTCGTTGATGAAAATTACTGTCACGTTACAGTCAACGGAGATTGCTACAGAGACATGTTGCAACGTTATTTTTTGGTCAATTGGATGGGCTGGTCATTAATGATATGTGGTTTCAACAAGATGGTGCCATAAGCCACACAGCGGGTGAAACAATCGACATATTGAAATCAAAATTCGGTGAACGTGTTATATCGAGAAATGGTCCTGTCGAATGGCCGCCTAGATCGTGTGATTTAACACTTTTTTTGTGGGGCTACATTTAATCATTGGCCTATGCCAACAAGCCGGCGTCGTTAGAGGAGCTCAGAGCCAATATTGAAGATAGCGGCCGTTTATGTCAAAATGTGTGGCCGAGTCATTGAAAATCGGGTTCAACGAATCGATTGCTGCGAACGTGCCCGTGGTGGACATATGGACGAGGTCGAATTCCATACATAAATGTTTTGAGCTTACTTCAATCCAATTATAAAATTTTAAATGACCTGGGTGACAGAAGACTGTTGTCTCCCTTGATTTTCAGAAAATACTCCAGCACAATTTGTAGACATTGAACCAGTGGCGTAGCTTGGTTGGTGAAGAGAGAGTTATGGCACCGGGCGTAGGGATGTTAAGAAATAGGGTTCAACGAATCGATTGCTGCGAACGTGCCCGTGGTGGACATATGGACGAGGTCGAATTCCATACATAAATGTTTTGAGCATACTTCAATCCAATTATAAAATTTTAAATGACTTGGGTGACAGAAGACTGTTGTCTCCCTTGATTTTCAGAAAATACTCCAGCACAATTTGTAGACATTGAACCAGTGGCGTAGCTTGGTTGGTGAAGAGGGAGTTATGGCACCGGGCGTAGGGATGTTAAGAAATAATCGATTAAACGTTTATTTTTTCCTTACAATAGATTTTCAATAATCGATTTTCTTAATCACAATATTCGATTTTTAATAGGACGGTTTTGTAAACAATGCCATGGGTATGACACATTCGAAAATGCGCAGTATGTTCATACTTGACTAACATGAACAAATAGATAAGACGACGTCATCTGTGTATAAGTAAGTAGAAAAACGGTGTTTCACCTTTTCAACCGGTTCTCTTTCTTTGGGGAGCATAAACAGCAATTTTTGATTAACAGTGAAAATGCCTTCCAAAGGTAAAACACCTAAACAGTCTTACTTAGATAAAAGGCAAAAAAGTTTAAAAATCACAGTCAGAAAATTGAGGTCAAAATTCTGGATTTTTTTGAACTAAATAAATAGTGTTATTACAACACAACAAAAGTGAATTAATGTTGCAAAGTTACATGACTTTATAGATTCATTTAAATGTGATTTCGGATCATAATTGTTGTCAAGGAATAAAATAAATGACATTCCTCCACATGCGACAAGTAATGTCCGAAGCAATTAAAAACATAATCCCACCGTTTCCCGTGCCGCCGAATTAAACCACATATTGTCTCCTGAAAAATTCAAATCATAGGACTAGGTTTGTACAATTACCGATTCAATTGTTAAAACACTTATGTTCTCTACTTTAATTTTCCTAATTCATGTCTTGGTATTAAGCAACGTCGTGATTGGACTTTCCGCGTCGTTATGATCCATTATTTTTATTTTGCATTACAGGAAGGCGAAAAGAAAGCAAAGGAAGTGATTGATAAGGCTGAGGCAGAAAAGGCTGGAGCGTCAGACGATAAGAAAGATGGTGCTGATGATGAAGACGATGACGATGATGACGATGCAGATCACGAACCGCAAGTCGTAGAGGTGAGTTATGCTTGAAATTGATTTTGATTTTTTCATTTGCCTTGTTGCCTCTCTTTTTAAACTTTGTAAGGGGTGAGCTGTAGTCAAACCACAAGCTATTAGTAGCTGATGGCTGTCAGTACTTTAGTAACAGCCAATTAGCCCAAGTTTTAATAATGCAAAACTGATGTGCCACACGTTCAAATTTTGTTCCTTATTGAGATAAGAGATACAGCAATATACTGTAGAGTTAAACAGCCATGAAAAAATACATTCAACATAATTAAGTTCTAGGGCTTATACATGTGGTTTTTTTGTTTGTTTGTTGAAGATTTATGTAGCATTAATGCTACAAAGTTAGTTTTGTATAATTATTCGCTTACACATTTTTCTTCAATCCATGTTCTGTAATTTTACATTATTGTCTATTAAAATTACGTCACTATGCGTTTTGAGTATTCATAAAGTGATTTTCAAACTGTGGAGGCATCATTGTGGTTTACTGTTGGATTATAGTGATACCGAGTTTCATTGAACTCCGTTTATTTTTTAAGCAGATATAAGCAATTTGAAAATATCCATAATTTGATAAAATTTGGTTTTAATAAGTTCTTCTGTAGCTCTTTAATGAAAAATTACACAATTTTCGTGTGAAATATTTTTTCAAAAGAAGCAGTTTGAAAAATATAAGAAAACAGTTTTTGACGATGTTTAGAAAAACCTATGGAAACAAACGGTTACATTTCGGTGGATTTGATTCACAGTACTTTCATTTGACTCCCATATGACCGCGTCCTTTTTTTAATTTGCCACCTAAAATCTTAATTTTCTTGGATTATCCAGACGAAATTGCATTTCTCATAGTTAATAGACTTTTATGTCCATTTTTAAAGGATTTTTCTAGTTTATCCTTTTTTATGCGAAAAAAAAAACCTATTTGAAATTCGTACATGAAAAGAGCATTTGAATCGGCTTTATCTCGTGCTGAAGGGATCTGCCAATAAGACGTTAACGCTAGAGAATAAAGTTTCCCTTCTTACACCGGAAGCTTACCCGTTACCGAATAGGGTCATGCCCTAAGAACAAAGCGTGTGAAAACATACTGTGCACTAGAACTTATTACACATTATTACATGTGCACAGCAGTTAGCCATTTCGCATTCATGGGAAAAGTGAATATATGGAGAAAATACTATTTGAACGCATTATAAATTGATTCTAAGTCGTCTTCAATTGAGAGTGCACATACTTCCTATTACAAATTTCGTGAAAAATGAATCTAAAATGCTGTTCTTTTTTGTAGGATCACGATGAGCTGTAAAGAGAATAAGTTGTGAAATGAAAAGACTTTTTTTTATAATATTAGAAAGTGTGAAGTGTTTTGTTCGATAGTGTGTATTGCTGTTTCTTTGACTGATTTTTGTTGTATATTGAGAACGTATTACTGCTAATAACAAAAGAAATAGATTGTTTTTGTATACATTTGCAATTTTTATTTGTAAAAAAAGGAATAAATTATTGTAAGTTTTTTGTACATATGTATTTCTTTCATATTTTTTTCATCTATATCCTGTTCGGTACCTAGTTAAATAAATATTTGTTTAATATATTCATGCATTCATTTAACGTCACATTCACATATCGGGCCGACGTCGGTTAAAGCCGTATGCAGACCGAGATTCCAACGAAAGCCAAGGCACATGTTACAGATTTGGAGGTGTTCGAATCGGTGTGTTCGGCGCGAGCCAACATAAGCCAACGATTTCCAAGGTCGGCGTTGGCGTTAGATTGGGTTCGCTCCTTAATCGGTACATCCAAGGAGGTTTGATTTGGTCTGGACAGGATTTGGTGCGCTTCTAGCATTTGGTCGTTTGCCTGCATTCAAGGAGAAGACTCGACGCTCGGAATTAGCCCCGAACTTAAACCAACGCGGTCCATCTTGAAACTAAATTTAGGTGTAGACGAGCGCATTCCAACACAAACGCGAACGTCACATGTGCTTGCATTCGTTTCTTCGTCGTTGAATTTTCGGTTTGTACACGGCTTAAAGCCAATGTGTGAACGCTAAACCAATGCGCGTTAGACCTACATATCAATTTCTTTCCAATATACCAATTGAAACCTGCTCCCAGCTTTTCAAGTGATTTTAGAAATGCCAAACCTCATTTCACTTCCCACGCCTATTTTCCGTCAGTCTGTTTGTCTGACCGATAATCCGTGGCCCGTCTATAACTTGGAAAGTACAGGTCGAATTTTGCTGAAAGGTTACTGCTATGCCAAGAATGAAAAAGCTTTTTAGTTTTTGAAAACCCGTCCAATCAGTCTCAATGGATTGCGAGCGGCAGGGGTGTATTGCAATATTTTTATAGTAATCCCTTTCCCGATAATTCTTCGCATGTTTTAGACATATTTGACATATCACAGATTGTCCTTAAAACTTAGAGCAATCGAAAAATGTTTTCGACAAGCTTCCCTGCGTCTGCTGACTTCAACGGCCGGCGCCATCGTCCCTGTGTTCATATGTGTCCTGAATGACTGGTGCGCTGTGGGCGCTTTGTCGCGTGTGACGCATCATGCTTTCACATACTGGGGAGAGGCGATGCGACGTTGCCAGGTGGACTATGGACTAATTGTACGGACCTGATTGGCGGATTTGAGCCGATTAATTTGTCTGTTATACATTTACGCTCCTAACATTTTTCTTAGATGGTCTGACTTAAACATGCTCCTTTCATCCGCCCAAGTAGAGATATCGAACCACGGACAGCTGTTACGTACTTTTTTAGCAACTCATCAGCATTATTTAGGCTTGATCTCAGTTCTCTATCCAGGATCTAAAAACAATGGAATAGTCTTATTTCTATAGGGTCTAGCTTGTGATGAACATAAGCATTTATGAATTGACGGCGTTGCGTAGGAAGTGTGGAGTCAACCTACTTGACGCTATTTTTTATGAGTCCAAGATCCATCTGCTCGTACTTAAACAAGGTTATGATTGTAATACTTTATTAAATTCATCTCATGTTATCCAGTTCCTTGCAATAGAACACAGAGTTGTACGGATCATCTTTGTATCTTGTCACCTTCACCATCATTTCTTTTGAAGCAAAGAAGAATACACTTTCTTTCCAGTGGTAGCTCTCCAACTGCACAAAACCATATTCCCTGTGAAAAGTCGCCATGGTTAAAAGTACTGTACTGCCGTACTGAGGTAAAAGTCAGCAAAGTGTAAACATAGAAGTCTGAGTAAATCGAGTTCAAAATTCTGGAGTTTTAGTAAATAAGTTTTTTTTTATACTCCAACTACCACGAAGGCCCAAGGCCTAAACACCCATTGGGTACCGTGGGGCTATAGTATGTTAGTATTATTACAAAACAGTAAAACAACTAAAGTGAACGAATATTGCAAAGTTACAAGACTTTACAGAGAGTCATTTAAATGTGATTTCGGATCATAATTGTTGTCGGCATCTAAAATAAATGACATTCCGTTAGATGTCGTAAATAAATAAGCAGTAACATACTCGTATGATTTACTGCTTTTATATTCTGTAAAAACAAATTAATTGCCTTCTTTCGTTTTCATAATCTATTTATATTGTTCTTTCAAAGGTAAAGGCAGTAATGTAGAATTTTATTTTAATGTAATAAATTCATATTGCAGTTCACATAAATAGCACAAAAGTAATTCTTTTTAGTATCTAATAATTCAATTTAATAATTACATTTGATAACATCATTCGCCATAAATAATTATATAAATAAAGTAAAAGCACCATGTTTTCCTGTATATTAATTTAAACCGATATATATATATAACGATAAATACTTTTTCACAAAGGATAGAATCATTACATAAAAACACTAAGTAAAGGTTATAAACAATAAAAAAGTAGGACTCTTATCATACAGAGAATAAAAGCAGTTAGTTTGAGAACTGCTGCTTTTTTCTTTGATAAATTGATTTACATTGCTAACAGGCAGCACTTTGCCAGTGTTTACCTTCTGGGTTCCCTATGATAATAAAGTGTAATATTAGTGGTAAATATTGTATATGAGCTCACCTGCAAGTGAAATGTTCGATGCAGGTTCTATATACCCTCTCCACGTACGGTGCATCTGTTGCATAGAGTTTCTCTACTTTGTTGAAGATGATATCACGGATAAAACCAGACAGGAAGAAGAAGTACACACCATATAGGGACAGAATGCTGAAAAAGAACGTAATAATCAGAAATTTCTATTCTATTTTACGTAATAAAATAAGCGAGCCATTAAGTCCCCAGATTTGGGCTATACTATATCCTCCAGGTATTTATAAAACGGTATAATTTTGCTCAGTGCCAAATGATTAGATTCTGATTCATTGTTATTCGAGCAACTTGTAGCCGGTGAGTGTTTAGGGACCGGAGAAACCTTCGAAGGTCCAAGGGTCGGGATAAGTGGCTCTGTGATTTGGGTAGTTCTAGAACCGAATTAAAGGCAATGGTCCTTTTACCACTGTCAGAAAGGAAAGCTGGTTTACAGCGACATCATTTTCTATTCGCATTTTTTTACGATGCTTCACCTTTGATGTTGTTCACGTATTAAATTGACAACTGGTTGCTTTACTATGATTACTCCATTATGGAAACTATACTGTGAAGAGGAATTAGACTTTTCCCTCTCCCAAAGTTATAGATAAAAATATATCTAGCCCAATTGGAAGCAGCATACAAACCGGAGCCAATAAGAAAAGTGTGAAATTCTATTACGTTCTACAGCAGAGCATAAGAAGTCCTGAATCGGTTATCATAGTCGTACATGAAAAACGCTACAGGGGACAAACCGTATCGAGATAATGACTGCAGTTAGTGCCCCATGTTAGTCTGCCCAATAAAATGTGTTGTAGTAAACGGTTCAATCACAATGCCAATATTTGATTTATCTGTCTTCCGGTTCGTTTGTTTTTTATTTTCATCATCACATTCCTAGGGAGTGTGTTACTACAACAGTCTGAATGTCCCGTAGCATGCTGAGATTGCGCGGTCATCATTCCGAATTTTAAGTTGGCACCACGCAAAACCAGTATAGCCCAGAACAGTCTGGGTAGGCATTTCCGTTCCCCAAAAAGAACGCCCAGTCTTCTAAAACGACAAGCGAGTATGAAGCTATCTGTAGTTTTTTAATGTAGCAGTTATGTCACCCTCGTCCATTGTCCCTAAAACACCGAAAGCCTTAGAGAAAACGCAAAACCCACCAAGAACTGTTGTCGTAACACATCGATTAATTGTTATGCAATCTACGACCAAAATGTGGCAAGTGCACTGTTTTACAGCTGAAGCACGAGATACATATCTAAAGCGAAGCATATTGCGTGTCCGGTGAGAAAATAATATAAGTAACATCTTGGAGCTTGAGAGCCAACAACAAATCACGAGAAAAAGTCTGGATAAAAACCTCATGGTCCATTAGTATGTCTGCAGAATATCAATATAAAAACATTCTACTGAAACAGCAATTCAAATGGTAGTAGAAGAATGGAGGCGAAATATGGATAAAAAAAAGTTTATAGTAACATTGTTCTTAGATGTCAAGAGAGCATTTGAGACTATTGACAAGGAGTAATTGTTAACTAAATTGCATTGCTATGGATTACAAGGTTCAGTATTCAACTTATTACAAAATTATTTAATCAATAGAAGTCAAAGAACTAAAATTGGCAATACATTATCAAACATTAAAAACATTTCGGTAGGTGTGCCACAGGGTAGAAAATTAGGTCCATTACTATTTATTTTATATATTGACGATAATCCTTATATATATTTTACAACACTGCAAAATTCAACTATTTGCTGATGATACATTAATATATATGTAAAAAATAAAGACATTGAAACTCCAATAGAGCTGTTAAATGATGATATGAAAAACGTAATAAATCGGTTAAATGTAAATAAACTAAAACTAAACACAAACAAAACAAAATATATGCTAATAGGAAAATCTTTCTTCAGATCAAAATACGATAAATCTTACAATTAATCATGAAAAAATTGTCAATCGAATCATTTAAATATTTGAACATATACGTAGACAGTAAATTAAAATTTGAAGAGATATATTATTTCAAAAATATCCAAGAAAATAAATTACTTTTATAGAATTTCGCATAGTTTATTCTAAACAAATTGTGTACAACACTATCATTCTTCCTCATTTGTTATATTGTTCGACTATTTTGTTCACTGCAAATGAAACTGTATTTTTAAAATTACAAATATTACAAAATGAGAATCATCTTAAATAAAAATAAATATACTAGAATAAATTTAATGCTGAAAGAACTACAATGGTAAATTTCAAAAATTTCATAGCCTACTTGGTTTTCATTTTCATATTCAAGTTAAAAAAATCATCTTCTACCACAGCCGACGTCAACTACGAGCCGTGAACAAAGAAATCTGGCAACGTAGGTGGTAGTGTTACTCCCGCCGCTCAAAACGCTGAGAAAACATAACCTTTTCAATTTGTGATTTTGGAATCGCAGAGGCTGTAATTAAGAGATAAGCTTGTTTTCTAAACTTCAAAGTGTGTGTATGTGTTCAAAGTGATCGGTGACTATAATATATGAGAAATAGACTCCAGTTGTAGTGCTTCTGTGCTTTAAAAATAAACTAAGAAGTGTGACTGTGGCTGTTCGCGCCTCAGGACGCTAAGGATTTCAACTATTGAAAACGTGCAAATTCTGGTTGTATTTTTCCAATTTCAAATAAAAATGACATGGCTAAAACTGTTTTAGCCTTCAGCATTTGGAAACATAACAGAAATTATCAAATTACTAACAGTTTCAAATCTAACAGGTGATGAAATGACACCTTTGGTTGAACATGTGATAAATTTAGTTCAAAAATGTGGATTTGAAGTTATTTGTGTTGTTACTGATAATCACCGAATTAATAGAGCAATGTTCAGGAAATTAGCAAAGGATTCATCAGAAAATTATTCTATTCCAAATCCACATAATCCTGATAAGAACATATATTTAACTTATGATGTTGTGCATATTTTCAGAATCAGAAATAATTGGATTAATTTAAAAAACCTAGACAAAACTTTTGTATATCCTAATTTTGACAATACTGATATTATTCAGTATGCTAAATTTGAAAACATTCGTGCTGTATATCAATTGGAAAAAGAAACTGTAGTTAAGAAAGCATATAAATTAAATTATAAAACATTGCATCCAAATTCATTTGAAAGGCAAAATGTAAATTTTGTAGATAATTTATTCCATCACTCAACAATAGCTGCTATGAAGGAATTAAAGTTTGATGATGCTGCACACTTTTTGGAAATAATCAGGAATTGGTGGGATATTGTCAGTAATACAAGTGTAATAAAAGGAGAATTGAAGCCAAACGAATTTTGTAAGCCTATTACCAATAAATATGATTATAGAGTACAATTTTTTAAAAAATTCCTGATATGGTTAGAAAAATGGCATAATCTAGAGAATAATAATGGACACCTGACACCAGAAATGTGTACAGCTCTATATCGACTGACTCTACTTAATATAATTGAATATTCATTTAATCAATTTGACATTGAGTATGTATTGCCTGGAAAATTCACCACTGATAATTTAGAAAAACGATTTGGCAATTATAGACTTTTATGTGGCTGCAATTACAATGTGTCATATGATGAAATTTTAAATGCTGAAAAGAAAATACGGCTGAAGCATATTTTCAATGAAAAGAAATCGTCATTTTCTTTAGCAGAAATTAAAACAAGGTTCCAAAACTGCTTAGAAACTCAAGAAAATTTTGATTTCTTGGATACCAAACAAAATCCTGAAGTTTTGGATATATTCAATGAATTATTTGAGACAAATTACTTAGCCAATTGTGACATAGAGGATAGTACTAAGACTTATATATCTGGATATGCTTCACACGCTATCTCTAAAAACCTAAACTGCGAGATAAGCAAATCGCTAATAGTTACAGAAAAAGGTTCATTAACAACAAATGTTTATTTTGATTATTTGCAAAGAGGAGGACTGTCAATTCCAACCAGTTATGTACCAATCATATTCTACCATATGTATGCCATTTTTGAATCTATTATTAATGTAGATAGATTGGAAATTTTCTTCTTGAAAAGCAATAATCAAAAATTTCAGTTAACCTTGCTCAGCATTCAGTCTGACTTTATTTACAGTGAATTTTCTTTAACTTGCATCTGTGGCCGCAATTATGCAGATATTTTATCTAAGCTTTTGTCTATTTTTTTAAACATAATTTTGAATGATTATGTAAAATTGAAAAATAACAGTAAAACTGAAAGTAAATGTATTAAAAACAAACAGGTAACTCCACATTTCCAAGCTGGGCCTGTTGGAACACAGTGTGCTGACAAAAAAAAACGTAAACTAAATACTTTTAATTAGGTTAACTGCATTAGCGACTCATATATATCACGATTATTTCGTATTTTTAAATTTTTTAGTGCTATTTCATATTCAGATGATTTGTATTGAATCGAACTGTCCTCTTTTCCAAAATTAAATTTAGTTCTTGAACGTTACACGGAGACGGAGCACACAGCCGCAGCCGGCCGACGTTCACAGGTAGCACTACCATGCCGTCCGAGCGCGGTGTTGCCTTTCTTTCATCACGGCTCGTAGTTGACGTCGGCTGTGCTTCTACCAAATCACTTAGAAAGTTTTATTGTATTGAACAATGAGTGCCACAATTATTCTACTAGACGAAGTAAAGACTTTCATTTACAAAACTGCAGTAGCAATATAACGAGCAAGTCAGTATTTCAAAAGGGATTGTACGAATTTAATAAATTAAGTAATGATATCAAGGTGTGTGTCAGTTTGAAAATGTTCAAAGGGAAATTGAAAAAATATCTCATGGAAAACCAGAATTCATCGTAGTGAAATTTTGTACCTATAAAAATATGTAGTCTTGAAGACAAACAAACAAATAAAATCTTTCCTTTAAGGCCAAATTGGATCACAGTCCACCGAAGAACTAGAAAGAAAATTGTTTAATTTTATAGGGTGATTACTTTACATTCCTTTTTGTAATTGTTATCCTCTTTAGGTTTCCCACTTTGTTATATAGTCTTTATGTTCTTTTATCTTAACATTTGACTGGTCTTGATGTGTTACCCATATAGCACTTACCGCACATTCACTGACTGCGCGCCAAAAATGACATTTTGGACACTTTTGAGTCAGAGGAAGTGGTATGAGATCCGAAACAACCTTTTAGCGATAGTTCCGAATTGGAAAATAGTGACCTCAATATTCAGCACTCATGACAACAAATTATGATAAATATTTATGAATGTCTCAAGAAGAGAATGTGGCGGATTCGGACTTCGGATAGAGCAACTGCAAAAAAGAATACATGAACTCACGAAAGTATCGGAGGCAACAATTTATTATATTGTTAAACGATCACAATGTTTTTTTCTTTCAATCATCATCTTCCAGCGAGTTGGTCGACCACTTAAATTACTTAAACGTGAGATGATAAGGAAATAAACTGCGCACCTTAATCCTCTGATCATGCCGAGAAAAAAATAATTAAGCCAATTAAACATTCAATCAAGTATGTGACAGTTAACAAGTTTAATTAGTTTAATCACACTCTAATTTCTAAGCAGTTTACTTGAATCTATTACACTCGTTTAATTAATTTAAAACGCGTCATTTAATTGAATTTATTAAACCGTTTATTCCGATTGAGTACACCAGTTTATTTAAAATTGATGAACTGTTAAAATGAGATTCATATTTATTAAAATTTGTTTAATTAGTGCACGTAAAAGAATTTATCCAGCTCAAATTATTTGAATAATATTTGGAATTTAGAAGAACAAATTGCATAATATTTAACAAGTTGCGTGACATATCGCCCCCCAGGGGACAACTTTAGCAACACAGGGACTGATAAGTCATGTGTTAAGTGGGTGCCCTCAATCTCTACTGGCAGAGATTTACTAGCGTTGCACCTTTCTGTAGCACCTGAGGTAGCAGATGTGTTAGGCTCCTCTCGGTTAAACAGCGCCATTTTTTTATCATTATACCACGTATGTACCAGTTTGTGCTTGGAGTCAGAGGAAGTGGTAGGAGATCTGAAACAACCTTTAAGCGATAGTTCCGAATTGAAAAATAATATCTCAATATTCAGCAATCATGCCAACAAATTATCATAAATATTCATGAATGTCTCAAGAAGAGAATGTGGCGGATTCGGATTACCGATAGAGCAGTTGCAAAAACGAATCCATGAACTCAGGTAAGTAAGGGAGAAAACAATTTATTGTGGTAAATCATACTGTCGGCACCACTTGTTGGGCGAGTCTCTTACGTCGATCAGCGGCCGGTCAGCATGACTCTAAAAGCAGCCTATAACCAGCCTTAGAGCTTCATGGTCGATCTCTACTTTTACGCGAATCACGACCGCAACAGTCACCTGGCGGCGGCTATGAGGACCGTGACAGTGGATCGCCTTCTAGATCGACGCGAACATTCTAGATATCGCTTTGTGGTTTTTCTCGCAGCGGTAATTGAACTATATATAACTCGGCGGCCGGGAGATGGAGGCAGAGTGCGGAATACGGTGCAGTCAATGGTGACATAAGAATTAGTCGGACATAAATAGTGGAGCATATAAATGTTTTATCCAGTTAAATAAATTGTTAAACGATCACAATGTTTTTTCTATCAATCATCATCTTTCAGTGAGTTGATCGACCACTTAAATTACTTAAACGTGAGATGATAAGAAAGTTAACTGCGCAACTTATTCAGCGAGTCACTTCGTCTGATCATACATACATTTAATTAAATCAAAACGCAATCATTTAATTGAATTTATTAAACTGTTTATTCAGATTGAGTAGGTACACCAATTTATTTAAAATTGATGAACTATTACAATGAGATTGCCTGCTCCAAGTAAAACAATTTAATTATATTTATTAAAATTTGTTTAATTAGTGTACGTAAAAGAATTTGACCAGCTTAAATTATTTGAATAAGGTCTGGAATTTAGAAGGGGACGATTTTAGCAACACAGTTTCAAGTGAGACCCCTAGGGACTGATAAGTCATGTGTTAAGTGGGTGCTCTTAATCTCAACTGGCAGAGATTCTCTAACCTTGCACCTTTCTGTAGCACTAGAGATAGCAGATGTGTTAGGCTCCTCTCGGTTAAACAGGGACGTTTTTTTATCATTATACCACTTATGTGCCAGTATTATATAGGATTTTACAATTATTTAACGGCCTCAGTATTTTCGCCGTTTCAATTAGAAATGGATCCATTATACAGAGAAAATTCGATTTGTGAAAGATTCACTGATTTCTCCACTTATAACTTGAAACTCCCAAGATATTGTTAAAGCTGCTACACACAGTGCCGGCGGCAATGCCGCCGGGTTTATGCCGAGCGGCTATGCCGCCGGCAATACAAGCCGCCGGCCCAAGCCGCGCAAAGCCGTCAAGCATCATTCCGGTTGTGACAGTCACATAGAAAGCTAGTGCTGCATTTCTGGGATTCCATAATATATCATTTTCATGAAATTTTTCAATTAAGAGCAGCACAGCTTCGTCGTCCCAATTAAACGACATTTTAATTTGTTTAAACACACAAACCGCACAACACTACCGCTCGAATGCCAGGAACGAAGTGACGCCGGCAAGCCGCGTAACCCGCCGGCACACCACGGCGGCTCCTTTGCGCGGCAAGGCCGACGGCTTTGTATGCCGCCGGGTGTACGGCGGCTTGCCCGGCGGCCCTGCCGCCGGCACTGTATGTAGCAGCCTTTAGAGATATAAAATTTTGTTACTGTTTATTATTTTTCAATTACAAGTTGTTTAATTATAAATCGGAATTACGGTATATAGTTGTCGTCACCGTTCTTGGCGGGTCAAAGGTAGACCACCAGTATCCCTTTATATATATCCATCTCCCTCATACATACACATGCAACCTACCCCTGTATGTGAACGCTTGTTCGGTAAGCTCAAAGACATACGTTTCTTAGTTGTGAGTCTGTCTCGAAAACGACAAATCGTTACATATGAGTGCCCTTCAATTATATTTGTCAGAGTGACAACTTACTTGACATCAGCGCGCAATTCGAGATGTCCTGTTATCACTCTTCAATATAAAATTGTACAATGGCCGCAAATACGATCAATGGAGAAGGCCGACAGCTCGTGCTAAATTTATTAGAGTATTTCGAGGAAGAGAATGAAAATATCGGTCCCCTGTTGCCCACTTCATGCGTACTGGAGAGAGTAGCAGATGCGCTGAAGATTAGTCTGCGCAGTGTTCCGCCCATGGTACGGAGACTCGATCTGTTTGCTTATTTCATATGGCGTTGATGACGTAACCGCCAAGAACGATGACTACAACTAAACCTGTATGAGAATATAGTCACTACGACTGCGCTACTAGAGCACTGCCGTCCTCAATATCAATAAAAGTAGAATTCTATGTTACTGAGCAAGGCGCGTCATGTATGAAAATAAATAACCTTGAGGTACTCACCTCGCCTCACCGGCAAACCAAGTCATCACTTCAAGAATCTTCCATGGCGCCACTACCTTATCAGTGAAGGAGTATATGACAAGAATGTCTTTGCAGTCGTTGTAGGGCATCTTTTCTAATAATGTTTTGTAGTTGTCATCGTGACATCTCTCTTGAATCTCCCACCACAGCCTGCCTTTCTCATTTTGGAGTACGTGAGCGTAGGCTTCAATGGTACGCCATGCCATTGATTCACTATCTAAGAGACAAGTTAATTAATGTTAACTTTTAGAAGGTATGCTTTGATTGGCTATTTCCCATCATACGGAGTGGGTTGTATATTTCCTGATATACCTTACCGTATACTTGAACGATATAACTATATTATAATTATCATTCTTACTGTTTTCAACACGCTTCATGAGCACATCGACCTCGCTGACTTCACCAGTTTGCGTAACTTTGAGAAATTTAGGCAAAAAGTATCGCACGCCTTGTGGCGTGGTATCTTTGTCAGCCTTAAACGTCATCATCTTGACGATTTCTCTGCGGCCGGATGTGAAGGGATAGAATGACTTTGACAATTGACCTGTAACCTGCTTCTGTTTTCCGTCGGTTAACAGCGTTATTTCCCACTTCAAAGTTGCCTTTATTGGATGACCTAGATACAGATTAATTAATTACAAATGTTTATATTTATACAGGTTGTAAATTTAAGGTTGACGCAGAGTCAAATCTCGCTCGCTCTCCATCGAACCATAACTGAGATGATCTACTTCAATACCACGCTGTCAAAATCGACTTCCTGAACGTCAATCACCCCGCTTCAAAGGTAGTTCAATGCCTACGATGTCATTTGGCTGCGTTCAAACAAGATCGATGCAGCAGATCGTGCAATTGAAGCGTTCGCTATTATCCAAGGGCTGACCCAGCTAGTGAGGAGCCCTGCTTTTTTCCTCGCGTTTCGTCACATGCCAGTAGCCTGCCGGATCCCTTTCTGACCACGTATCCTGTCCCTTGCAGCACTATTGTCCTGTGTCCCCTGGGTCTGGGTAACTCAGACTGTTGTGGAGGTTAGGTTTGGCATTACGGACATTCCGTCTGGGAGGGACTTAGAGACTTCTTCTCCACCTTTTCTTGGAGAGATGTTTGTTTCGCTGACGCGGATACGTTTGGCAGTCTATCCATCGATAAACGAAATTATTCACGTCGCCATGGAGAAATACATTCCTCATACAGCGAAAGTGCTTAAAACAGCTGTTTCAACAAATCGTGCGACGCTGCTCGCCAACAGAAGATCCAGGCACGCAAAACCTTACAAAACCCCACTGTAGAGAACAGACAAGCCGACGTCGAGTACAGAAACAAATATAACGAAGCGGTTCGCAATGCCAAAGACCAGCACAATGTAAAAGTTAGGCATAGGGTAATGTCGCAAAGGCCGAACGATTGTAACCGACTCAAAGCTAACACGGAAGTGCTTGCCAAGATCTTTGCTGCCAACTCAACCATGGACGTCCCTCCGACGCACAAGTGCCGTCGATTCAAAGGGTTTCCTGCTCCATGCGGGAAGTGGTCCGGACTTGATTCCTGACATTGTATTGAAGAGGTGTGCAGCGGAGCTTGCTCCAGTTCTTTCGCGTCTTTTCCAAATATCGTACGAATCCGACACCTTCCCAGAAAACTGAAAATTTGCTCATGTCCAACCCATCCCAAAAAAAAGGACCTGAGACCGACCCTTACAACGACAGGCCTATAGCTCTGCTTTCTGTTATAAGTAAGGTGGCAGAAAGGTAGATAAATCGCGAGCTTCTAGACTACCTCGAACGTCATGGCTTGATTAGCGACAGGCGGTATGGTTTCCGGCACCAGCGATCCACATGGGACCTCTTAGCTTACGCCACGCAATTGTGGACTAAACTCATCGAGTCTTATGATCGTTGCTCTTGATATCACGAAAGCGTTCGATCAGCTGTAGCACGCTGTCGTAGTTGAAGGGTTTTTCATCCCACAATGTCAACGCGGGCGATCCCCAATGATCGGTCTTAGCTCCGACACTGTTCCTTTTACATATCAACGACCTCCCTTCCTGTACGATCAACCCAATCCACAGCTTTGCAGATGACATCAGTCTACATGCAGGAATTCAGAGCGACGAGCTGAAAAAGGAAACTAGCGACGACTTCCTCTCTGCTGAAAGACCTGGACGTTATCACTGCTTGGTGACGCAACAATCTTGTACAGTTTCATGCTTCCAAAACACAGTACTGTATCTTGACGAACAAAAACCGAGATCGATGACTCTTCTGCAACAGGCAGTCTCGGGACCCTCTCTGGTACCGCCACACCAACGGGCTCTGATCCTCAGAGCTCTCCTCCATGATGCCGCCGCGCGATGGGCTTGTCAGACAGACCCGCCTGACTTCGGCCTCCCATCCAAACCATGTCGAACTTTGTAAATCCAGAACTGGCCGATTAGACCGCTGCTTTGTCCCGAGGGTGTCGAGATTGTGAAACAATCTACAGGAGGAGGCTTTTCCCAGTTCTACTAACCTTTTAGGCAGTTCAAGAATTAACAAAATTTATCTGGGATACTCATGCCAGCCGCGGTGTCCTGTTATTTAGGCTTCTGCTTTCGCGGCTTTTTCGGTATAAGTAAAGGAGTGACAATATTCCGGAGTGCACGAGGTTTCTGGTCAAGTATCAATATAATTCCTAACGCCCTCGTATAACTGGAACTCTGGGTACCAGCGAGACACCCTCGTACATCGACCAGAAGATTCGACAGATGTCAAGAAACATCGACGCTTAGGTAACCAGTGTTACGCAGCTGTACGTGGACGATTTCGGCCTCATGGAGGAGGTTCAGTTCACGTTCGAGAGGGTTCAGCCGATTTCGGGAGAGTTCGAGTATGGTGATAAATGTGTTATAAATTAGTTGCAAGTGTAATTAATTGGACTAAAAACAGTCGGATCTGAATTTTCGTTTCAATATAATAGGAGCAAACGTATCGAGTATGTTACTAACGTAAGGCGCAGCAATAAATACTAGTGTTTCTACCCAACCATTGATTATTTATTTATCATATTCTGCAAAAAGGTAATAATACTTTTTTGTAATAAAAAAATTACCGCTTTAGCAAATCTGAAACAGTGTTATCAATAGTTTTTTGAATATATGGGAAAACTGATGGTTAATAAAAAAGTTACCCAGCAACATTTTTCTCAGAAATATATTTCTATTGTGAAATCCGTCTATTCATTTAATTATGAATTTCTAGATATCCTGGCACAAATCTCTCTAGCAGATAGCACCTTCTCTGATCAATAATAAACTTAGGACTTCGGCCGTCATCCACTTGCGATTTGACCAATCGTTCCCTGGTTTGAACAACATTGTTTCTTAGGGATTATTCTCACCGAAAGCAACTGGTAACAGCAACCCGACTCTGCACATCTATTCAAATACAAGCGTTCTCACCAAAGAAATAGGAACGTGACTTGTTGGTCAACGGTTGCAACCCTCTGTTGGACAAGTGATGACAAAAGTCTTATGGCACATCAGGGGCATCCTTCTCATCGCATAAATGGCAAACGGGTTTACAATAAATGAAGAAATATATGCGAACACGTTGAAAATTTACGTTAAGCAATCAACCAGAAAAGATTCGACTTTTTAAATCGAGAAGTGTTTCTGATGAAGCGCAACAATTGGGTTAAAGACGAGTTGTCTTTGGGTTACCTTATGATTGTTGGTTTAATGTTTTCATTTTAGTCATTTCAGTAATGAAGTTTTGCTATCGAGGAGAGGTACATTTTGAGTTATATTCCCATTGTTTGTTGTGTTCAGATTAATCGAAAAATTTGATACTTACATCCTTTCATTTGGTTAACCATCATTTTCTTTCCCTGGTCACGAATCATCCAGATTTGTCCACCGCTATTGAAGATCATGGCTACCACGTCCGTGTACGCGTAGTCATATAAGAAATTCTTGGATGGCTCAAAGGCATTATACGTTTTCTTCATGTATTCAAATTCTTGATTTTGGAACCTGTCAAGCAATATATCAGTATCGGTGTCCTTTGTCGCAGGACCGCGAAGAAATTTTGAGGCGACCTAAAGACCCTTCGGAGGCTTTTGGCTATTTTTTTTTTATTTGTTATGTTGTAGACCTCAATACTCAGAACAAAAGTGTACATGGCCGAAGTTTTTCCAAAAGTAGTTTTCAAGATATTGGTTCTCGATGTTAGGCAATCCGCAACTATTACAGAGTAGTGTAGGTGCGGTACACGTTATGTAAAAGCTGTTTGATATTTATTTAAGTCCTTATCATAATCCTTAGTTGCCGGCTTAGCAATTTTGGAATTATGTTGCACATGGTGGCTCAAACATGTGTGCATTGAGTACTACTCCAAGACACAAGTTTTTTTAAAAATAGTTTAAGATTATCCCACATGGACTATGAGGCGTGTTCTCGAATATCGAATGGTCAATGTCGCATGCGAGATAGCTAAAATATCTCACAAAACTCATAAAGCGTAGTAGAACTGGGAAAAGCCTCCTCGTGTAGATCATTTTTTATTATACCGAAGCAGCCGCGCAGGCAGAAGCCTTAATGTCGGGACACCGCGGCTGCTATGATGATCCCAAATAAATTTTGTTAATACGATTTTTGAACTGCCTAAGGTTAGTAGAACTGGGAAAAGCTTCCTCTTGTAGATTTTTCCACAATCTCGATACCCTCGGGACAAAGGAGCGGTCGTATCTGCCTGTTATGGATGTACGAAGTTCGACACGGTTAGGATGGGACGCCAAAGTCAGGCGGGTCTGCCTGGCATGCACATCGCGCGGCGGCGTCATGGAAGAGATCTCTGAGAAGCTAAGCCCATTGGTGTAGCGGTAGAAAAGAGCTAGATCGCCGACAGCCCGCCGGTGCTAAATGATTCCGAGACTGACTGTTGGAGAAGAGTCATCGATCAGTCGGACCACCCTCCTCTGAACAGCATCGAGCAGGGAAGCAGCACCCCAAACGTGTGAGCAATATGTGCTGTCATCAGCGAAGCTGTGGATTGGGTTGATCGTGCAGGAAAGGAGGTCGTCGATATGTAAGAGGAACAGTGTTGGAGCCATGAACGATCCCTGGGGAACACCCGCGTTGACGTTGTGGGATGAAGAGGAGAACCCATCAATTACGACGGATATCTTAGGCCAGAGATAAAGTCAGCCATCCATCTGCAAAGTTTTTCTGGGAGGCCATAGGATGGAAGTTTGCTTAAGAGGGGAGCGTGCCACAGCTGACAGAAAGCTTTCGTGATATCAAGAGCCGCACCATAAGACTGTATGAGTTTACTCCACAATTGCGGAACGTAAGGTAGGAGGTCCTGTGGATCGCTGGTGCCGGAAACCATACCGCCTCTCGCTAATCAAGCTGTGACGTTCGAGGTAGTCCAGAAGCTCGCGTTTTATGCAACTCTCTATCACCTTACTACAAAAAGCAGTGCTATAGGCCTATAGTTGTAAGGGTCGGTCTCAGATCCTTTTTTGGGATGGGTTGGACATGAGCAAATTTACAGTTTTCTGGGAAGGTGCGGAATCGTACGATATTTGGAAAAGACGCAAAAGAACTGGAGCAAGCTCCGCTGCACACCTCTTCAGTACAATGGCAGGAATCAAGTACGGTATTATGCCTGAATGTTACCACCCGCATATTGTGGGAACCCTTTGAATTGACGGCACTTGGGCGTTGGGGGGGGGGGGGGTCGTCCATGGTGGAGTTAGCAACAAAGATCTTGGCAAGCACTTCCGCATTGGCCTTTGAGTTGGATACAATCGTTCCATCCTCACACGTAATTGGTGGAAGGCTACTGTGTGAGAAGTTTTTTCAATCTGCTTGTCCAGGGTCCAGAAAGACCGACTACCATTGCGCTTTGACGTTATTCTGTGCCTAACTTTTATATCGTGTTTGTTTTTGGTATTGCGAGCCGCTTCTTTACTCGAGGTCGGCTTGTCTGTTATCTACAGTGGGGTTTTGTAAGAAGGTTCTGTGTGCCTTGATCTTCTGCTATTAGCAGTGTCACACGATTTGCTAAACCAGCCGTTGGCACTTTCACTGTGTGAGGGATGTATTATTCCATTCCGACGTGGATAATTTGGGTTATCGAAGAACAGACAACCGACGCATCCGCGTCAGTAAAACAGACCTCTCCAAGGAAAGGTAGAGAAGAAGTCTCTGAGCCTCTCCCAGTCGGCATGTCCGTAATGCCAAGTATTGCGGCCTGTACGAGTTTCTGCTGCCACCGCGGGTTCTGACCGAAACCTAACCTCCACAACACCGTGGTCTGAGTTACCCAGGGGGGACAGGACAGCAGTGCTGTAAGGGACAGGATGCGTGGTCAGAAAGAGATCCAGCAGGCTACTGGCATCTTACGAGGCGCGGGGGAAAAGTGTACGGCTCGTCACCCGCTGGGTCATCCCTTGAGTAAGAGCGAACGCTTCGACTCCACGACCTGCTGCAACAGTCTTGTTTGAGCCCAACCAAGGCTCATTATGGGCATTGAAATTACAGAGAAAAACTACCTCTGAAGCGGGGTGGTTGATGTTCAGGAAGTCGATCTTGACGGCGAGGTATTCAAGTAGGTAATCCCAGTTATGGTCCGAGGGAGAGCGATAAAGGCAGCAAATAAATTTGGATGATGTTTTGGAGTTGAGGCGAAGCCACAGAATGTCCTTCCTGTCTGATTCCAAAGAAATGTCTCTGGAGCAGGAAAGACTGCTTCGGACAAAAGCCACAACTCCCCCGTTCTTTCTCAAATTGGAGTGCACCTCGTTATTTGGGAGGCTAAGATGGTTAATCGGTGCAGACTCTGAGAGTTTTGTCTTCGCCAAGAAAAGCATGGCGGGACGATTGGATTGCAGATAGTGATGAACAGCATCATTGATACTGTTAATCATGCAGATGTTCTTGAAACAATCTTCACCCGGACATTCCGAGAGTGGAGTGAGTTTGCGTCTGGAATTCTTAGTGCTCGAGGGATCCATCATCATTATTTTTTTTTGTTTTGTAAGATAACCGACTGCATAGCTTAGATGTAGAAACATGCGGGCATTTATAAGACGCTCTGGGAAAAGCTAGCGGGTGGTACCGCCTCGGTCGACTGGTCCTTGTCTACCACCTTCTTTTTGCGTATTCTTTAACGCGTATACAATCACTTGAACTGAATACAACATCTTCCGCAACAAGCATTTGCCACGGCCCCGCTCAGTAGGGTGGTTCCACAGTCTCGACACCCTCGGAACAAAGAAGCGGTCGTATCGACCAGTTCTTGACGTACCAAGTTCGACACGGTTAGGATGGGAGGCCGACGTCGGGCAGGTATGTCTGGCAGGCCCATCGCGCGCCGGCATCATAGAGGAGAGCTCTGAGGAGCAAAGCCCATTGATGTAGCGGTAGAAGAGAGCTAGATCGCCAACGGGCTGCCGGTACGAGGGTCCCGAGACCGCCTGTTAGAGAAGAGTCATCGCTCAGTCGAACAACTCCTACCTCCTCTGGTCAGCATTGAGCGTGAATAATGTAGTAGTGGCGGCAGCACCCCAAATGTGTGAGCAACACTAGAGGCTACGTCTTATCCTGGCCCTTGTAGAGAGTAAGGAGGTGACGCGGAGAAAAGTACTTCTTAGCCCTAAACAAAGCCTAGCTTTTTCCCAGCAGTTGCCGCTATTGATGAGATGTGTTCGTGCTAGATCAAGTTCTCGGTGATCTGGACACCGACCTTCCGAAATTAACGGCTCTTTGGCAGATCTCGACAATCCATCGAAATTATATGAGCGCTAAGACACTTTTTGTTCATCAAGGAACATTACTGTGTTTTGGACGCATTAAACTGTACAAGATTGCTGCGTCCCCAAGCAGTGATAACCTTCAGGTCTCTCAGAGAGAAAGTCACTGCTAGTCTTCTTTTTTCCAGCTCACCGGCAGAGATCGGCTTGACGCTCCGAATGTAAAGTGCTGTCGTCTGCAAAGCTGTGGATTGGGCTGATCGTACTGGAAAGGAGGTCGTTGATATGTAGGAGGAACAGTGGCGGAGCCCTGGGGAACACCCACATTGACGTTGTGGGATGAAGAGGAAAACCAGTCAATTACGACCGCTATCTTGCAGCCAGAGAGAAAGTCAGCCAACTATCTCCAAAGCTTCTGTGGGAGGCCCCAGCATGGAGGTTTGCGTAAGATGGCAGCGTGTCACAGCTGATCGACTACTTTCATTATATAAAGAGCAACGACATGATCCTCATCATAAGACTGGACGAGTTTACTCCACAATTGCGTGACATACGCTAGGAGGTCCCTGTGGCTCGCTACTGCCGGACCCCCATACTGCCCTTCGCTAATCAAGCCGTGATGTTCGAGGTAGTCCAGAAGCTCCCGGTGTAAGCACCTCTCCATCACCTTACTCTCTGCACTCATAACAGAAAGCAGAGCTATATACCTATAGTTATATTATTATTATTGACCACATTTTCCCAGCACTCTCAAAATCATATAACTCAACAAAAGTGGTAGCACAGTGCCAAACGGTGGCAAGTATCACAAAAATAAAATATCAGTTTCGCATGCGAGAATATGTCGCAAGATTTGAGAAGAACCTCCCTTTATAACAAAGGCGCTTTTTTTATTAGTATCTATAGTAATTGCATTCTTGATAGACTTACATACTTTGTTCAATGGTTTTGTCGAGTAGCTGTCGTGATGGTAATAATTATGTATTAGTTTTAATGACAATGTTTTTCAAATGGAAAGACTACCGGTGTATTGGGGATTTGGATAGGCCTTGAACGCAGCAATTTGATATAACATACTATAGGAATTCTATAAGGTTTTATTTATAAACTTTTGAGATATTGAACAATCTATCGAAAAAACATACAACTGAGAACTCGCACCTACACACTACTGTGACAGCTGGACTAATGAATTATTCGTCAGAAGAAGTTTATGATCCAGAATTTTTTTCCTATCCACTTACTGTTCTAGTTCTTAGATAAACTGTACAGGGCGGTCAAGAACTCAAAATCCCTTTCCCATGTATCCCCCTATAGCCCCACGGTACCCAATGGGTGCTTAGGCCTTAGGCCTTCGTGGTAGTTGAAGTATAAAAAAAAATGAAGAAGCTCTTAACGGAAGATAAAAAGGTACTAACTTGTAAAGTTGTGCAACATTGTCATAAATTGGCTCATATTTGCCCAACGTGAAAGTGAGTTTTGCTTCTGTTGGAGTATTAGAAATTCCTTTTGCCCTTCCCCATGAATACGTCATTATGGGAAACCATATGATCACCAGGATCAAAGCCACGAAACCTAGGCCATACATGTATTTGTAGATATTCTGCTTCTTGATTCCTACAGGCGCCCAGTATTCTTCCTCTATTAACCGTTTACACTACAATATAAGGAATATATTCAATGGAATCGGAAAAAAAATAAACGTCACAACGGCTAAAAACGTATCATTCTCCTTGGGCTGTTCGGCCGGCGTCGGTGATTGTTAATTCTTGACGCTATGCCATCAGCAGTGGATGGCATTTCTACTATAAAAAGGAGAAGTCTCCTTTGCAAAATTTGACTTGACCTTAAATATCATGGTCAGGGTGATTGCCTAAAGGTCATCGTCAAAGTCATGATCAAGGTCCTAGAGTAAATTGGATTCGTCTCGATTTGGCCTTGACATAGCCTTGATGAAGCGATGGTCAACGTAGTGATTTTTTGATGTAAACTTTGCTCCTATTTTCAATCCCGATGTGAGAAAGGGGTCATATTAAAAAATATTCTCTTGACCTTGAAAGTCGTACTCAAGGTCACCATGATTTCGTTCCATGGAAACCCTAAAACTTTTGTGAGACATTTTTTTCTGGAATGCGCAGTTTTAGAAATATTTAGATAGGGAGATTAAATGGGGCACCGTATATACTCGTAGAGCTTACAGTATCAATATTTCATACCTTGACCTCATAAATGCACATATACATGTCCTCCATCTTGAACCAATCGAATACAACCATGGCGGTATCGGTTAGCATCCAATCAAGGGCGGTACGTAGTTCGTACAAGAAAGGGATGAACATGTAGATTTTCATAAGGGCTAGATTCCAGAAGGTGAAGTTATGGGCATAGAAGTATCCCCAGATACGGCTGGGGTAACCATAACGTATCTGATAGGCTGACACAAGTAGATACAGACATCGCGCTATATAGTAGAGGATTACCGCTGTCATATCTTTCGCCATTCTATAAAAAACAGTAATTAACATGGAAATCGCTTGTGTGCGTATAGAACATGAACAATTATATCAGAAATTCCTATAAATAGTGTTTTACGGAGCTTCCGTATGGTGATATAGGGCCCTAAAAAACGCTATTGTGGGAATCTGTTTCTGAATGACACTTCATAATTTAAGGAGATTTTGACAGCATAATAGCAAGTTACGGTCTAACATGATAGTGATGGTGTCCCAAATATTGCTAATTTGCTTACACTCGAAGAATGATAATAGTTTTGAAAAGCTTGATCTTTGTGCTGATCTATCAACTTTTGGACTGAATCTAGTATACTGGTACAGCCATTTTGAAAATATAGGAATTCTGATAATCGTAATCAGAGACCCGAAAAATCCCAGGACTCAAATTTTCAGATCACTCAATCTGGTCTGAGGTTTTTGTTGAATTTATTAGGAATCATCTGCAGTGTAAATCGGTAGAAACAATGTAACATCTGAAACTTATATACTAAGTGACATATAAATCCGAACACCCAGTTTAAATGGTTTTATTTTAATAAAAGTTGGTGAATGTATTTATCTTACTGTAAATAACAAGTGAAAAAATTTTTAGCCTTATCAGTTGGACATTCCGGTTTTTATACTGCTTTTTTTAATTCACTAACGCTCTAAAAATGAATATTTCAGCCGCAGTAAAGAATCAACGTTGGCGGATTTTGGTTCTTGACATCCTTTACGATCGGTTACGATGCCTAGAGTACGGAGAACTGTACGATTTCGTCAACTTAGTGAGTTTGATAGGGGCCGTATAGTGGGACTTTGGGAAGCTGGACTTTCTTTTCGGGCAATTGCAGTTAGAGTGCAAAGAAGTGTAGACACTGTGGTTAGGTGTTGTCAGGCATGGCTTCGAGAAGGCCGTACGCAAAGAGCAAAGGGCACTGGACGCCGCCGGAGAACAACAGACCGTGAAGATCGCCGCCTAAGATTATTGGCCTTAAGGGACCGTTTCTCCACTACCAGGTCCATTGCAAATGAATGGTTTGCAGAACACGGAAGACCTATTGGCATGCGAAGTGTTTACCGACGAATGAGAAGTTTTTTCTTGTTTTCATACCGGCCACACTGGGTCCTCCCTTTAACTCGAGAACACCGACGTAATCGTGCAGACAACGGTCACTCTGGGATCAGGAATGGAACAGTATTGTCTTTAGTGACGAGTCTCGATTTTGTTTAGGCGTGCACGATGATCGTGCCAGGGTTAGAAGGCGACGTGGTGAAAGGAGGAATCCACAGTTTTTTGTTGAAAGACATGTTGATCACACTGTTGGAGTTATGGTTTGGGGTGCTATAGCTTATGGTTCCAGGTCACCTTTAATCTTCATCAGAGGTAACATGAACGCGCAACGTTATATCCACGAGAGTCGCAATAGACCTCTTTCAACATAATGATGTCACATTGTTACCATGGCCACCAAGATCTCCCGACTTATCCCCAATTGAGCACGTGTGGGATATGATGGGTAGGAGATTGCTCAATTTGCAACGTCCTCCTCAGACTCTAGAAGCACTTGGAGAGGAGTTGGTGGTTGCCTGGAATGAGATACCACAGGAGGACATTGACCACCTGATCAGAAGCATGCCTAGGCGCGTTGGAGAATGCGTAGCACATCAGGGTGCATCCACACATTATTAAAGGTCAAAGGGCTTTAAAGCAGTGCAATCATTTTGAAATGTTTATCATTTACTTATTATGCTTCATTAAGTAACTTATACAAAATTTTATTAAAATAAAACCATTTAAACTGGGTGTTCGGATTTATATGTCACTTAGTATACTATAAACAAACGATTGAACTACAATAATTTATTGTCTTTCCAGTTCTTCTGTCGACTGTGACCCAATTTGGTTGAATGTCCTTGAAGGAAATATCTAATTGATATTCTCCAGCCTAATGGGCTATTAGTTGTTTATCCAGGGTTTTTCTCGTGGTTTGTTGTTCGGTTAAACGCGCAGATGGACGAGAGTGACGTATCTGGTACATTAAAATACGACAGATAGCCTCATACCCGCTTCTAATTTTGTAGGGCTGGTCGTCCTATTTTATTGGGAACGGAAATGTCTACACCAGGCTGTCCTGGGCTGTGCTGGTTTTGCGTGGTGCCACTTTAAAATTCGGAATGACGACTTCGCACAATCTCAACGTGTTACAGGACTTTCAGACTATTGTAGCAACACACTGTAAAGGAATGTGAACAAGTTCTGGCAGTACATGTGGTTTTATTGGCCAGAAAAGCATGGGGAATTATCGATAGAAACATTATCGAAACAAGACTGGATCCGCTGAGTAAAATCAAACAAAAACATGCTTTGTCAGCTAAAAAAATTACCTTATCAAAAATATAATTCTTGAGCCATTATTCTACAGAATGTAAAAAAAAACAGCAGCTAAGCATTAGCGATGGTTTTTCATGCACACCACCATGTGAGGCCGCAACTGGTTAATACGTTATCAACATTTTATTAATATATACAGTGTCGTTTAAAAGCTATTAAAAAAAACGGTTTCCATTTGCGTCCCTTAGAGGTTTTCATGTTCTATATGAACCCAAAAGATGACCTTCTTATTCTGAAACAGTCTGTTAGTTCATTAGGAGAACTGCCTACCTTCCATTAGTGAGGAGGGGAAGCAAAAGGAACAACCAAACGTGCAGCCAAATAGTGTTCAGTACATGATATGTGAGCTTGCCAATAACGTTTTTCTTCAGGTAGATGCAGCGGTCTACGCCAATGCTGACAAAATGGGCGAAAACAACCATCACAAAGGGCACAGGGATTGAGCTCAAAGTGAAGAATTGCACAACTGATACGTCGCTATCATACTGAAATTGTAAATTTCACGTAATTTTTGAACTGCAATAATGAACAGAATGGTAGTGAAAGTTCCCCTAGAAAAATTACTTATGGAGTTCCCAAGGATCGGCTTTGGGGCCTTGTTATTCCTGATTTATGTTAATACAGTTTTTCATTGCCTTTGGGAGGATATAGGTATCAGTTTATATGCAGATTATACTACAATAATTTACTTTTATGAAAATATTGATCAAAGCAAGCTGAGTATGGACCTGGACTTCATCTTAATGTGCGTCAAACATACCTCAAAAAATGACGGATATCCCATCGTTACAAGTATGAAAGTAGAAATATCACATAAAAACATGAGCGTATAGAGATCCACTGCTTTCTGGGCATCATGATAAAGCAGCCTTTGATAGAACTCACGGAAGCCAATTGCGTATTGTAGTATACTGAAAAAAATATTTTTTATTTAAATTTCTACCTAGGTTAAGAAAAATCGTCGATCTGAAACTTCTTACATTGTTCCGCAAGCCTTTACGATGTTGTCTAAAATTGAAGCACCAGTGCTTTTTATTCTATACTCAGTCCGAGTGATGGATGTTTCAGCATCAGCCCTGCAAAAGAAGCATGATTACGTGTATAAGCTGTTCCGCTATAAAGTACCGCCCCCTTAACTGTTTTACATGACCTTTTATACCAAAGTTGTAGGATATAAAATAAAGTTTTTCAGGTAGTGTCTTTATTATACTATACTAAGTGACATATAAATCCGAACACCCAGTTTAAATGGTTTTATTTCAATAAAAGTTGGTGAATGTATTTATCTTACTGTAAATAACAAGTGAAAAAATTTTCAGCCTTATCAGTTGGACATTCCGGTTTTTATACTGCTTTTTTTTCATTCACTAACGCTCTAAAAATGAATATTTCAGCCGCAGTACAGAATCAGCGTTGGCGGATTTTGGTTCTTGACATCCTTTACGATCGGTTACGATGCCTAGAGTACGGAGACCTGTACGATTTCGTCAACTTAATGAGTTTGATAGGGTCCGTATAGTGGGACTTCGGGAAGCTGGACTTTCTTTTCGGGCAATTGCAGTTAGAGTGCAAAGAAGTGTAGACACTGTGGTTAGGTGTTGTCAGGCATGGCTTCGAGAAGGCCGTACGCAAAGAGCAAGGGGCACTGGACGCCGCCGTAGAACAACAGACCGTGAAGATCGCCGCCTAAGATTATTGGCCTTAAGGGACCGTTTCTCCACTACCAGGTCCAGTGCAAATGAATGGTTTGCAGAACACGGAAGACCTATTGACATGCGAAGTGTTTACCGACGAATGAGAAGTTTTGGCTTGTTTTCATACCGGTCAAACTGGGTACTCCCTTTAACTCGAGAACACCGACGTAATCGCCTTGAGTGGTGCAGACAACTGTCACTCTGGGATCAGGAATTGAACAGTATTGTCTTTAGTGACGAGTCTAGATTTTGTTTAGGCATGCACGATGGTCGTGCCAGGGTTAGAAGGCGACGTGGTGAAAGGAGGAATCGACAGTTTGTTGTTGAAAAACATGCTCATCACACTGTTGGAGTTATGGTTTGGGGTGCTATAGCTTACGGTTCCAGGTCATCTTTAATCTTCATCAGAGGTAACATGAACGCGCAGCGTTATTTCCACGAAGTTCTAGAACCCCATCTTTTACCCTATCTTGACACCCTGGCAGATCCAGCTTTCCAACAAGATAATCCCCGACCACATGTTGCAAGAGTCACAATAGACTTCTTTCAACATAATGTTGTCACATTGTTACCATGGCCACCAAGATCTCCCGACTTATCCCCAATTGAGCACGTGTGGGATATGATGGATAGGAGATTGCTCAATTTGCAACGTCCTCTTCAGACTCTAGAAGCACTTCGAGAGGAGTTGGTGGTTGCCTGGAATGAGATACCACAGGAGGACATTGACCACCTGATCAGAAGCATGCCTAGGCGCGTTGGAGAATGCGTAGCACATCAGGGTGCATCCACACATTATTAAAGGTCAAAGGGCTTTAAAGCAGTGCAATCATTTTGAAATTTTTATCATTTACTTATTATGCTTCATTAAGTGCTTATACAAAATTTTATTAAAATAAAACCATTTAAACTGGGTGTCCGGATTTATATGTCACTTAGTATATTATGTAGGGTCTCAGAAAGGTGCTGTCGAATTAATTGTTCTATAAATGGAACACCCCACATATTTTTAGTGAAGTGATTGTCAGTTTTCCCGATATATGGTTATATGGTTTATTTTGATTATTTTCATTACCAAAACATTAAATTTTGTGTTATTTAATCATATACTCGTATATTCGGCCCCAAGTCAGATTGTATAAGCGGCTAAATGCAAACGGGTTTGAACTAATTAAGCTTTTGGACAAACTAATGCCAATAAGTGCAATAGACAATATACATGGCGTTCCAAATTCGAACCGCACCATTGAGATCTCGGAAACTGTAAGTCGCTTAAATAGACGCAAAGTTGCGTATTTATGTAATCGACAAAATGCGACTTAGAAGGTTCCAAATTCAAAGTACTTCCGGAGAAAGACGAAAAGAAGAACGAATTTCCCAAAAATCGTTTTAATTTTGTTCTAACTTTATTTGTAGTGGGATTTCAAAATAATTGCACATATTAATAACCAATGCTCTTCAAGTTAAAGAATATTAAATAAGGTCAACGAAAGGCTTAATATTCACTTACGGTTCGAAATCTCCATTGTTCAAAACATAATTTCCATCTATTTGAACCTCTCTGGTGGTATCTCTGATGGCTGTCCATAGGCCAATATTTTTTAGGTAGTGCCTACAATAAAATATTGTTTCATAATGTTCTTAATGTTGTGCGAATCCTCCAATATACTTTTCAAGCGATCATTTTACCTCTCATAAACTGCGATCAGTTTTTATTTAAATGTTGCAGCATTACCAGACTACATCAAAATGCATATGCTTTCGTACATTCGAACAAAGAGTGACAACCATGTGTTTTGTGCTTTTTGGCTACTCCTCATCATGGTCTAGGCCTGGGTCTCTCGGACAACGAATGAAAGCATAGCAACTACATACTAAGCAAAGTGTATGATCAATCGAAATAAGATAGTGCGAAGCGCCATCTACTGCTAGAATCGACCACTGCGAAACAGTGAATCGCAGCCAACCCGTTCTGAATGCATAAACCTCAGTGCCCGAATTGGAGGCCCAGTCACCACGTGACCGCTATATGGCCACGATTCAGGCTGTGTAGTAGATGGGGTTTACATGCCATTGAACAAATAAATACGCTCTGTCTACGTGCCATTGAACAGAAAATTCTGCTTTTGTCAGTCCGACCAAGGACAGCGGCCACAGTGGTGACCCGGCTTACAAGGCGAACTGGGATATAGTTCCAAGAGACACCCATTTTCGTTCTCGCAGTGGTCGATTCTGGTAATAGATGACACGTTGTGTTGTCTTATTTCGATACACTCATAAGTTCTCCATCAAAGAGCTTTCATGAACCAATGCACGTTACTTGGACTCTAGGGTTCGGCTTTTGTTTTAATTACTGTTATTTACCTTTGCAGAAGTATAGCGATAAGAATGAACATTTCATAGATGTAGTATAAGTCCATTTGCTGCAAGCCGAATACAACGGGGGGGTACTGTGGATTTTCTTTGTCCATTTTAGTATTCGATTTAACTTTCTCGTATTGGTTCCCTGGCATCACGTAGAACTGGAAGATGCACTTCAGTAGAATTACCAGTTCGACGTATCCAATCATTACGATCCAGAAGGTCCTTGAAGTCCTACCAGGAAATATAGACGTGGAATAAGACCAACTTTAATTCGATATAAGTCCAATCCAAAAAATACCGATTTTCATTGAAGTTGCGTAGGAATACTAAAAAACAAAGAAAAACATTAAGACCGAGGAGATCGCCGGAATATTACACAGGGTGTTAAAAATGTACCTAGACAGTATTCCTTGCGCGATTCTAAGCAGAAAAGTTTTATAAAAATTTGGTGTTTTGGTAAAACTTATGGGAGACTAAAATATTTTTAAAACGGTGGCGCTTTTGGCTGTACCGGAGGTGGATACCAGCTTTCAAAGAGGGCATCCTGCATTTTATTCAATTTTTGGATTCCACGCGGAATTCGAAACATACATTTCATGTGTATGATCATATATACCCGACTCTAACAGTTTTCTAGATCACAAATTTTGTATGAAAAATCACAAATGCAGACTAAAAATAATCAACATTTTTCCTATATTTGCTCTTTGCTATACTAAGAAAATGGAAATGAGAAAGTTTCGCAGTTCCGAGTATTTTCGGAGATGAATAAGAAAAACGAATCATCCCAAAATCGTTTTTATTTTTTCCTGACTTTATTTGTTATGGAACAAAATAGAAAACACACAAAAATTGTCACTTTTGTCCACTACATGATGACATAATTAGAATTTCAATGACGTTTCATCTCTTCACAGGAGTTGATTTAGACTACTAATTTTCATGTTTTCGTCAAATACCGTAGGGTTCAGGTTTCTAAAGCAAACAAATGATGTGATAGTCATTATTTTGAGATCTAGAAATATAGGCCTACATGTAGCTCTAGGATTGCTTTTAGTTATACATATATACATATATAATAGTTCGTTTTTGTAGAATAAGCAGTCGCTTTATACAATTTTGGGAACAGATACACCAAAAGGGAATCTCTCTCTCAATCTACTTTCAAATAAGGCAAAGTAATGTTTATAAAAATGTTTCATCTGAAATCGCTCAAAGAGACATTTGCTTCTCTTTATTAACAGCTTTGCTGGATACACATGAGAAATGTAAGGCCTGTTCTGGTAATCAAATGAGTGACATGTTTTTGATAATTCGTTTGGTCAACTGTCTTCTTTTTTAATGCTAAATTTACATTTTCTATTCTATGAATATAGAGAGTTCATTTCTTGTAGCATATTTCGCAAGGAGTTACAATTTTGTTAACCTTATTTTCCGCAATATTCAAAATTCATACCTTGGATTACACAGTGACCCCCAAAAGAATACCATGATACTTAGCGGGATGGTGATTAGTTGCGAAAGCATCACCTGGTTCATGATGACAGCAAAGTAAGCCAAGAGATCCGACTTAGATACAGTGAACAGCCAGAGAGCTTGCATCAACTTCACGATATGAGGCTGTTCTTCCAGAGACATTTCCCTTGGTGGCCTTTTCGGTCTAGACAGCTTACTATGAGGAAAATACAATATCAAGTAAGTAACTACAAACCCAAAACGTCCGTTGAATTCAAATCATAAAACAACTTGTCGCTAACTCAAGTGACAATACTTCAATCAATGTAGACACAGTGACATTTCTAAGTAGCTATGGTAGTAATCAAACGGGTTGTAAGTTAAAGTAAGTTATTTTCAATAAAGCTATTTCAATCAATTGTTAGGGAAATAACAAGAGATTCTTAATAAAACTATTTATAAATAGTTGAATACAGATTGAAAAAATCATGACAGTGCAGCATAAAAAAAATTCCAAACGAAGCTTATTGAAGTGATAATATATTGCAAAACATAAACGAACACGGTATGAGTAGTTTTGCCAATTATGGTACTTCCAACTCCTACGTACGGCAGCAGGTAACACAAGCAAAAGCAGTTACAGGTGTCGATAAAAAATCTCCTGACCTACTTGACCTACTTACTTGACAAAGTCATGCAAGACTGTTTGAAACATAATAATTGTGTCTTCAGTTTGCGTACTAACCTTATAAACAGTTCAATCCATCAGGATGAAATTATTTTTTTAATAAACTTTAAGGCTCGTCTGTGATCGTATAAAAATTTCAGCTCTAAATATACGTATATATACACAAGAGTGTGAAGAAATCTTGAAAAACATATTTTTCTCTGCAACAAAAAGTGATAGACACATCTGCTCTGTTTTAAAATGTGTATAATATCGTATGTTTTTCGAATATCGCAGCGGATGTGTTCAATTACCCACAAATACGAAATGTTTGTAAGAAAAAACCCAACCCTTTATTTTTTGCATAAAAATAAAATTCATTTTTCGAAATGGCTTGTGATTCATATCGGCAAGGTAAGCTCGTGTATCTTGCCATGGAATGCCCTTTGAACCATTTTAAAATATCCCATTGAACAACTTGCATCAATAAAACCAAACTTTACAATTATTTCGTATACCCGGGGAAATTTGATTTAATATGATTAGACTATCTATAGTAAAAAGAGATAACTCACGATTTGGACAGCAAAGTTTGATAAGATGCTCTGGGCAACCACCAGCCTGCAACCCTGACGCCAACATGGTAATCGGTTGTTTCCTAAGCAGATAAGAAAGGATCAACTTCATTGTAAAAGAGCAACAAAAATTTTTCTGAAAATGATTAGGAGCCTCTGAAACGTCAAAAAACGAAGAGCGTTTTTTTTTTCGTGTTTTTGTCTCTAGCTCAGCAGCCGTTGGACCAATTTCAAAAGACTACAAAGCTTTTCCGGCCTTTGCATCGTTGTAATCTGGTGTGAAAATATCATCAAAGTTCGAGCCGTATTTCTCAAGTTTTAGACGGGCAAAGAATTAGCGACAGACCGAGAATCCGACGGAAATGAGTGAGATGGTTTTTCGCGATGTACTGTCATATAACATCCAAAAAACACAATATCTCATTTTCGAAATTTTTCGCGATTACAAAATTGTTATGTTTGTTTCACAAAAGCTGAAGGGTTTACTTAATTGCAAATACATTTTTTATGTAACACAGAAACAGTAAAATGCCGAGATGGCACAGTTAATGCGCCTGTTTTGCCGCTTTGTGTGTATATTCCTTGCGATGTCTTAAGAGGATTAGTGAATTTATGTCATTTTTTTGTTCTTACTGGAATACAAGATTGACTAAATTTTCGTGTAATTGAAATATCCAAACAACCTGGATCTAGTTTATCATATCCAAGAGGGGTAGACCTTGTCAGTCCCAGAAAGATGCACAGGCACCCAATAGTCCTATCACTGTAGTGTTTCTACTTATCTATATTTTGCAAGCCAGAAGGTCATCGTTTGGATATGACTTATTTTGCTTCAACTATATCTCATGTCAAGTATCAACAGTGGCTTAGAAAGTATGTCATTTGTTCAAAGACGCCTGCTAGTTCGAAATATTTGATTACAGCTAGATACACCAAACAGATCACGCTAGATTCGATAATGTCAGTCCGCGACGATGAGGTGGAGCAAAACTGTGAACATAACAAAAAGGCTCTTCTTCAACATTTGATGCTTGTAATACATAGGATTTCGATCCAAAGTTAGAATCAGAGATATGATACTAAATTTATGTTTAGTGTCACGGACTGCAGTAGAAATTCAAAGCTCTTTAAAACAACCGATTTCATAATAATGTCATCATCAAATAAGAAACTTCAGATACTTCCAAGACAATAAGGGGATATTTGATGAATTATAAGGAAAACATGGACTACAAACCCTATAAAATTTCTAATGGAGTGATATATGTGGAACGTCACTTCTATTTCAGTATAAGCCAAGATATGGAATTCTATGCTTGAAGTTTTCTGCGGAAAGACACCAGGTTGACGGATTGTGTTGGGTAGGAAAACATAGATATTCAGTCCATGTAGAGTACAACAGCGACACAAATAATCATGTACGGTAAGCCTCAGTTTTTGACTATCAGATTGACACTACAGTGGAATTATTGCTCTTTTGTGGTTAGACGTTTCAACGAAAAAGTTGTGACGCATACACAGAGTCGCCGTTTCACGCGCTGAGAGATGCGTATTTCTTATTTGGTTTGTATATACTTGAATATACTGTTTTCCTTACCCCGGATTAGTTATATTATCTAGAACCTCTAAAACTAACAACTAATAGCCCTACATTACTATTATAGGGAGATGATGCTTACTTTTAGTAGACGCTTTTCCTTATTCAGTATAGCCCGCACCTCTACATAATCTCTGTTATGTTGTTCGAGCCAGCCTGTAGCACTAACAATTCCTATATCCATGGCTGCATAGCAGAATTTGAGGAGATACAGCACCTTTGTATACCCTAGAAAAAGAGTTGGCAGCAGCTGGAGAATGTATTTCAAGCGCATTACGTCGACAAGGTGGATTGTTCTCGGCCAGACACAGACATAACGTTCGAATCAGCGGAAATGTATAATCCCTACATGGAAGCTCATGTCATTCGTTCGTATTACAAGTTTAAGCTTGTTTCCTCAAGCAGTTTGTCTACACCTGTCATTCCCAGAGTGATCCAGGTGGACCTCCAGGGGTCTATGGGACACTCAACAAAGATCTACGTCGTTGGCGTGAAAAATAAATGGGGGTTCCCAAGGAGGTAAGAGCAGCCAACGAATACAGACTAGGTAGAAAGAGCGACTCAATGATGTGTTTGTCTCTTAATTCTCATAGTCTGTAGTGAGGATCAAAGTGCACTTGACATAAGTCTTTTTTTTACATTTCTGTCATTAAGTTCCTATTTATGTTGTTATTTTTCAAGAATGCAAGTGTTTCAAATGAAACTTCTTACATAATTTGCAAAGAGCGGCACAAGCTTAATGTTTCCAACAGTAAGTATTACTATTATTTTATATTGATACAACGCTGTCACTTTGGAAGGCATTGTAAGACAAATGAGTTAGAAGTATGCACTAAAACTATGTAATTGTGGCGACAAACAATGCAATTTAAACAGATAGGATTTGTTGAGATACGCGGTGTCTCATTTTAATGTCCCCATCTAAATATTTTGAAAACTGCGCATCTTAGATGAGCTATGGCATGCTGCTCTCTTATGCAAGCGTCCATACTAGGCCTCCCAGCTTTCTAAATGGGTGGCTGAGTCCCTCTCTGGTCTCAAGATATCCATCGTAATTGACGGGTTCTTCCCTTCAACTCACAACGTCAACGCGGGCGTTCCCCAGGGATCTATCTTGGCTCCGACATTGTTTCGTCTTCATTTCAACAGCCTCCTTTCCTGTACGATCAATTCGATCCACAGCTTTGCTGCTGATAGCACTCTACATGCAGGAATTCAGAGTGAGTGACAAGCCGCTGAGCTGGGAAAAAAAGACTGGCAGCGACATGGAAGTTATCACTGGTGGGGAAAATCTTGTACAATTTAAGCTTTCAAAATAGTACCTTGATTAACCCTTTCGAGCCGGATTTTTTTACTCAGAATTGATCGCACATTATCTGTATATTTTTTGTAGACTATATTGATCTACCAAAAAAAAGACGAAGGATAACTTTTTTTCAGTATCGGACGCCATTTTGTCTGGGATATATTTGTCCCAGTCAGTCTTTTTTGATGGGACATAATTGACCCAACAGTCCAAATATGATTCGTTTATTCATATGTTTTTTTCATTTTTTACAAAAATGAATAACAGAATAAAAAAATCCAAGAAACAATGTCCATATCAACAAACCAATATAAACAAAACACATAAAAAACAACACAATAATCTAAGAGTAAGGAAGTTTATAACAGAACAGTGTCTTACTTCAGATGATACGCTGTAAAACAATTTTTACATAAAGCAATGTTTCACATTTGACACATTGTAGTTGTGCGTTTCACCTTTTTGTATGTTGAAGAGCATCTGTAACATCATCTTCGCGTTTTGCCCTCTATGGGTAAATGATTTCCGACGTTGAATAATTTAGTTCTCTTAGTTAGAGGACGTCCCAAGGACGAGGCAGATTTTCGTTTCACAGCAGAGTGTTTCCTGTCTTGTGCAATCAAACCCTCAGCCACTGCAAGCAGGAAAGACAAAAATGTGGATTTTTGTCGGTGTAAGTCAGAATAAATAACGTGGGCATTCACTACAGCCATCATCAGAACTTTGTAACAGACCTTCTTCCACCATTTTCCAGACTTTCGGTCGAAGTCATACAAGCTCACAATTTGATCTGTCAGATCAACACCTCCCATATGTGCATTATAGAATTGGAGCATCTCAGGGCATGAAATTTTACTTCTTGTACCATCTTTCATTTACGTTGAACTTGAATCACAGAGTCTTTGAAGCAGTTGCTTATTGCCAGCAAATCCTTCATATCTTGCAATCGACACACTATGATACCATTGTTATTCACACGGAATTCGGATTCACCTCGGTTCAGTTAGAAAACTTTGGAACATGTTTTCTGTTGCTCATCAGTGTTTCTACAGCTGCAAAGGGAAGAGACTCCAGCAACAAGACAGAAGAAAAAAATCTATCGAAGCAAACAACAACTTCTTTATCTTGAATCGACTCACACAACTTCTTGACAACTCTCTCCCAGAGTACCATCGACCTGTTCTGTATCCTTGCCAGCATATACGTTCAAATCGTAAACGTATTCCGTGGAGGAGTCGCTTCGTACCCATACTTTGATCCCTCTTTTTATAGGTTTCATCGGTAAATATTGTTTCATTGACGAACGTCCTTTAAACTTTGCCATCGATTCGTCAATGCTTTGAAAGGTAGAGCCGGAACGATTTTTTTGAAATGTAACCTTCAAGCAATACACTACTTCTTCTTGTGAGCGCCTTCCGGTTTCTCCGGCGTATTGAAATACATCTTAGCTAAAATGAGTTTGCAACGATCTCGGGATATGGCCTTTTTTATTGCTGTATTTCCGAGAGACTCGTTTTTCAACCAATAGTGATTGAATGCAGGTACAAGACATTATGAGGGAAGCTCCAAGGGTAACCATTATTTCATAGCTGTCGCAGCGTGCTCTTCTTTTCTTCGACGATTTCTCAAATAGTGCTAGTCGTTCATTTGTACATTGAGCTATATACATGAAAAGGCTCTTATCAAATAATTTCAAGAAAATTTCAACCTCACTAAGATCCCGCGACAATGAAGTTGTGACGTTTTTCTCAGGAAAAACTGAGCATCGAGGAGTAAAAGACCCATCGTTATTGAACCATATTATGTTTTCATTTGTTTTCTCGTTGGTTTTGTTTCCTTTCTTCTTATCACTGATTTTCGTATTTTTTCTTTTATTATTTTCTTTAGACCCCACTCCAGAAGCATCTGAGGACTCTCCATCTGACGAAAATACATTCTCACAGCTCGATTCATCTTCTGACAAGTTATCTTCGACATTGGCTTCTAACAAGCTATCTTCAGAATCGCATTCCGAGGGTTCATAGTTTTCATCTGAACTTTCGCTGTCATGGAATGGATCTTCTTCGTCACGTTCCTCTTCGAAAAAAGCGGCTACTTCAGCTTCTAGATCTTTTTGAGTCAAATATTTGCGACTCGTCTGCAAATAAAAATGCCTGATGGGACACATTGAACCCAATAAAAAAGTCTGCTGGGACACACGCAATTATTCATTCATCTTCTGACAAGTTATCTTCGACTGAATTCAAAAACAAATATCTCTTAGAAAAAATTATGGTTACAATCTTACCTTTATTCACATAAATCACACAAAGTTTCTTCCAAAAACCATTGAAACCAACAGGCTTTCGGATAACGATGCTGGGACACATATGTCCCGAGAGGCTCGAAATGGTTTTAATAAGAAGTTCATATCGGCTGGTCGGAGTCCAGGTCACCGAGCATTTGACCTGGTACGAAAACATCTTGTCAATAGCATCAGTTGCTGGGAAAAAGCTAGGCTACTTGTTTAGGGCTAAGAAGTACTTTACTTCACATAACCTCCTCACTATATACAAGTTCTAGGTAAGATCTAGTTTCGAGTATTGCTGACACGTTTGGGGTGCTGCCTCTTCGACAACATTGTTCATAATCGATGCTGCCCAGAAAATGGCTGTCCGACTAATCGATGACTCTTTTCTAACGGACAGTCTCGGAACCCTCAGAGCTCTACTTCAAGACACACGATGTGCCTGCCTGGCAGACCCGCCGGCCTCCCATCTTATACGTGTCGACCTTCGTACATACAGAACCGTTCCTTTATTATCCTAGGGTCTCAAGATTGTGTGACAATCTACATAAGCAGGTTTCTCCTAGTTCTATGAACCTTAGGCAGTCCAAAAATTGGATTAACAAAGTTTCTTTTACCCTCATAGCAGCCGCGAAGCCCTGCAAACAGGAGTTGTAGGGTTTCGAAAGGGTAAAATAATGTTGTCCTTGAGAATGATCTTGACTACGACCTTAAAAGTCCCTTAAATTTCATGTGAAGGTATTCAAATAAACCCGTCCTTTTTTCACAACGGAATTGAAAAGATGAGCAAACTTGACATCCGAAAATCACATTGAACATGACCTTGACAATCGACTTCAAGGCTATTTCAAGGTCAAATCGAGGCATCAAAAACAATTTGCTCTAGCAAAGATGTTCGTGTATTTGAAATTCCTTCATTGAAAGCGAACTTATTTAAATTCTTTGTACTTCCGGCAAAGAGGATTTGATTTTCACAACGGATATCGTATTCGCTGTGTGAGCGATAGCAGCGCCGCTTAGCGACCATAATCATTCGGGACTCCGCACCTATCAATTCTCAACAACTAGATGAGCTGATAACAATTTTTGGCATAGTTGTGAGTTTCATGGGGATCTCCCAAATGTGACCATGCTCAAATACATTGACCAAGATCGTCAAGGTCAGGTCGAAATTTGCAAAGGAAAACTTTCATTTTTATACTGCAAATGGAAAAAGTAGGAAACTTTACATCCTAATGTGCCTGTGACCTCAAAGTCAAGGTCGTGTCAACCTTAAAAATTATTTGTAGTCAAGATCACATTCGGACTTTCTCGATTTTTGCATTTCAAGTAAAAAAACGAGAGGTTTATATATATATATATATATATATATATATATGTATATAAGCATGTTATATTTGAAACGGAAAAATCGAGAAATTTTAGGTCAGAATGCGACCTTGTCCACAAATAACATTTAAGCTTGACACAACCTTGACTTATGTCAAGGTGACTCTAGGACGTAATATTTACTAGTTTTTTGATTTTCAGTATAAAAATGAGGTTTCGTTTGGGCTTGACCTTGAATATCGTGATCAAGGTTATGTTCAAGGTCACCTTCGGGTGACCCCCTAGAACAAATTGTTTTGGATGTCTTGATTTGGTACTGAAATGGCTTTTAAGGTAATAGTCAAGGTCATGTACAAGGCGATGTTCAGATGTAAAATTTGCTCCTCATTTTAATTCCGAGTTTGAGAATATTCACTTGACATTGAAATGATCTTGAATGCCATATTCAAGGTACTTTTACTCCCTCCAAGCCCTACAACTATCATTTGAAACTGATTTCTCTAGAATGCGCAGTTTTTGAAATATTCAGGTGGGGAGATTAAATATGGACACCGTGTATAGTTTAATGAAAGCACGTATTCACAATAGCATTATACAATATACTTTAGAATGTCGTTTATTTGAAAAATCTACTCAAATATTTTAGAATCTGTGATCATCAATTCGTAAGGGATCTGCCGTTGATCAGTACGAACATATTGGTCAAGGCTTGAGAAAATCATGCAAGTCTTACATTTGTATGGTTCATCCCATTGATTCATCCTTTTGGAGACTGCGTCAGCTTCGTAATACCCCCTCACAGCAGTTCGCATATCGGTTTGATACATGACCGATATTAACTAAAAAAGAATCTGGGTAGAAAAAATATTTGTTTCTCTGAAGAAGCAATTTTTTTGTTATTTGTAACTTAAAAACTAAGTATTAAAGTCAATGTGCAGCCAAAACGACAGTAGTCTGTGGTTTCAAAATTTTAAAAATATCTATGGTGGGTCATACATTTTTGCACCTTTGAAAGTTCTTTAGAGAAAAGATTTAGATATTTAGATTGTATTCAACTAAATGTTTATTTTAGAGAAGAAAAACATGGCGGAAAATCAAGTCTTGAAAATAATATCGTACATAATATCATAAGCCTGGCCTTTAGATTTTCAAAAACTTTTTGACCCATTTCTTGGCGAATATTTTCTTTCAGCTGGAGTATTGTTGCTGGTTCATTCGCGTCGACTTGGCTCTCAAGATAACCCCATATGAAATAAATTAGCTGTAATTAGGTCGGGGCTACGGGAAGGCCATGGAATGTATCCTCTTCGAGAGATTAGTTTGTTGGGGAACAGTTTTTTAACAACTGATAATGCTCTCGCTGGTAGTATGGCAGGCCGCGCCATGTTGTTGCATCCAAGTTTTATTGTTGTAACAAACACATTGCTGCAACTGTGACTGGAAAAAATCCCGTACCATGTTCTTGTACCCTACAGAATTGACACAGGCAGAACTACCGTGTGTCACTTTTGGAGAATGCAGGGGGTTTCGATGTCTTAATTTAGGGCTTCCCCATTAAGAATCTTCAAGTTTATTAATTTACATATCGATTCAAGTGGAAGTGGACTTCATCCAAGAAGAAACTATTATTGAAATTACCGAACTATATCGGCTAATGAGATGCGCGTCGATAAGGTTGTATCATCTCGCAGAGACACGTTCTCTCCGCTTCTGCTTGTCCGTGGTAGCCCTAATTTTCGACTGAGAGTCGTGCTAGAGTTGATTCGAAGTTTTAAACTCACAATTTGATTAACACTTTGGCAATAATTATTATTGTGCAATTGATAATGCGATAGGTCTAGTCGGCGATGTAAGCGACGAAAGAATAATTGTAAATAAATGTGTTTTTTACAGCGTTCGATCGTGACTGAATTTTCAAGAAGCAAGGAACCGAACGTGAGTGGTCCTGCTCCCCTTCCCACTTGATATTTCCTTAAGAACGATTATAAAAGTGCAAAAATGTATGGCCTACCCTGTATTTACCAGCTGACTGATTCTAGTAGTATTTAGAGTCCAAGCTGCAGGTGCATTGCGATAAAAAATACTTACATGCACCAAGCTTTTCGTAGGTTTCTGTTTCTTGACAGTTTGTTTCACCTCCATTTCTTTCATTTTAGGTAGAATATCGATACTGACTTGGTCCTCCAACTCGTCGAATAGCTCGTAGTGTCCTGACCTACACTCTTAAAAAATGAAGGCACATTCAAATAAATAATCTATATTGAAGGATCTAAACATACATCAGCTCAACAACGCTCCCTCACCGCGACGTTACGGCCACGTGGCCAGCATCGGTAGCCAAACTGAATCTTTTGAAATACATGGCAGCTCCCTGCCGCACAGTGATCTAGAATACCGAAAACCTAGCAAAAAACAGGTTTTTTGGGAAGTTGATTTTAAATCTGTGGCTAGTCTGTCTCTATGAGGGCATTTGTTGATCACTTCAGGGTTATATCAAGGAATTGGGACGGATTCAAGACGAGCTACTTCTTACATAATTTGGAAAGAGCAGCACAAGCCTAACGAAGGTAAATGTTATCACCGATAAGCATTATTACTATGTTGATACAACGCTGTCAGTTTGGTAGGCATTGGTAGACAAATGAGTCAAAAGTATGGAATTTTGTCGACAAATAATGCAATGTCAATATATAGGCTTGGCTCCTCACTTTTTCGAATTAGTTGGTTTCAATTAATAAATGGAGCGAAGCGCTAATGATAATATTATATCTTCAGAATCTTCAGAATTTAAATGTAAAAGGAAACTTATTATTCATAGCCTCATTGTGCTAGATTTGTAACCTACCCTGTATTTTCGCTTTATTTTCCTCCACCTTCTTAATCTTCAGGATTATTCTTTCCCTAACACTTTTTTGCTCCTCTGTTATAGCATTTAGCTCTTTTCGACGAGCTTCACCCAAGATTTCAGCACCTGCAATCGCAAAATATTTTGTTTTCTCCCACGTAAAGTTTCCGAAATTATCAAAAAATGAACGATTTTAGTTCGACACTCCAATATGTATGCACATGATGGAATTTCATATATCTTTTACATGGATGTACAAGCCCCTTCCCACTTCAGTTGGCCCAACTATCTATTGAAATCTTAGTTTTTTTCTTATCAAACACAAATAATAAAAATGTATCAGGGTGTTATAGGTTTAAAATATTAACAATGAATATTTTGATAATATATAGTAGAAAACACCAACTTTATCACTCCCTAATCAAATTTGCAGCATAAAAATAACACATGTTGCAATTACAGCATATCAATCTATTTTCATTTCAATACAAAATAAGTCTATAACGCATAGGTGACTGTGAAAAATAAAAGCCATGACAATTGTTTTTAATAATCATAGCTGTCAGAATACGTTTAAAATTGTTTTGGGTAGTTAAGGTTTTCAAAATGGGTAGAGGAAAGGTTATCAGTGAGAAAATTCGGTTACTGATAAATAATTTTTTTAATTCTGGGAAATCAAACTCAGAAATTGCAACTTTGTTAGACTGATCGCGGTACAGTGTGAGAAATATTGTTAGAAGATATAACGTAACTGGTTCAGTTAATATTAAGCCACGATATGTGAAAAAAGTAATATCGCAAATGCCGACCGAAGAGCATTAAGAAGAATAATCGTGAAAAACAGGCGTGCCAATTATTTACAATTAAGTGCTCTGTGGAGTGACGCTGTTAGAAGGAGAATTTCGAGGTCCACAACTCATAGAGAGGCCCACAAACTGGGATTTAGCACTTGCAAGGTAAGTTTTCTTATAAAAAAAGTGAAGTAAAAACCCTAAAGTTGCACAAGTTGTTTATAGGCCAAAGAAAAGCCACTATTAACTCCACTGCAAAGAAAAATCGGCTTAGATGAGCTAAAGAACATAGATAATGGATACCTAATGGTGTGCAATACAATGGAGTGATGAGGCCCGATTCGAAGTTTGTGTTGGTGACAGTCGCAGTAGAGTTACTCGCAAACAAAATGAAGCATTCCATGTTGACTGTCTGAAGAGAAAAGTGAAATTTCCAGCATCAATTATGGTCTGGGGTAGTATGTCATCAAAAGGAGTAGGAAAACTTCATTTTATTGATGGAAATGTGGATACAAACAAATATTTGGCAATTTTGGAAAAATCGATTTTACCAATGATGGTAAAAAAAGGCTATAAAATCGAATGGAAGAAAATAATGTACCACTTTTGAAATGGGTTTCTAGCATTCCAGATCTGTCACCTATTGAATCTTTGTGGCACGAGATGAAAAAGGTTCTACGACAACATCCTGCTCGTACAATCACCGAACTGAGACAAAAGCTTCAAGAAATATGGGATTGTGTTACATCAAATTTTTTCGAAAACTTGGTTAACACTATGCCCCAAAGAATTTCAGCCGTAATAAAAAGTAAAGGTGATGTTACCCAATGGTAATCTTTCAATTGTTGCTTTGTTAACTTCGCGCATTTATTCGCACATTGTTTATTTGTTCAGATGTTCTATTAGTTATAGGTCTAAGTGATTTCAAATATGTATTTTTTACGACTAGAGTGTATCTAAAGTATTTTTGAGAAAATAAATCGTTTTAGAAGTAAATAGTTTCGTCATGTTTAGTTTATAATGGCAAATTTTGGTACAAATCTTGAAGTGGGCCAACTGAAGTGGGAAGGGGCGCGTAGTTACAGGAGACAGGAACGCGCGGACGACTTATTATTTTATTATTTGATACCTCTAGTGGACAACAGGTGACCCGCTTTCGTATCATCGATGATTAAAAAGAAATTGTAACTGCTGAAGACTCTGCGCTGCATGATGAGGAAAGCGAAGATAGCAGCATCCCACTCTATACCGGACATTTCGCTTGTGGCTGCCTTGCAGATATCCAGACCTTTCTCTAACTTTTCAAAATAGTCCGTGGGTTCAAACCTATAACAGCGAATAGCCAAGGATCTAGTATTAATATTTCTCAAATGACATCAAGTAGGTTGACTCTACAGTTTATGCTCACAAGCTAGACGCTATCGCAATAAGACAGGGCCAGAGACCTGGATAGATGATAGTTGCTATGCTTTTGTCCGTTGTCCCAGAGATCAAGCCTAGACCTGCTGAGCTAAAAAAGCATGAGACAGCTGTCTGTGATTGGCTGCCATTGGTTGGACGGACGAAAGCGGCATGTTTAAGTTAGACCCTCTTAGAAAAAAGTTAGTTACTAACATGTGCAATAGAAAAATTAAACGAATCAAGTCCCTGGCCTACCCTTAGTACCGTCTATCTGGCAACGTCGCGTCGTGTCGCCTCTCCCTAGCATCTGAAACCATGATGCGTGTGTTATAAACGTTACCATGAATGTCACAACATAACCATTTTGACTAACTTGCAAATATGCCGTATAAAATAGTTGTATAAACGTTTATGTAACAGTTAAAAATTTGCCCTATAAGGTGTTGTATAACTATGCTATAAGAATATTTTAAACGCCTCATTTTAGAGCAAATATGTTGAAGAAAGCAAATTTGCAGTCCACACAACATTAAGCCAGCATTTTGGTCTTCAGGCAACAACAATAGAGAGCTTTTATGGCTGAACGGTTCTTTTGCCAAAAGCTTATACCACTACTTTGCTAGTTAGGATGTATCCCCCTTTCTCTTGTATCACCCCATATCCCCATGGTACCCCCGAGTACTTAGGTCTTAGGCCCGCGTGGTGCACTTCTTACGCAACGCTGTCATCAGTTTCTTCCCTGCCCATCTGGCAACGATGTTGAACCACACCATTCAAACATGCCATAAGCGCCAGCCACTAGCCACGATACTATACCTCAAAATCGAGGCACTGGCAACCATGCCTGCCGATGGGGCAGTTAGGTGCGGAGAAAGTTCGGCGTACGAGTCGTCGCGTCTGTAAATATTTCTCAGTTTTAAGGGCAAATGTACGGGGAAAGCTTTGATGTGTGAAATATGTACTGACAGGTGCGTAAAATTACTGGGGTTGAAGGCGTGTACTGCTGACGAAAAAGTAAATATACCTTCCCTCACCTCTTACAACCCCTAACCCCCGAATTTCAACCACCTCAATTTGAGCAATTTCTATTTTTTTCTTTTTTTGTCCCTAGCTCTGTCGCCACTGTACTGATTTTCGAAAACTACTAAGCATTGGCACAGGCATAGTAGTAACCTTATGTGAACATTTCATCGATATCTGAGCCGTACTTTCCAAGTTTTAGGTGGTCCAAGGATTAGCGGACAAACAGACAGTCGTCATGAACTCCCAAAAACCGTAATATCAATTTTCGAAATTGTTCACCCAGTTGCATAGGAAGTACATAGTACAGTGCAATTGGATAGGAAGTACAGAATCAACTTGTTTGACATCGTACGCGAAACTTTCAAATAATGGACATGACTTAAGTTATCAATTTCGAAAAAAAACAGCGTTTCTCAGTAGAATTGAGGGCGAATTATCTTTGACCAATCTCCATGCTTTTAATAATACTAAATTTTTGCAAGCAAACTGTGAATTGTGTTATTTCTAAATATTTAATTTAACTTCTATACAAACCTTCGCACACAACCTATTCCAAACAACCTCAGGTACGGACAATATTCTAAAGGTATCACGTACATATAGAAGCATCCGATCACTTGAAGCAGGGCTTTGATCAGGATTATAATTACATTCTGAGCAATCAATTGGTTCCAGCTGCAATATATTCAGGGTAATATAGCGACAATGACTAAAGATAAATGAGAATATATCAACTAACAGAAAAAAAATATCTTGGCAGGAAACCATTATTTCATTACCCTTCATGACTAAAATAAGCAAAATGAAATTTTAGCCAAAAAGCTCTAAAATGACTCGGAATATAGAATGTTTCGTGCTTAAATGGACATAGTGAAATGGTAGGTAGTATGAAAAACGTCTAAATCAATTGTTTACGGATATAGAGGGTGATTTATCTAAACTCGCCAAATATTTAATATCACATATTTTACGTACTTTTGAAAAAATGTTGTTGAAATTTTGCACGTCAACAAAGTCACTCAGGAGCAACGTAAAACTAGACGAATGGTGAAAATCCAGGATCGGGATCGATTTTTTCACTGCTTTGTTTTTTTTTGACAAAATCAATACACTTTAAGCTGACTTCTGAAATATTCTACTATGTACAAAAAAACTGATGAAGGGGTGCTAGTTAATTAGCAAATAAAGATTGATTGTGCATCTTTTGGCTTTTTAGTTAAAATTTCTTATTTATTATTAGAAAACTATTAGAAAACTATCTTTGATTTTTTAGCAGGTTTTTTCTGCCGATTTTCCGATTCTCAAAATTAGGGGCTAATAAAACATTTCCCCTGTTTTAGAGAATTCTGACTAAAGGCAAATTCAAAATTCAGAAGTAATAAGTGCATAAAAAGGTGGTGTATAATAAATACATCGTACATCGATATACATATACATCGATAGAGGACGCAAGTGTAGTTGAATGGTGTCGTTTTCTCCAAAGAAATTATCATGTCAGCTTAAGTAATCAAATAAACACCCGCAAAGAGGTCAGTGGTGGAGCACAGGGATCAAGCCAAAATGCTACTTACTATTTGAGTATTACTGGTAGCGGCTTATAATACAGGTTGAGCCCGTACCACAGGTGTACAAATACATAACATAAGTATACTATGGAGAAGATGTTGACTCTGTTCACGCTGCCCAAGAAGACTATCCACATCGAACCATAGTAGGAAAAGCTGAACAATATTCTCTTGAAAACGTCCAAATAAGATCTGAAAAGCATGTATATTGGTTTCAAGATGATCTGTTAGAAGAAAAAGTTTTATATGGTAGTTTTAGGGTATAATAAGAAGTTTTCAGGTTGCCTTCTTTGATTGGAACACACTGTATATTTTCAGTAAGTACAGTAATTGAACGGGAATTGAAACCCATGACAGTTCCGACTAATGGCAGCGGTGCGCGATCCACAATATAGTATAGGTGCACTTACGTGTTATATGTGGTGAAATCAGTGACAGGATTGACATGATCCGGTTCCTCGAAATGTGAGATGATGCTATGGTTATTCCCTCCTTCGTAATAGCTGTTGCCCCGATGTGAGAGGCGAATTTCCAGATTGAAGTTCTGCAACTGCTTACATGCAAAAAGGGCTAGTACGCTCTCTGCAGCGAGTTTATAGGGCGGCGGTGGGTGGTAGTTGTCTACCAGGAACCAAAAGTCTTGGGCTACCGTCCAATAGTGTGTGCGGGTTTCCCATTCGTATTCTGAAAAAAAAACAATAGGAATTGACATATCTAATAGAAAGATAGCATCAAGTAGGTTGACTCTGCACTTTCTACGCAACGGTGTTATCAGTTCATAAAGGATTATGTTCGACACAGAGAGAATAAGTTCTTGTACAATTCACACAAAGTTATCTCTTATCGATGGATGGCCCTCCCTCTTCACATGAGAAAAATTCCTGCGGGCGCATATGATCGAAACTATATGTTCATTAGGCGTGGATGACGATAGGTTTGCATCCAGTCGGCAGGACTGCAAAGCGTATGATCGACTCGCGAGGGTCGGAAATATTTCTCCACCAAGTTTTAAGGATGGACGGGGAAATCTATGATGAGTGAAATATGTTTGCGTAGGACATGCAGAGTCAATCTATTTGACGTCATGTTTGCATTACTTTTTATTTTCACATGTTTATGTTTGTTGCTTACCGTAACACCATTGCGGTGGCGCTCCTAGGACCATGATATACTGCCAAATGATGGAGAGTGATATGAATGATGTGAATAGTATCCAAATGTATCTGACAACAATTCTGGGTAGTGCCAATAGTACGCAGAGCCATCCCGCGTATATGATAGCGTACCCATCCAAACGGACTGATATCACCACTACCAGACATATTAATGTTATCTACAGAATAAACAAATATTTTTTTAATTTTTGACATATACAGAACGTTCTGATAGTTGTGGCTTTCCTTTAAACATTCTTGCAAGTATATACAAATTTTTTAACTGTCACGTAAACGAGACATAAGATGACTAAGATGTTAGGTGCATCCAGTAATGAATTAGGTGAGAACAGATGCGTGTCATTATCCAATCCAGGCACCGCGCGCCATGTTGGCAAATTGAGCTGTTTGTTTATACATCGTATTTGAACTAGTAGAAAATGCCCATTCCTATGACAGCCACGAACGTGTTTGTATGATGTTAGCTTAAGGTGAGATGCTTGCTACTTCGCGAGTGTATTTAGATCGTTTTCCTGAAAGTTTTAATCCCACACGAGCTTGTTTATTCATAATTCTCTTCCATTTTTTGGCTGCTGCTTTACTACATATTAGCGCTGCTATTTCAAGCACAGTTATTTCTGATGAGCTTTCAGAATATACTTATAATAGTAGGGGCCCATTAAGGGATTTTTCGATTTACTCGAGCGAGCGCAGCAGATTAATATCAGGACCTTGCATCCTGCTGAGTACCTTCACCATATATGAGCCCTTTACCCAGAGGCATACGCCTAGGGCAGCTAATCAGAATAGTATAAAAAATCGATCTTTATAAATACTCGAGCCCGCCAGATTAAGATAAGGTGGGTATATGCTGAAAAGTGTGTATTTCAATAATATGACAATTTGAGTGTAAAAGGGAGTGGTAGAGTCAACGCCCTCCAACGGCCATGATTGAAGCATTAAAAGTATTTTCAAGGCTAAAACATAATTATGTAAACATGAAAATTTCAAATAAATTCTATTTTTAATGATTATGTACTGTATAACAAACGTAGATAACGAAATACGGCTTGTTGTTTGTAGGATTTTTCATGCACTTTCTGAGTAATAAAAAATAATGCCATTCATCCTAACAAATCCAGAATATATATAAATATGAGAAATTTCTCCTAAAGTGAAGTGCGTGCAGCTGCAGTAGAACCTGTATTCTCCACGCCGCGTCTCTCGTTCAACATAATTATGTAAACATGAAAATTTCAAATAAATTCTATTTTTAATGATTATGTACTTTATAACAAACGTAGGATTTTTCATGCACTTTCTGAGTAATAAAAAATAATGCCATTCATTCCAACAAATCCAGATTAACGACGGTTGAACGCCACCTAACTAATAAAAAACGAACTAAGCTAAGAAAACTTAACATCCTTTAGAAGCTCGCATTGAAGCCATTTTAAATGAAATCAAGACCATGATTATCGATAATGCCAATCAGAAGATATTTCTTTCCTTTTCTGAAATGACCTTGAACCATTCCCCCCTCTTTAAAACAATCAACTTACAAAAAAAATAATGTCCGCAAGAAAGTGACGAAAGAAGCTATTTTAGATATACAATAAATGTTTTCGAAAAAACGGTATTTCAAATTTTGGGGTTGAGGTTATATCCCCTAGCGGTCATTTCAGGAAGCTGAACATAATTTCCAGCAATTTCTCTTGGCCACTTTTGTTACAAGGATGTTTAACTCATAGTTCTAGGTTGAGTGGTTGCCCAGATACAGCCGACATCCTTTATTGATGACCACTTGGTATAAACTAACAGATTATCATACTTACAATATCAAAGTTACATGTCGCATATACAGTATCAATATCTGACACGCTCGAGTATTTCTATGTAACTGTTGTTTTACATTTCTGAGTACCTGTAGACGCTCCCCACATCACTAAAAAGAATATATCCTACAACCTTTTTTTTTCAGCCATCTAATCTTTGAAACCCACTAGAACTCTACGACGCTCGAGTAACCCCCATTAATCCTCTTGGGCTCCCCAACTATAAGAGCCTGGTTAGATACTGGCATCTTGTTATCGCTTTTCAGACCTAGCAGTCTGCATATTCAGCCAGCTCAATTGAGCATAGCAGTAAGCTTCAGAGGACTAGGGTCTATAAGCGGAGTTTTCGGTCTGGAAATAACTCAAATTTCAAGTCGATCGCATTTAGAGGATTTTTGTTTTAAATATTTTAGAGCATATGTATTTTGAACTCGCACTAAATCCTTCCTTTTCATTCCAAAACTTGATTGCCCTTTAAAAATGTAAAGTTCGTAGTTTTGGCATGTTTATAAAAAATGCATCCATTTTCGAATACCACCCTCGTTGTTTTAATATGAGCTCATGGTCACACTACTTTCTACTACAAATCTATAATAATACACTCAGATACAGAACACAATTAAAAATAATACTATTGCTCCACTGCGCGCACATTAATAACAAAAGTTTAGGTCTTATTATGATTCTCTATTGATTTGTTTCAAATATTGTTGTGTGTCTAAGTATGATTTATAGCAGATTTGAAGTAGAAAGTGTTGCTACCAAAGAAATTAAAAAAGTTGAATATTCGAAAATGGGTGAATTTTAGACGAAAATGTCAAATTTGCGAACTTTGGGCTTTTAAAGAACAATCAAGTACCACTTGAAATTTGAGTTATTTTCAGGGTTGAATGCTCCTTCAACAGCTCAGATTTATATAAATGTTCTGTTCGTTAAAATGTATCGAAAGCAACAATGTTGTTTATCATTCGGTTCAAAGACAACAAATGCACACTCGTATAGATATATTTATCGAACTTGTCGGCATGATTTTGATTTATGGTGAGCGTCTTCAAAATGCTACCGAGATTTCGCAAGTGTATGCAGTTTGCTTTACCTAGAAGTTGAAATGGTGCAAACTGAGGGAGTGTTGAATTCCGTAGAAGAAAATCCTTAAACAAGCACTAGGGAAACGGCTAGACCAATACAAATCTTCAAGATTAAAGTCTGGTAAACGCTGCGTGATGATGAATTGTACCCTTTTGTACGAGGAAACAGGATTTTCCTGCTAGAGTGCGTCTTTGTGAATCCATATTCGCCACGTACGGATCAACCTTCACGCGTAAGGGAGTGAATAACTTCCAAAATACTGTAGTCATTGGAAAATCCTTACGTAGTCCTGTCAGTCACGTGTTCAGACATTTTCTTTGAATATTTGGTCTGGCATGGTAAATGGTATCCTGATTGGACCTTTTATTTTCACGAATCGGCTGGACGGTTTACAGTAGCTAGACTTATTACGAAACATTTTATCAACGGAGACAAGTTCGAACAGTACTTATAAGTGATGGAGTCGTACTTGAAATTTCTCTGCAAATGAACCGGGAGTACTTTTTATTTTTTTTTACTTTTCCCACACTAGCTTTGTTATTTTAATCGTAGATGTTACTGAAAAGGAAAGTCCCAACTTTCAGGTCACTCTGTGTATTCTATGAAAACATTTGGAAACGTGACGTAAACATCCTGTATATATCAACAAACGTGTGTCACGCATTTTTACTCACCTCATACCCCAAGCGATAATAACCATAGTTCAGAACGTACTTCAGGAAAGTTTTGAGATTTATGTCAGACTCACGATATGTGATTTCTGGGAACATGACTTCAGGAGTCTGTGTGTCTAAGCCGTGTTGTTTTCTCACGATTCGTTGTCGAGCACATACGATACTCCAAAGCGCTGACGTTGCCACGAAAAGTGTCTGCCACATTAGGGGCTTGAACAATGTCGACTAAGGAAATAGTAGAGATGTTTTTGAACATATGGCATCAAGAAAAGGTAATAAAAACATACATCAACCACACTGAGAAAATGTGGTCAGTTAAACAGTTGTTCTGAAAAATTTTAATATACTATTAAACTAATTTTCTTGAAAATAGCAAACCATGTACCTGTTTTATTAAACTGTTTAATTAGTTTGAGTGATTCAGTTGATGTAGAAAAGGTACATTTAAAACAATTAAACATTTTAATAAATACTGTTTATTAGAATCGCGGACTTGGTAAGACTCGGCTCTTCATTCGTGAATGATAGGGAGTATGCGACAGATTCGGTGCCGGTAACAGCAGCAGCGGTGAAGTAGTGGTAGATGTTACGGGCCTACTACTCTATGGAAGTTGTAATTGTCCATAGGTGGTAGATGGTCTCTGACTGTCGAACGTGGAGGTACTATCCGGCGGATCTCCAAGGCCGGGCCAAAATGTATGCATATTGCATACACAGGTGCTCCCTGGCTCTTAGAGGTTAGAGGTTCCACCCTTTTCCCTGTATCCCCATATAACGACGCGGTACCCATGGGTGGTGGTTCAAGTATATAAAAAAACAAATAGTGACAGAATCAATAAATAAATTTTTTATAAGACTTCACATAATTTCGGCTGGGCTTATTAAAGGCACACTGAGAACAACAAATTGACAAGTCCAAGTTGAGGAAAGAATGTCGGATAGCTTTGGCTTTAGCGTAACTCGATAAATAAGGCAGGGGAGCCCTTTGTCAATTAATTGCAATCTCATACTAGAAGAAATACTTAGAAAAACTGGCTGGCAAAACAATGGAACAATATATTGCCATTAACACCAAGTCATTGCCTATGTCGATCGTCTTGTCTTGGTATCGAGAACAAAACAAGAACTGATAAGAATTTTTTAGTACCTAGTGTTAACAGCGTACCAATTTGGGTTACGCATACTGAAGGAAAAGCAGAATTTATGCAGATATTAGGCCAACAGTACTTTATGGATCCGATATGTGGATCTTGAATGCAAAAAATAAAGAAACTCTAAATATGAGAGAGAGAAATATATGGTTGTGTGAAAAATATGGCATTTGGAGAAGAAGAATGAATGAGGAATTGGAAGAACTAGACCTTTCGACGGTAGCGCAAATGCAGCGACTAATTTTGCTGGATCATGTTAGAATGCCTGATATACGAAATACAAAACTATTTCTAGAAGGGGGCTTGGAATGCAAGAGAAAGAATGGAAGATCGAGACGTTTGTGGATAGATGTTGTCAAAGAAGACCTGGATAGTTTGAGGATATAGCGGTGGAAATAAAGCGTGCTGGATAGGAGATTTTGGAAGAATATCATAAAAGCCATGCACCGACGCGGCATGTGGACCTATTGTACATTTATTACGCCTTGAAAGGAATGTAGCGAATTGGTAGTAACACTCTATACCTGGTCTTCATCATCAGAACAGGACTAAAGTTGAACGATTTTATATGTAATTAGTAAGTGACATATAAATCCGAACACCCAGTTTAAATGGTTTTATTTTAATAAAATTTTGTATAAGTACTTAATGAAGCATAATAAGTAAATGATAAAAATTTCAAAATGATTGCACTGCTTTAAAGCTCTTTGACCTTTAATAATGTGTGGATGCACCCTGATGTGCTACGCATTCTCCAACGCGCCTAGGCATGCTTCTGATCAGGTGGTCAATGTCCTCCTGAGGTATCTCATTCCAGGCAACCACCAACTCCTCTCGAAGTGCTTCTAGAGTCTGAGGAGGACGTTGCAAATTGAGCAATCTCCTACCCATCATATCCCACACGGGCTCAGTTGGGGATAAGTCGGGAGATCTTGGTGGCCATGGTAACAATGTGACATCATTATGTTGAAAGAAGTCTATTGTGACCCTTGCAACATGTGGTCGGGCATTATCTTGTTGGAAAGTTGGATCTGCCAAGGTGTCAAGATAGGGTAAAAGATGGGGTTCTAGAACTTCGTGGATATATCGCTGCGCATTCATGTTACCTCTGATGAAGATTAAAGGTGACCTGGAACCATAAGCTATAGCACCCCAAACCATAACTCCAACAGTGTGATGAACATGTCTTTCAACAAAAAACTGTGGATTCCTCCTTTCACCACGTCGCCTTCTAACCCTGGCACGACCATCGTGCATGCCTAAACAAAATCGAGAGTCGTCACTAAAGACAATACTGTTCCATTCCTGATCCCAGAGTGACCGTTGTCTGCACCACTCAAGGCGATTACGTCGGTGTTCTCGAGTTAAAGGGAGGACCCAGTGTGGCGGTATGAAAACAAGCCAAAACTTCTCATTCGTCGGTAAACACTTCGCATGCCAATAGGTCTTCCGTGTTCTGCAAACCATTCATTTGCAATGGACCTGGTAGTGGAGAAACGGTCCCTTAAGGCCAATAATCTTAGGCGGCGATCTTCCCGGTCTGTTGTTCTACGGCGGCGTCCAGTGCCCTTTGCTCTTTGCGTACCGCCTTCTCGAAGTCATGCCTGACAACACCTAACCACAGTGTCTACACTTCTTTGCACTCTAACTGCAATTGCCCGAAAAGAAAGTCCAGCTTCCCGAAGTCCCACTATACGGCCCCTATCAAACTCACTAAGTTGACGAAATCGTACAGGTCTCCGTACTCTAGGCATCGTAACCGATCGTAAAGGATGTCAAGAACCAAAATCCGCCAACGTTGATTCTTTACTGCGGCTGAAATATTCATTTTTAGAGCGTTAGTGAATTAAAAAAAAGCAGTATAAAAACCGGAATGTCCAACTGATAAGGCTGAAAATTTTTTCACTTGTTATTTACAGTAAGATAAATACATTCACCAACTTTTATTAAAATAAAACTATTTAAACTGGGTGCTCGGATTTATATGTCACTTAGTATACATACTTTTTCCTCACTTTTTACTCACTACATCTTTCTACATGTTTTTAGTCGCTAATATGTGTTAGGAACTTATGAAAGAATCCATGATATTCAAAGTAAATACTTGTCAAAAGTTTCTGATAAGTTCGTAGCCTGTGTAGGAAGATATTCTTGAGTAAGGCAGTCGGTAACATTTTCTATTCAAATACTCGAAAGACCTTAATTCGCATCACGGATAAATGAGAACGATTACACAAATGGAAAAATTGATTACCTCAGTAGAAGAGAACTTTTTGAATCCTAGCCATTTAGCAAAGTTGCGTGTCCTGCTTATGTGCTCTGGATGCTTCGTTACCTAATTAATAAACACTTATTAGTTGAAACATTTTGCGCGCTCTTTGATTTTCAAATGCTATTAGATTTTTTGTAAATTTGTTTTTTGGTATATTTTATACCAACTGACAGATCTCATTAAATTGAACCAAAAAAACAATGTAGACTAATGAACTTTATTTAAAATGTTTCATCCAAGGACGTTCACATAAAAAATATGTCCTGTCGCTTGTAGGTAAGTCATTCAACTGTTTGTGCTTGTAGCTAGAAAAATTATCCTTCAGCATTAAATAGAAATGTGAGAATATCCCTGAATCACGAGAGATTTATTTATTGCTTAGAAAATTATCATCATCATCATAATATGAATAACGGAATACATTTAAATTCATACGAATCAAAATCCTCAAGTTCAATCCATTTTTGTTTCTCATCGAGAGAATGTTTGACCATACCCGTAAAGAAAACAAGAGCCTGCTTAGTTATACTCAGAAATGTGCCACGTAACAGCGTCGCATCTGTTATAATTATGTAATTCGAATATAACCAATACATGTTAAACCTAGCATTTACTTAGAGAGTTTTATCTGAATCTCTCAAGTAACTTAAGAGTAAATAAAGATTTCAATATTAGAACCGGAAAGAAGCCGTAAAATACATAAGTTTACATTAGCCTTTTTGATCAGAGGTTACCAGATGATATATTATAAATCTAAATAACCGAACACTTGAAAACGACAAATCAGAGAAACTAAAATCAAATCAAATTCAAAAGCGCACAATTTAAAGAATTTTTAATATACAGTATTTTAGGACGATTTCCACTAAACATCTCAAAAGTCTATTCAGGTTTCTTAGGTTCCGAGGTATAAGCCTAAGGCCACTCTACGACAGTACAAAATACAAAATATTTATGGAAAAATGAGAGTACAATGTTAAACAAGTACATAAAAAATAAGACATAGCAGTAGCTGAAAAGAGGGTAGTTTTAATTGTGTTATCAAGACAAGTCTAAGGAGAGAAGAATTTTTCTCAGGGCGATCCGATCATCGGCACAATAATTTCTTGTGAAAGTGTACCTGAAAAATCTCTTTGAAGAGCGGAGGTAGCATGCGGGCATCCGTGACTGTATGTTCACTACCTACATACAAACATACACACCTGAATGTTTACGCCTATACATACATAAATACATAGTTCTTTTCACCATTTTTGGCGGCTTATGCCATCAATACCATAGGAAGAAAATAAACAGATCGACTAACCGTTACATGGGTGCAGCTCATTTTTCTTAAGAGAAAATACACTTGCACATACTAATCAACACAGCTGCTACTGGTTCTTGCACACATGGAATGGGTAATGCTAGGCAGTTCTTCTCATTCACTTTCTGACGTAAACTTCAATTTTAGCAGAAGCTCTCTACATTGCTCAATGATTGTATTCCCAGGCATTACTTTATTCCGTAACGCAGATCAACAAGAGGGTAAAATCAAATCGCACGCCGATGACAGCAGTGTTGTTACAATGGCAGTGACGTTACGACAAAATTTTACTTATCTGCACTACTGTGACCCGCCAAAAACTGCGAAAAGAACTAGGTATACATGCAACCGCTCGAAAAAAGTAACCTCCTTTCTGAGGCAGTCGAGTGAAAGAATGAGACACTCAATTTTTTTTATTTTGAATAAAAACGATTTAAGTCAGGAAGATTGTCGAAGTGGTGCGAACTTTAAACAGCGTTAGTAACATCACTACTGTTAATGTCAAGACATTGTAGGTTCTGATCAACCACCCAACGTGATACAGGCAGCTGTTCGATGTCAGTGATGACTTTGATGATTTCAAATAGCAGGAGTGACGTCACCATAGGTGTAGCTCCATTATTTGTAAAGCAATATTAAACTGTTAATTCGAAACAGCATTTTTTCAAATAAACCAATTCGTTTTATTTTATATTATTATATCTCAGAAGTCGATGTCAAGCCGAAAACGGGGGATAGGCCAAGTCATAATAGTTAACAGAAGAATATAAAAGAAACGTCGTATTATAAGTAGTCGAAGAAGGCTCGAGCACTTCAGATAGAAGAAATCACGGGAGTGCCTAAATGTTCAGCCTACCAAAACGTGCGAAGGAGCGATCTGCACCCGTACCACGTACAATCTCTACAACAACGGGATTATCTTCCAAGAGTTGAGTTTTATTACAGAGACACCGGGAAGATCTGCGACTTTTAGAGAATATTTCCTTCATGTATAAAAAATTCCATAAAAGGTGTGGAATTAATGCAAAATTACAATGAATATTTCCCTCATGTATAAAAACGCCATAAGAGGTGTGGAATTATCGCAAAATTACAGCGACTATTTCCCTCGTCTTAATCACAAAGCGCAATTTTGAATTACAAATGGTTTCTAGATGAAAAAATTGTATGACTGCACCTGTCAGCAGTTTTACCCGCGGCAAAACATTATAGCTGTTGTCACCAAAAATTACAATACCTTTGATAACAAGTGATTATGGTCTCCTAGAACACCATAAAAGGACGATAAACAATTTTTCCGATTTTATTGTCAATAAATTTTGTAAACTATGTGTATGCAGAATAATCTGTTACTCATGAAACAGTCTTGTCAAATGCCATTGGCTTAAAAAATAAAATTTGTAGTGATGGGAACTAAAAGATCATCACAGGGTGTAGATTTTTAAAGCCTATAATTAAAAAGTAAGAAGTACACGACATAGATTAGTTATATTTTTCTGATAACTATTATGACTTAACCTATCCCCGTTTCCGGCTTGACGTCGACTTCTAGGATAGTATATCCTGCACAAACTGTTAAATGAAGGCAAAACAAGGATCAAGAAAACAAAAAATTGATTAATGACCGTACGCTTCAGAAACAGATACATAGTAGTACTTACATTACAAGTAACATTGTAGTCAGATGCATCGAAGATACTCATCGCATATACCATCTTCATAACAGTGTGTGTTGAAACCACTAACGCTGCCCAATATATAACATACAATCTAGAGTACCTGAGGAATATAAAAATTTGTTTTATAATATGAATACTGAGTTGGTGGTAAAGTTCCGCGGATTTGAAGTAAAAAGATAACTGAAGAAGCCACACTTCAATCAATGAATCTAGGTATATAATCGTTCTCCAATGTTTTGGTGAAATCACTATGCTGCTTGAATCAAAGTCCGCGGACCTTTATCCAAGAACACAGAGGTGATTCCGAACCTTCAACAATCAAGATTGTTTTGCAGAGTGCGGAATATATGGATATCAGAAAGCACTTGCAACTTCTTACTTTACCACTGGTGAGGAAGTATTATAATAGCGAAAAAAATTGAAAACGACTATGTTTTTTTGGTGTTATATGACTCATTCCCGTCGGTCTGTCAGTTTGTCTGTCTGTTAATGATTGGCACGTCTATAACTTGGACAGTACCGCTCGTATTTTGATGAAATTTTCACACACGGTTACTACTATGCCGAGAACGAAAAGCTTTATAATTTTTGGAAAATCGGTCCAGTAGCAACGGAGATGTGGGCAGAAAAACGAAAAAATAAAAATCGCTCAAACTTCATTTTTCGGTGTTTCGGATAAATATCTGTAGTGACTAATAATTGGGAGTTTTAGGTAGGGAGTGAGAGAGTGTATGTCAGTCTTCGGGCCTTAGTATATTTATACGCTTACAATTCCGGTACTTATGTACCGGTTCGATGTATTAGGCATAATCCTCCATATTTTTCTGGCCGCTAAATGAAACCATATATGGTTGAAATACTGTTTACTAACGACAACGTTTCGGTCACCACGGTGGCCTTTTTTAAGTAGAATTGACAATCGGTTCGATCCGCGTTTTTGTTTCATCCATTTCAGGGAAATTAAAAATTAAAAAAAACGCGACAGAAACTTCATGAGAGGATAAAAGAACGATACAGCGCAGTTGGGGTACACTCATGTTTTTGGTCATGTCGATGCATGGATATCGATGCCAAAACATGCATCGATGTATCGTTGTTATCCCTAGCTATGGGTTTATATTTTTACAGTATTGCTACCTGTATTATATGTCCACAGAACTTTCCCTCCAGCCAAATAGTATCATTCCTTTTTTTTAAAAAACTTCATGAGAATTTTTCATTTCTGGATAGAACCTGCATCTGATTTGAGCTCTAAGGGCAAACTGAAACAGTCTCACAATAAAACATTCTCTAGCAACATACTATGTTGAAAAAGCAAATCGTAGTGGAAAATCGGCGGAGTCAGACGAAATAAACATTATTTCTTTAAGGTAGGTGCACACCCATTGAGGAAAAGTGAAACGCGAAGATCTCAATAGAACTTTCGGTACTTATGTTTTGCTGTTTCGTTATGATGTTCATCATTTTGGTTTTGCGCAGTAGCGAGACAATCCTTCGTTATCCGTAATCGAAATAGGAAGGCGCCCTTAGTTACGGAGATTAGACGAGGGTTTATTCCGTAAGGTTATTTTTTTCTTATTTAGCGCTGTTGCCGGAATTCCCAAAGCTGGCTAAGCTTAATTAAAATAATACCAAGTTCTAGGAAGATATTCGTTAGAATATAATAGAAATATGAGTATTATATCACAGTTAAAAATAAATGCAAGGAATAGACAGTCTTCTAAATGAATTGAATTGTCCTGATCTTTGTTATACAGTAGATTCGCGATATAATGAAGTAGTTATGGCCAGTTCACTTAATCGATTTGTTCACTACAAGGAATATTTCTGAAATTCACTAAACAATGCTTGTCATAAGTAAACCAAGTTTATTAACAATGAGAAAAAAACGTTATAAGCCTATGTACTAATAAAAAAGTGTAGTAGTTCATACTTTTTGTCTCATAAACCCTTTTTGAACCATTTTGAGGACACTCTTAATGAATTCAGGTCTTCATTTTTCCTAGCTCGTTAAAAGCTTGTTGACCGTTTTTAAAATATTAACCCACTTAGGCTTAAATGTTTCCTATTGTTTGTAATACTTCCATTGTGTAACGACCTGATGCAATAAAAATCTGCAAGAAACTGCTGTTCTGTGGTCTATTTACACAAAAGAAAACAAGGCATTTAAATTCGTTTTCCTGTTTCGACATACTTGTTTACGAACAAAAGCTATTGGCCAAAAAAATTGTCTGATCACTAGAGTATCGCGAGTCCACTGTATATGCTATGTGGCAAGGTAGCCTATTATTGTAGTGCTACTAGTTTTGTGGTCACGTGTCCTTCTGTGGTTCTATGATTGTAAACCTACTCATTTCTTGCCGGGTAAATATTACAGAAACTTTTCTATAAAAAAATTAACAAGGTTTTGAAAGAAAACGTGAGAGTTGAAAAAAATAATCAACCAGTACTGTCATTTAACACGGTTCTCTTTAGTTGTCACAAAAACTCTTTTTTCATCCACATTCGTTATTTTGTGTTGCGCTTAAAACCTTCTAGTCAACAATGAGACAACTGTGGTCAATGAAAGCGAACCTAAAGCGCTACACCGCTGGAGCGTTTTTATTAAGCTTCCACATACTTCAGTAGGTTAGTTTGAATACGGATGCTAGCTAGTCAGTATCTTTTCTTCCAGCCACTTTATCAGACAATCTCCTCTCCTTTCAAGTCACCTCACATGTCATTGCGTTCCATTTATCAAAGTGCTTTGCCGCTGGAGCATGCTTTAGAGAGAGTTATGACTCACTTGATTGGAGGGAATTATTTGTTGGTTATATTTGCCATAACACCATTTTTGCAGAAAATCCTAGTTCGACTGGACTATGGATTCTTGGTTGGGCAAGAGTAAGACCGGCCAGCTCGACTCCGGTTTTCGAATTCATACGCACCGTATGACCGACTCAAGACAAGTAGGAGAATGTGCATCTCAGCAACTGCGAACTGCTCAGCTTGATCCCTATACAGGGTGTAACTTAATGATATGCGAATATGAATCTACATAAAAAATTAAGGTTAGTTTGCTCTATAAACTATAGTCCAAAAATGTTTCCTTACAAAAACTCGGGGTGTTGAAGTTTCAGGAAAATCATGGAAATTAATTAATATTTTCTAAACCGCTTCAGATATTTCACTGATATTTAGTACGTCATGAAAGTTAATAAAGTTGCATATTTTTCAATGAAAAAATGATCTCTCTTGAATTGCTTTCCTTTGATGCGCCATTTCTGAGTAAAAAAATAAAAACCGTTCTATTGTCTAACTTGCAAAATTATTATTAATTTAATTGGAAAAATTAAACACATTAGGGGTAATGAACAACAACAACTGACAACATAAACATAACATTAAAACCAACGAAATGATTACAAAAATTATTAAAAATGCCCTTCACTTAGTAAGGATGCTTCCGCCCTCCTTCTCATGGAATAGCGCACTCGTTGAAATATCCCTGGAGTGTTTTATTCTATCACAAGCTGCAACTATTCTTTCTCTTAATTCCTCTACAGTGTTAATGGGACTTGTGTACACTAGTGTCTTAAGATAGCCCCACAAAAATAAATCTAAACTGTTGAGGACTGGGGACCTTGGTGGCCATTCTTAGGCTCACCGCGGCCAATCCAACAATTTGGATAAACAGTTTGTAAATAATTACGAACCGCTACACTGAAATGCGCTGGTGCACCATCATGCATGTACCACATATTGTTTCTTATTACTAACGGAACATCATCAAGCAGCAAAGGCAACTGTTGTTGAAGAAAATTGAGGTAAGTCTGTCTGTCAAGTCGTCCCGGCAAGAAGAATGGGCCAATAAAGTGTTTGCCAATAATTACTGCCCATACGTTAACCGAACATTATGTTGGAAATGGGTTTCGGTTACGGCATAGGGATTTTCTTCTGCCCACAAATGATTGTTGTGGAAATTCTGAATGGCATTTCGAAAAAAAATTAGCTTCATCCGTGAACAGAATCATTGATTCAAATTGCGGATTTTGTGTAATTTTTTGAAGATACCACTGACAAAAGGTCACACGCCTTGGAAGATCAATGAGAAGTAATGCCTGTACTCTTAAAATATGTTAAGGATATAGCAAAAAATCCAATAAAATTCTTCAAATAATTTGATGGCAAATATTTAAGTGTCTAGCGATCTTCCTCGTACTCGTTTCAGGATGATCTTCGACTTCATGCAGCACTGCTTCCTCAATTTCAGGTGTTCTCACACTTAGAGGTCTACCTTCAGATGTCCCTTTTCGGACAGAACCAGTTTCAAGAAGACGACGATGAATATCAGAAAAGGTTCGACTATCTGACAAAGCACGATCGGGATATCTCTGGTGATAAATCCGTCTGGCTGGCTCACCATTACCGTCGGCAAGGCCATATACGAAATGCATTTCCGCCATTTCTGCATTTGAATAATTCACCATTATTAACAAGATTAAAATAACAACTAAATAATGAAAAAGAAGTCACAGAGAACAGATTTGAATAACAGAGACTTGTCAGATGTCAAAAGCTAGTGACATATTCCAGAGCAACTAGATATTTATTGCTGAATTGCATTCTTCAATTATTACATTAATTTTCTCGGACAATAGAACGGTTTTCATTTTTTTACTCAAAAATGGCGCATCGAACGAAAACAATTCAAGAGAGATCATTTGTTTTGAATTAAACGTGGAATTCAAAAAAATTTATTTGACCAAAAACCATTGGCGTACCATTTTTTTCTTAAAAAATATCAAAGTCAATACCCGTACGCACGCCACTGTTAAAGCAAAAAATTATTTTTGCATTGAAAAATATGCAACTTTATTAACTTTCACTACGTACTAAATATCAGTGAAATATCTGAAGCGGTTCTGAAAATATCAATTAATTTCAATTTTTTTTCCTAAAACTTCAATACCCTGGTTTTTGTAACGAATTATTTTTGGACCATAGGTTATAAAGCAAACTAACATTAATTTTTCATGTACATTCACACCCTTAAATATTCGCATATCATTAAGAACACCCTGTATATCGTGCCTGAGGCTATCCTAATTTGGTTCTCGTTTTTCCAGCCGAGGGTGTGTAACTTGAAAACCCTATGTGTGCATATCAGAAATCCAACACAAAGCCCGATCAGTGCAGTAGTAACACAAGCAAATTAATATATTTCTGAACGTTAATTCTACTACTATAATACGTACATGTTCACTAATATCAAAATAGATGCTAACCTCGTTGAAGCATTTCGATATTCTATATGAAGGGGATGCAAGCATAATAATTGTTAAAGCTTTTGGTAGATAAAACATAGTGCAGTACCTACTATTCAACTAGGCACAGTAAAGTTTAAGTTGGACAAAATTTCACCACAGTTAATCTGATTGCTTGGCAGGTTCTGTACAAAGCAGCACCTCAAGTGTTCAAGACTGATCATGCCAAAGTGATCCTCCTTTGTATAGTGGAATGGATAACCACCATACGCTTATACAGATATTTTAAAAAATTCGTTTGGATTTTATCGGCTTTCGATATATATGTATGTAACATATGAAGGAAACCACATGATACAATCATATTGAAGTAAACTTCTAGCTAAAGTGAACTACAGTACTTTTAGGCCCGTCGTCCCTACAATTGTAGGGCGCGTTTATGGCCTCCTTGATTGTCATACTCCTTTCTCTCCTTCAAAAATTTCTAGATTACACTTCTCCCGTGTCAGCGTCAGCGCTCTCCTATTGTAAAGATATGTTTTCTTTTAAATTGTAGGAAATTCCAGGCTGATAAAACATGATATAACTCAAAAGCAAGCACAATTTAATGCAACTAGATGTTTGTGACATAACCTCAAGATAGAGCGCTGACACGGAGAAGTCGAAAACTATGACAATCAAGGAGGCCATAAAGGCGCCCTACAATTGTAGGGACGACTGACGATACGGGCCTTAATGATTATGTGTTAGGAAAAGATTTGCAATTTCTAATAATGAATAAAAGCATACGTGAAGCTGATTTAACCATTTGATTTAAGTGTATTGAAAATGACAGATCTGAAGTCATAGTAATGCTTCCTGTGCTCTATCAAGTTTGTGATTGTCCAGTGTATAACCATATAGTATGTATGATAGACTGGTTCCTGGTGATGGATATTACTTTACACTTGCTGGGATTAAGCATCAGATCATTATTCTACCACCTTTCAAGAATGATGTCTAAATTTTCCTTCAAAGGTTCCAAGCTGCCTTGTCCATGAATTACTGAGTAAATTTTTAGGTCATCCGCAAAAATTTGGTTTTTACTGTTATTATATGGTTGATATCATTAACAAAAAATAGTAGTGGACCTAAGTTGGTACCTTATGGCACTCCCGTTATTGGTGTGTATGATTGTGATTTGAATTCGTTATACTGCACAAATTGAACGCGTTCAGATAAAAACGAACAGAAAAATAACAAGCCCTCAGAAAACCCAAAAATATAATTTTTTTTAAGCAAAATGGAGTTGGTTTATTCGTAACCGTAATAGCTGAAGGGTGGTGACCACCTTTATCTCCATTCCAGCCTTCCTGAGCTGACTCGGAAGTGAAGTTCCTGAATTTTATTTGAACTGGCATGATATCTTTTAATTAATACTATTCGTCATTTGTTTGTCTGGGCGGTCGGTTGGACCTTTGCCCATTAGTCACTGTCTCAGTGGCGACGCGTGACTTTTCCTAAACTTTTACCAAAACTAGATATGAAAAATCTTATTAAAAAAGATTATTTTGAACCTCCCAAATATAAGTTTATGCTTTTTTAGGTATTTTATTTAAACTATTTTTATATTAAGGTAAACATTCCTGGACTGAGCGTCTGGGGCACTTGATATATATATATATATATCTATATATATATATATATATGCTATGACTAATCCAAGCCGTCCGAAAAAACAGTCGACCTTTCTAGATGTTCGGAAAATTTTTGATCTTTTCTGGCAATGAATGTTAGCAATTCCCTGTAATTTCCTCTATTGTCAGAGTCATTCCCTTCAAAATGGACGATAATTCCTGTTTTGCCAAAAACATACGGTATCTAGAAGTGTGCTGCCTAAAAGCTTGGTTAAGACAACTTTCGATTATTGTTTTGCCAAACTGAATTAAATTGGCTACACATCTCACATGTCTCCTCTTTAGAGCCCTAAAACTATTTCAATCGTTGACTCCGCTTCTGGTCCACCCATTTTTTTCTGTATAAAACAGAAGACATCGCCAACAATATGTTTTTTTGCAACCACATAACCAAGAGTTTCCATATACCAACTTAATTTAAAATATCAAACTACGTTTTTTTATTCCTTTTTAAAATTAACTAAAATAGGTGTTGGTCTTCCATTTTCACTGATCTCCTTTTTTCTTAAAAATTATACAAGGAGTTGATCCATTGCGCAGCGACACTCATCCATGTTTAATTGCACGCACACTACAGCCATCAACCAAAACGGCTACTAACGAGTGAGAAGTGAGTAACCAAATCAAAAAATGGTAACAAGCCACATAATAGTCGCAGCGCCCCACCCACTTGGGCGACTGCGATAAGACACGAGCCGGTACGGACGGTCCCCGACGGACTACCAAGTGTATCCATAAATGAAAATGGTAACAACCGACAACCAAGTCGAGGCGAGTCAGCTTCATCGTGTTCGCAAAACCTAGACACTATAGGGCGCATTATTTTCGTGGGGCTAATTTGCTATGTACCGAATTATTATTACATATTGCTGTTGGTAAACAAATAAATGAACTTATTTCACAGTACTTAATCATAAAATATTTATTTTTAACATTGTTAACTTTTACCAATGGTAACAATAGTTACATGGACGCTTCGCCACTGCACTGTCTAATGTACGTTAGTCGAATCTGTCAGTCCTGGTTGCCCAGAAACCCGACAATGTCAAGGAAAAGGAGAAAGGGAAAGAGAAGAAAAAAGGAGGAGAGCAAAGAAAAACAGAAGTATTTAGTTTAAGAGGAAGCACCTAGGCTTTTTGACTTGGTACACGGATTAATTTTGAGGTGAACTAGACAAATTTTGATTCGGTTTTGTTAGAGTGTAATTTTAAGTTTACTAAATGTTCGCGCTAATTTTTGAATGTTTACGAACTTGCTTCACTGTGTAGTCCACTGAGTCGCGCAACAGAGGGTTGCTGTGCGATTCCGCTTGACTATAACGTCTTTTAATAACTTTTGAATGGTGAAATTTTGCATCCGTGGGCGATTCGATACCTAGGCTTAATTAGTTGGTAATTTACGCTTCACCTATTTATTGTGAGAATCACTATATCACTGTTGTCTTTGTTATATGTATATTTCTAAGAGGGTCGTCCATTAAAAGGTGAAACGAATTCGGTGTTTCATTATTGGTAGACGTAACCCTTGGATGAACCTGTGAAGGCCTTCCGGACCATTGGCCCGATACATGCTCATATATTTTTTAGCAATTGGCAAATTTCGGTTCAAGATATTTGCAAACATTTAGTTTCAGATTTTTAGAAATGCATCGATAATAATAAAAATTCATAGAGCACTGAAATCTGACTTCTAGATACGAGTACATGTTCTGTGCTTGTGAGATGGAACTCTCACTTAACCGTTATTTTGACTTCTGAGAAGAATCACCTTCCTCACTTGTGCGGTGAGTAACTCAGTTGCAAAAGGAAAGATCGCCTCTCGCCATGACGTCTTGGTGAGCTAGTCGCTTTCCTTCCTCTCAATGGGCGTGCACGTTTCAGGACGATATACGTGTTTTGAGTGAATACAAGTGACACTAGGCTGGTACTTTTTTACTAGTAATAGGTAGAATAGAATGTTACTGACCTTCCAGTTACCATTGTGATACACAAAGGAGCTAGGATGATGAAATTTATCGCACAAACTTCCCCGATGCACATGAAGTATATCAGTAATATCACTAATTTCATCAAGTGTTGCTCCATAAAAAGAAATGCGAAATCTACAAATGCTACCCATCTTCGCATGTGTTTGCCATACAACGCTATGAATAAAAATTGTGTTATTCATGAATATATTTTACTTTTCACAAGTTCTATTGCTCATTCCTCGAAGCTCCAATCATAGGTTCTCTAATGCCCGACATACATCATCAAAGGCTAAACAACAAATTGAATATACATCCAAAGGTGACCTCTCATGACGTTGACCATCACCTTCAAGGTCATGTCAAAATTTGACACGTTTGAATATAAAATTTCTTGCTGTCTGAAATTTTGGCATAAACATAACATTCAGGATAGGCATTACCTTAACCTTGAGGTCAAGGTAGGATACGGAGGTTACATTTCTTGCATTTTTCAATTCCAGAACAAAAATCAGGGGTTCCTGTAAAAATTTTGACTGAACTTGAGGGTCATGGTCAAGGTCATGTCGAAAGTCACGTTTAGGTGACCCCATAAATCCAACAACTGTGGTGTAGAACGTTTTTGCTGAAGGAAATTGTTTTCAATGTTATTACTTGAGCTTGAAATGCCCTTGGAAGTCTTGGTTATTGTCATGGTCAGGGTCATATTGGACGTAGAAAGAAAACGCTCTAATGCATTCATACCGACGAGCGGAACCATTGTTACCAAGTGACGCCAAGCGCATGTGAAGTAAGCCTATCTTGTCCAGTTAAGGTTCCCCCACACCGAAGCGATACAGCAATAGAGGTAGTGTGAGCGTTAAAAATCGCACTTAGCACAATAGCTGCACGTTCACACCACCGCGGTACGGCAGTTTTCTTATTTGTCTTATACAATGCCTTCTGATGAAGAAGAACTATTATTATTGGGTTGTTCAAAAAATGGAAGAGCTACAAAAAATGCACGTATTGATCTTGACCCATAAAGAAATCACAACACAAGCCCCTCCATATCTATCAACCAAATTTATCAGATACTCAGATGTTAATCAACTGAACACAAAGAATAAGCATATCTTGGTTATCCCGAGACATTCATCATCTCTATTTAAAAGGTCGTACATATATACTGCTATTAAGCTATACAACACGCTGCCTACCGAGTTCAGTCACTACTCTATAAAGAATTTCAAAAAAAGATTGAAGCATTTAATCTCTGATTTCATTGCTCAGTAAGTAGACCATGGTCATGAATAGGGACTCGTTACAGGTTTTTTTTTTAACTTTTTTGTTTACATTGGGATTAGAAAATTTACACAAATATTTGTTGGGTTAAGTTGAAAAACGCTTTTAGCGACACTTCTCTTTTTTATACTTTGTATAAATAAAGCCGGATTATTATTATTATTATTATTATTATTATTATTATTATTATTGGCCTTAGCAGAAGATAAAAGGTGAAAACGGTAAGTATTTTGATGATAATCATTAGTTAATAATAATTAATAATTGTGTTCAAGGAAAAATAAGCAATGGATACAAGATATTAATAAACAAAGAAGGATACATGGAGAATATCATACTTTAATGACCGAATTACATAGAGATCCACAACGTTTTTACGTATACTTTCGAATGACGATTGTTTTGATGAAATCTTAAGTGTCTTCGTGACTTAAATCGTACAATATTGGGTACTTCTTAACCTGTTCGATTGATTTCTCCGTTCTTCGTGAAAAACGTGACGATATGGGATACGAACCGCGTCAGCAGCGTTTCTGAAATGAAACGCTGTTAAGGTGATAAACCGCGGGCCACCCCACGGCGCTGGTGTGATCGGTATTATTTACCGCTCCAAAAACTGAACACCGCATGGTCAGCGGTGCGATTGTAGCTATCGCCTTACCGCGTCGGTGTGAGGGATCCTTTATAGTAGCATGATTGCAGACTATACAGTAGAACAACGATTATAACATTGATCATGACCAACCTCTATTTCGATCATCTTCTTCCGCAGCTTTCGTGTTATTTTCATCTGACATTTGCATGAATGGCTTGTGAAAGAACGTCATTTGAAGCAATATAAAAACGATGTATATAGCGGGAACCACTATAGCAGTTACATAATCCCATAAGGTATACGTTGTATATATGCCCAAGAAACTTTCTTTTCTGAAACCAAATGCATTGAAAACAGAAATAGCTACCGGATGTTTCAAATTCGACCCTCACCATTCGGATCTCGGAAACGACAAAAGATACGAAGCCGGTTAAATGAGGACGAAGTTGCTCATTTAGGTAACTAAGAAAGTGGCACAGATTGCTTCGGAATTCGAAATTTTTTCAAAAATATAGAGGAAATATCTGTTCAGTCCAAACATGGTTATTGCCAGGGAGCCCACTCATAGTATTCTTCTAACCTTGAGAGCAAGAGGTTTGCATGAACCATAACCCGCAACTATTGAAAAACTTCATCCCGCAACATTGATAAAGCCGCTACAAAATCACAGTGATATTCCCACAACCTCCAAGTGAGTCTTATCCAGTAGTACCACCTGTAGGATACCCACTTGAAGTACCGCCCTATTTGGATTATAGTCCACAAGTGAGAGAAGAGCTGGCGCAAGCAAAAAAACCCCAAACAGAGACCAAGAAGACCTCCACGATCTGAAGTAAGCCAGTAGCCATTTTTTAGCGGGACATCAGAGGGCTCAACCAAACCAGCCTTCTTTCACTCGCCATTGCCGCAACCGCAACCACCCCCGTGCTAAATGCCACATTAATAACAACCTAATTTTCCCAAAATCTTTATCATTTTCCTTGACCTTATTTGAGGTGAATAATTTACCATTAATTGTCAATTTTTCTCCGTGACACAGATAGAATGTAAATATGACGCTTTTTCTCTTGACCATCATGAAATTTATTTTCTATTATGGATTCTTTAATGGAATTTTGCAGAGATTTTAAGTCTGATTGCAAAAATGTATAAAATGTCATATATTAATGTTATAAAAGTGTAATTAATAAAGACAGACGTAGTAGGTATTCTAATTATCAGATAGTCATTCGTTACAAGTTTTTTTGTATCACCAGATAAGTGATTCTTCACTTTTAATGAAATAGACATACATAAAAAGTTCCTATATCCGATTTTAATATGTATATAAAACTTCAAATGTTGAAAAAGTTACATTTCCATAGTCGGTCCCAACTCATCGAGTGAAGAACATAATGCTAACGTCATATTATTTAAGGGTGATAACGAAAGTATTTAAAACAGTATAATTTTATGAAATTGGTAGAAACGTTTTAGAGCAAGCAAAAGCTTCCACGATATTGCAGGCTGCTAAATGGTTTCGCATCCGTCATACCTAAACTGATGCACAAAACTTTAAATTTAAATACTAATATTAATTAACTGGAAACCAATGCTTGTTACAATCATTAATGTGGTAAATAATCTAACGTCCTTTAAATATGCTTTTCAAATATCGAAACAATCGTTAATTGGTGACGTCACCGAATAAACAAGTAAAAGCGATCATTATCAACTCCAAGTATGAAAATATTAGTTTTCTGAAATAAGTAAAGTCTCTTGATGTCAGCTTTATTCACCAGTGCAAAGCTCCAATATGGCGTACATAAAAAAATAAAGGTGGTGAAATGGGAGACAAGAAATGAATTGATCAATCGTGCCACATTTTAGATGAGAAAAAGTGGCAATGTTATTGTGTAATTTATTTTAGCATCCCACTTTAGATAAGATCTTGAAAAAATAAAAAGGATTTGTATTTTTTTATTTAATGGCGAAATTTTGTGTAATTTTCTTAGATACCTAAATGAGCAACAGTGTTCCCATTTAATCGTTTTGCTACCTTTTACCGTTTTCCACATTCCAATGGTGAGGGTGCGAATTTGAAGCAACTAGTAGCATGTCTCACCGTACTGCCCTTCTAGAGTTTTCTTCGGGTTCTACAAGGAACTGTCCCAGAAACATTTGGATTCGGCAGTATCCAATCATAAGTGTAGAATTTTTTTTTTTTCCCGTGTACGTGTGTGTTAATCCAGGTTCGCCGTAAGGGGACGTGCAAGGCGTGCACCGCACGCGGGCTTGCGTCCAGGAGGGCGCCAAATCGAGTGATAACTGAATGTTCAAAGTCATTGTCATATTACCCACCCCACTCATAGCATCGACATCAGCGAAAAACGATAACAGATTCGTGATCTACGCATCCAGTTTACCCTGGTTTTCGCCTAGATTTCAAGCATACAGGAATTTCTGAATATTTTCATCATTAAACTTTAAAAGTTCTCCGCGCAAAATGTTGCTTCTGATGCTCCTTTTCTACAAGTGAAGTGAACAGTACTCTGGTGATTTGAGCAGACTTGGGTAGTATTTGAATACTCGAATATATTTAGCTGGTATTCAAATAGATTTGTGTATCCGATTGAATACTGTTTTGATCAGTACTCGGTATTCTGGATTCTGAGTACCATTTCTTAATCCGAATATTGAAATATCCACTTTACTTTGTATTCATATCCTGGTATTCGAATTCTCCATTGGAATCATTTTTTGAATACTGTTTGGATACTCTTATGAATAAACAAAGTAATTTTGCTTGTGTGGACGGTGATGCTTCTGAATTCGTGATGCTGACAGGTCGCTTAAGGAACGAAATTAAATTACGTATGTGCTTGTGTTCGTGCAGGATTGCGATTCTATTTTATATCAAATTTGAATACCTGTTATAATTTGTGTGTGACAACAGATAAAGTAGATATACAAAAAGGTAAGATAACTACACTAATCTACTAAAAATCTAAGAATGGTTTTTATTGTTCCATTAATTTGCCCAACTTCACTGTAACAGTATCAGAATGTTATTTGTTATTATTTAATTAATACAGTCATGTATATTTAATTTCTTTATATATTTTTATAACTTTAGTACAAAAACAAAAATCATGTTTAAAGTATTCATATCAACAGCGGTATTCGAATAATTTTTTCTTCAATATTCGAATCTTGGGTATTCAAATACGATTTAAAATACAGTATTCAGGATTCGTATTCGAATATCGGATTTTAGAATTCTACCCAAGTGGGGACGCTGGTTTCACATACGGTTATCAAAAATTCTAAATGGTCGCAAAACTTTATTTTTACACTTACACTTGAGCAATAAAAAATTACAAACTGAGAAGGAGGGGCATCCAGGACTGAAGTACAAATTTCCCAACTCATGCCTTAAGTATTTCGTCCAATGCACTTCAGTTAAAGAAATTGGCCAATGAAGAACGTAACAGTGATCTAATAATTACGTTCATAAGTATGGGTTTTTCGAGCTCATGACGTAGCGTATCCACGTTATGTTATGAGTTGTAGGTTAGACTTATCTTATTTTTCATATAATTTTTTGTTATTTACGTTTTGTTAAATCACATGTTTTTATACATGTTATGTAAATAGCACAACTATACCCCATTCGTAGTTCATTTACGCCTAGACAAAACACATCATGCCCAAAAGCGAGATTGTACAGGTCCGTATTTTCCTCTATGGTCTTGGAATAATCTAACAAAATAAATGATTATTTTTATAGAAAGAAGGGCACATACTTTTTACAATTCTTTATTCGCTGGAAGTACTTAAATCATCGTCCGAATGGTTAATATCAATTATTACAGGTTCCATTTGAATAACGATCATGTTGTCTAGATCCCACATCTTTGTTTCGATTGTCTCTTGATCGTGACGGATGCAATCTTCCCAAGGGTTTGCCGTCACTCTGTTGACATCTTCAAAAACATGTTGTTTTACGTTTTGATATTGAAATGGTCGGTTGTTGAAGAAGCTGCACGGTTTTTTTTATATTTGCCCAATTTCTTGAACAATGGGAATTGTAGTTCCTGTGTGTACAGGGGGAATTTTTTCGCTTAGTGGGTAGCAAATTAAAATGGGCATTTTTATTTGGGGCTTTTTAGTTAATGTTTAGTTTCTTGAGCCATGGGTGAGATTTTGACCAAATTTTCATTGAAACTATGAGACTTATTGTGGCAATTTTTTCTAGTTTTTCTAGTGGGAAATGCAGCAATTCAGTAAATGATGGCATTGTTGCCAAGCTTTGGGAGCTCGTTCTTCTTCAAATTATCGTTCAAATGACTCCGTCCATGGGTAGTAGGCGGTCGTTTTTTTGGCTCAAATGCCATAGGCAGGTGGCACAAGCCATCTCACTGCCAATGTGACAGAAATACAAATCGTTTTTCATTTTCTTGAATGATGATGAAACATAATTAAGAGCTATGACCGGTACCATATTGTGCCAGCGCATAGGCCACTTAGACGGGACATTGTGACCCTCTATATTCCTTAAACCTCAAGCTTCTCCATTCTAGCAAAGTATGGCCTTGAGTCCAAACTCATTCACGTCCTGGGGGTAAAAAGTGATGGACCCCAGTATAGTCTGCCTATAGAAGCTAAGAGCCTCACAGCGACACAGAACATGCGACGAAGTCTCTTCCTCTACCCCGCAGCGCTCCCACAAGGGATCCTCAGCTACCCCGATCACGTTCAGCTGGCGCCTTAACGTGTTATGGCCAGACAACAGTCCCACCAGCAATCTTAGGTTGGCTCTATCCAAAGATAAGCAAAAACATCCATCCTTAGCGCTGGGCCCTCCAATGAGTTCCTGACGTAGATGTCAGGAAATGCTATTCCACTTCTGAGAGTGTTGTCTTGCAATGCACTTCGCCACTTTCCTCCTAACTTTTCGCGCGGGCACGCCTAAGGCTGGCTTAGGACCAACGAGCTTGCCGGCTGATCCTGTCTTCGCCAAAGCGTCCGCCGTATCATTGCCCCGGTACCCACACTAACGATACCGGATGCCATCTGTGCCTTCATTGCACCCTGGCTGTCGGAGAACATTGTTATTCTTCTCCTAGGCCCACCCCCTCCAAAATGAAGGATGCACAAGCCAGAATCACGACGATTTCCGCCTGAAAAATAGTGGTGTATCCATCAAGAGGCAGAGATAGCCTAGTCCTAGGCCCCGAGACCCCCGCGCCAGAGCGCTCTTCGGTGACCGAGCCGTCCGTGTACCAGACTTGCCCACTCACCCCGGTGAGCCTCCGGCAACGGCGTCCCACTCCTCCCTCGTTGGATACTC